CAATCCGGAGGAATCAATAGAAAAAGTCAATTCCCTATGACTTTTCCTCTGGCTACTGATAGAGTGAAAAGATGTTTCAGTTCGTCAGGTTGTCTCTTGCCTGCCCGTGGATTCAGCAGCAGTTTGAAAGGTTGACCTATATCGGCAATCCCCGGATCTACGCTTATTTTCAACTCCCCGAAGCATTTCGTCGCTTACTACGCCCTTCCTCGTCTATAGGTGCCTAGGTATCCACCATAAGCCTTTCCTCGTTTGAGATAACTGCCATAGCTCTACCGTATCTTTTATTTCAGTTCTTCGGCAATAATCACAAAAAGTTTTTGAATTATGGATACAAGAATCCAAATTCAATACGTAATTTTAGTATTCAAAGAATATTCTTTAAGAATCTTATTTTTCAGTTATTAAACCCTTTCTTTTTACCAAGTTCAATATTGATAAGATTAGTTAACAATATATTAGTTAATAAGATCTTGATTACTATTAATAAATAAATAATACCAAATTACTAAAAAGATTAATATAAAAAATAAGATATATGAAGAAAGTCGTCCACCCCCTATATATTTAATAGTTTCTTCCATAAAAAAACTTGTAACACCAATTCCATTTGGAATTCCATCAATTACTTGTCTATCCATAAAATAATTTATTTTACTTAATTTTCTTACACTTCCAATTAAAGATATTTCATAAAAAGCATCTATATAACCACGATTATATGACCAATCATACAAGGCATTTAGTATATTATCGGCAAGAATTTGTTTGGGAACACTTTTTTTAAATAAATTGAATAAATTCAAATTTAGTAAATCTGAAAAAATCGGTTTATAAAAAAAAGAAGCTATAAATATTCTGAAAAACGTTAGAATTACAGAAAAAGTTACGTTTGTAAAAAATTCATACCAATCCTGAATTTTTTTTGAATTTTGATGTAAAAGGTCTATAAACGGAATTAATAATCTTGATAATATATCGCAATCTATTCCTTTTTGGCTGAAAGAAATTCCTATGGCCCCAACAAAAAAAGTAAACAATACTAAAACAAGCATAGAAAATTGCATAGTATTGTCTGATTCGTGAGGATATAAACAAGCAATTTTTTTAGTACCAAAAAAATGGGTACTATAAAAAAAAAGACGTGTTATTCTTTTGACATTTCGATGAATTCGATGTGTAAAGCACTCTGATTTGTTCTTTCATGAAATACGAGATTTGCAGCAATGTGTAAAGCACTCTGATTATCACAATAAAGTGTTGTTGACTTAGAACATTGGATTTTGACATCATTGAGAAGGTAAGTTAACCATTGCAACTCATAGGTGCTAGTAGCAAGGGCTCTATACTTTGCTTCGGAGGAAGAACGAGACACAGTATTCTATTTTTTGGTTTTCCAGGAAATTAAAGAGTTCCCTATGAAGAAAAAATACCCTGTGACTGAACGGCGTGTGGAGACGCAAGTTGCCCAATCGACATCACTAAACCCAATTAGGTGGATAGGAGAATTCCGTTTGAAGTAGAGCCCCTTGTTTGGACAGCCTTGCAAGTATTTAAGAACTCTTTTTACAGCACCTAAATGAGACTTTGTAGGATTTGCCATGAACTGACTTAATTGCTGAGTTGCAAAAACGATGTATGGACGAGTTGTTGTGAGGTAAATCAAATGACCAACAAGGCGCCTATAGGATAGGGGATCATCAAGTAATTCACTCGAATTATCTTGTTTTAAACAAAGAGAGCTATCCATAGGTGTGGAACTCGGTTTACAACCCAATAATCCTGAATCTGAAAGTAACTCAAGGCAGTATTTTCGTTGAGATACAAAGATGCCATCATCAGACCTGCTTACTTCTAATCCCAAAAAATATTTGAGTTCCCCCAAATCTTTAATTCGAAAATTGGATTGAAGTGTATGCTTGAGCTTTGTTATTTTAGTGAAAGAGTTGCCATTTAAAACAATATCATCAACAATATCATCAACGTATATCAATAAAGCAGTAAATTCTCCTTTTTCATGCTTGATAAACAAGTTGTGATCAGCATGTGATTGTGAATAACCAGATGAGAAAAGAAGGTTAGAGAGTTTTTCATACCATTTTTGACTTGCTTGTTTGAGCCCATAGAGAGATTTCTTGAGCTTGTAACACTATAAGGATTCATGCCCATATAGACCTTGAGGAATCTTCATGTAAACCTCCTCGGACAAGTCACCATGTAGAAAGGCATTACTAACATCCAGTTGCTGCAATTGCCAATTGTTTATGGAAGCTAGGGCAAGGATAACTCATATGGTGGCCATTTTAACCACTAGAGAAAAAGTCTCGAAGAAGTCTATCCCTTCAACTTGGGAGAATCCTTTCGCAACGAGCCTCGCCTTATATCTCTCCACATTCCCATGTGGTTTCCTTTTGATTTTGTAAACCCATTTACATCCTATAGGCTTGACATTCTTAGGAGTTTCCACAATTTCCCAAGTTTTGTTCAGCTTTAAAGCCTCAATTTCATCCTTCATGGCTTCTTTCCAACACGGCTTCAAAATTTCTTCTTGATAGCTTCGGGGCTCAATCTCAGAAGTTAGGTTCATGATATAATGACACTCAGACTCAGTAATGGAAGAAAGAACAGATTGAATAAGATACCTGCACGTTGACGATGATTGATTTGGTTTGGTCTCTATGTTGTAGCAAACAAAATCCGCAAGTCAAACATTGGGTTTAGAGCCACAAGTGGTTCGTCTTTGTATGAAAGGAATAGGGCTTAGATGAGGTGATGAAGAGATATGTGGCGAGATTGACTAGGATGGAGAGGTTAATGGCAAAATTTGTGGAGAGGATGAGGTTGTTGGGGAAGATAAGTTTTGAGGTGAAATGGGAGTCTGTGATGGAAGTTGGTCCTGAGGTGTAAAATTGTTGGGTTGAGGTGTGAGTTGGAGAGGATCAAAGTCATTGAAGGTCTCTGTTTGTGGAGGAAATAACTTTTCCTTTTCTTGGGCCTCGTGTTTGTTGTTAAAAGGAAAATGGGACTCATAGAAGATAACATCTCTAGAGACAAAAATGTCTTTATTTTGTAAGTCTAAAATAACATAGCCTTTTGTACCAAATTGATAACCGAGAAAAACTCCTTCTCTAGACCTAGGATCAAATTTCTATTTGGGCCCAGTTGTTGATGCATAACATAAAGAACCAAAAACTTTAAGCATGGAAAAATCAGGTTTTTGATTATGCAAAAGTTCATAAGGAATTTGTTTCTTTCTAACTAGAGAAGGTATACGATTAATAAGATAAACTGCATGTTTTATTGCATAAGATCAAAAATGTTTGGGCAATTGAGATTGAAACATGAGAGCACGTGCCACATTGAGAATATGTTGGTGTTTTCTCTCAACACGCCCATTTTGTTGAGGAGTATAAACACAACTGGTGTGATGTATAATCCCTTTTGAAGCAAAAAAAATTTTAAGAAAAAATTCCGGACCATTATCCGTCCGAATACATTTTATTTTGGAATCAAATTGGTTTTCAATTAAGGAAATAAAATTTTGAACATGTATTTTTAGTTCGGATTTTGATTTCAATAAGACAATCCAATTATATCTACTAAAATCATCCAAGATAGTTAAAAAATATTTCTCACCATGAATTGAGGCCTCAGAAAAAGGTTTCCAAATGTCCATGTGCACCAAATCAAAGTTTTTAAAAGCTCTACTATCACTAAGGCAATAAGACAATTTTCTTTGTTTTGCAAAATGACAAATGTCACAATTTTCATTAATATGTTTTGGAATAAAAGGAAATTGTTCACATAACATATTTAATCGGTTTCCTGAGAGATGTCTTAATCTATAATGCCAAAGGTTGGAGTTTGAGACGGCATTGGTAGCACTTTCATTAATGGAAGGTTTGTTTGGTGAAAGAATCTTGGCTTCTTTTTTGACTTATAAATGATAGAGACCTCATTGAAGATTAGCCAAACCAATCATCCCCAATGTACGCTTGTCCTGGATAGTGCAAAAAGAATCATGGAAGATGAGAATATATTTATGAGTCATTATGAGTTTGGATATGGATAAAAGATTAAAATGAAATTCTGGAACAAACAAAACATTGTGAATGATAAATTCGGGAAAGAAAATGACTGTTCCGGATATATGGGCAGTAACAATGGACTTATCAGGTAAACTTATTTGTATTGGTTTAATGTTAGAATAATTTGAAAAATAATTTAGAGAAGATGCAACATGATCTGTTGCTCCTGAATCTATGATCCAGGGGACATTGTGAGTGGTGTAAAAGGTGTTGTGTGTGTTAGTTCAAAAAACAAAGGAGGTACCACTGGACTCAAAAAAAATTTTGAGCATTTGGAGTGTTGATGAGATTCACTCTATTGGGCTGAACGAGAGAGTTGGGCCCTGTTACATCAGAAGCATTTTTTTGTTGCTGTGGTTGGAGCAAAGACATCAGGGTTTGATATTAGGTCTAGGTCAATGTGATGGGGCCTCCCTCATTCTCTGAACCGTTGCCTCCCTCAATTGGTTCAATCACAGCTGCGTTGTTGATGGAGGAAGAACCAGAGGCATCGCGGTTGAACTTTGGCCTTCCTAGGTATCAAGGATGGCCAGGGGGATAGCCATGCTTTCTCCAACACACGTCAATAGTGTATCCAGGACGGTGACAGTAGGAGCATTTCTTGTTGGAGACTCCTTTGACAGCAGAAGAAGGACCAGAGCCACGCCCTTTGCCAGAGAAAAAGTGATTAGCTGCGTTCACAAAGGCGTTGGGCTCAGTAGGCGAAGACGAAGCGAGTTGTCATTCTTGCTGGACAACCATGGAGAAGATGCGGTTGATAGCGGGGAGAGGATCCATCAAAAGAATTTGGTAACGCACAACAAAGAAGCGCTCGTCCAAACCTTTGAGGAATCGGATTATGAAATTCTGTTGGTGGTAAGTTTTTGCAGGAAACGAGCAAGAAGAAAAGGGTCTGTAGTTATCGAGTTCTTCCTAGAGGGTCTTCAGTGCGGTGTAGAACTCAGTGACAGGACGAGTTCCTTGAGAAAGTCCATATATTTCTTCCTGGAGCTCTGCGATTCTGAGGAGATCGCGTTGCAAAAAACGTTCGCAAAGGTCATTCCAAATGTCTATGGCACACTCGAGGAAAATAACGCTTTGAGTGATGGAGGGAGTAACCGAGTTAAGTAACCACGACATGATGAGGGTATTGCACCTTTCCCAAGCAGAATAAAGAGGTTCTTCAACCTTAGGAACAGGAATGGTGCCTAACAAGAAAGCCATCTTGTTTTTTGAGATTAAAGCCATTTTAATGGCACGAGACCAAGACTGATAGTTTGTGCCATCAAGGACAGGGGTTATGGAGACAGAGAAGGGTCCTTCACTAGGATGAATGAAGAAGGGACTCGATGGGTTCATGGTAGGATCAATGGCTTCATTGCCACTGTTTTCTTTCTTAGGACCTTCATTATTGGAGTTCTTTGGACTGTCAGGAGGAGTAGAAGACATTTGGAAGGAATAAGCAGAGCTTCAAGAGGGAGCTCTGATACCATATGACGAAAGATGACAAAAGGTAAGAATGACAGTGTTTTGGAATGTTTTTTTTATCTCTGTTACTATTCAGCAAAGGATCATCCAATATTTATATACAATGATTTCCCTAAATACAACTCATACTCTTCTAGAATTCTAATAGCAGAAAGGACAAAATAACAGAATATTGTACAAGTTTGTTACAGAAAGAAAATTGTGCAAGATTGTTACAGAAAGAATATTGTACAAGTTTGTTATCCAATACGACCACAATAAGCACACTTCTTGTTGGAAGCAATTTTGGTATTATCGGTTGAAGAAGCACCAGGAGGATCGCCACCGCGTCCCTTGCCGGAAAAGGAGAAACCAGCATTAATGAACAAATTGGGCTCTTCTGTGACAGAGGAGGATGAGTGTTGCCATTCCTACTAGACAACCATGGAGAAGACCCAGTTAACCGAAGGCAAGAGGTCCATAAGCAGAATTTGAGAACGCAAATAGAGAAGCAGTTATCAAGGAGGAAGCAAATAATAAAATCCTGTTGGTGGTAAACCTTTGTAGAACAAGAACAAACAGGAAAAGGGCAAAAAATGTCAAGCTCTTCCCAAAGGCACTTGAGAGCAGTATAATAATCAGAGATCGCACGAGAGCCTTGCTAGATGCCATAAATCTCTTCTTGGAGCTCTACTATTCAAAGCAAATCACTTTAGGAGAATCTTTCCCTGAGGTCAGTCTAGATGTCTATGGCGTGGTCAAAGAAAATGATGCTCTGAGCAATGGATGATGACAAAGAATTGAGGAGCTAGGACACGATCAATGTTGCAATTCTCCCAAGAAGACTGCAACAGACATGTAGCAAAATGCACAAGTATGGAATATGTTCAAAAACCCATTCTTAGAAATCAATGCCATACGTATAGATCTAAACCAAGAGTGGTAGTTTGTCCCAATTAAGGTTAGGGGTGACAGAGATTGAGTTAGGATTTTCATTAGGGTGAATATGATTGGGCTAAAGGGGCTAAGACTAGGGTCTGGATGGGTGGCAGCATAGCCACCAAGTACAATAGAGTCAGGAGTAAGAATCTGTGTCAAACATGATAGGAGAAAGGGAGGATTAGCAGAGCTCCAAGTGGAGCTCAGATATCATAAAAGGAAAATAGAACAATGACAAAGAAAGCTCAGAGAAAATAATTGAAAGAATAATTCTACTGTGTATTGTTGAAAACATGAATACAATATATATACATAAAGTTGTGTCGGCTAAGAATAAATGACGTGGCCTAAAGATAAGAATGAAAAGGTATAAAAAATAAAAATACCTCTATTTATAACTCATAGAAATTCTAAAAACTACTGGAAAAAATTATAAGATGTTTACATTTTATTTTTATAATGTATTTATACGAAAGTCATAGGTGGAATATAATATCTAAATCTACTTGAATGATTTATTTGTATGACTGTTAATAAAGATTTTCTTGCTCTTTTAAGCTCATAAGAAATATAGTCAACTAATAAAAATTAGGACAGGATGAAGATCAGCACGACCAAAACCAGAAAACCCAAGATGATAAATTGTAATATGAGGTGAATAAATATCAGGTCAGACAGATTCAATTTTACATTACAACTTCAATTTAGTTTATCTTGTCAGGCTCAAGTTTTAAAAGTGAACCTAACTACACCCAAACCCAAGTGGAGTATAAAATCCCGCTGCCTCCTCTTTGTGCTTGGAGTGAGCAGGAAACCAATGTTCGCTCAAATTCGACATATTCAAACTGAAAATGTATGTCTCCGATTGTGTCGAATTGGGTGACGGGTTATATCATATTACAAAATTAGTTTAATGCAATTAATTACAAATGAGTTTGGGTTAAAAACAATGTCCATCAGAAGCCAACTCGTCTAACACATGTCTTGTCTCAGATTTTATTGACATATTATACTGGTCTCTTCTTAACGCTATAGTGTGCTAAGTCCATTGCTTTATTTTCCTAACAAGGCTTGGTTAAGATTTGGCCTGTTCTACTCCTCCCCCGATAGAAAAGTGTCCTTCCATTGAAGCTAAACCAATAGTTAGGGAGTTAGTTCTAAATTAAATAAAAAATGGAAGATTCATTCCTTTCATGCACGAGCACCTACCCCTTCTTTAAAGAGCAGAAGAAAAGCTAATATCATAGGGAATTGCATGTTTTCTTCTCCGAAGCTGAACATCTAAGTCCAGTCTCTTGATCTCTTCCAGAGGTCAGGACTTATCTACTCCCTCCTATTTCTATTTTAGTCTCTTGTTTCATTGGAGATTGATATATCTCAACCCACTCGTTCAACCTGAGACCTGTACAACCCGACAATGTTTAAGTTTTTGAGTCCTAATCCGACCAAATCTGATTGATGTGCAACCCTAATGAAAACCATGTAACTCAAATATATTTTTTTTTCTAGTTGCACCTACTGAAAATTAAATCAGATATTATTTTTTTTTTCTTAGAAATATTTAAATTAACTTCCCTTGTTGGATTCCTACCAATTCTTTGTTTTAGGTGTATTAGGTAAGGCAGCGTGAGTTAGATACTACGATAGATGGAAGATGAAGAGAGCGTACAAGCTGCACGGCACGCTGATCAAAAGCGGGCAGCACCAAAACCCTCTCTCCCTCCGAAAATTCATTCTTGGCTGCGTGGACTCAGCATATTCATCACCGGAAACAGCACATTACGCAGCCAGCGTGCTCCTCCGTTTCCCCATCCGAGACCCCTTCCTCAACAACACCATCATTCGCCACGTGGCACTCCACTCTCCCTCCCTCGCTTTCTCCCTCTTCACCCACATGCACCGCACCCCTATTACCTTCGACCACTTCACCTTTCCCCTTATTCTTAAACTCCCCAAACTCGACCCTCATCACATTCACTCCCTCATTCTCAAACTCGGCTTCGATTCCGACATTTACGTCCAAAACGCTCTCATTAATGCCTATGGTTCCCGTGGCTCCCTCCACGTCGCACTCAACATGTTTGATGAAATGCCTCACAGGGACTTGGTTTCTTGGTCCTCTTTGATCTCCTGTTTCGCCAAAAACGGGTTCTCCCATGAAGCCCTTTCTCTTTTCCAACAAATGCAGCTACGTGAGAGTGCAATTTTACCCGATGGGGTTGTTATGCTTGGTGTTATTTCAGCGGTTTCGAGCTTAGGTGCCTTGGAATTGGGCATATGGGTTCATGCTTTTATTTCAAGGGCCCGCCTTGGCCTTACTGTTCCACTGGGTACTGCGCTTATTGATATGTATTCTAGGTGTGGGTCCATTGATCGTTCTGTTAAAGTGTTCGATGAAATGCCTCATAGGAATGTGGTTACTTGGACTGTGTTGATTAATGGGCTTGCCGTGCATGGACGTAGCAGGGAAGCTTTAAAAATGTTTTATGGTATGGGGGAGTCTGGTTTGGAGCCTGATCGCTTTGCGTTTATGGGTGCATTGGTGGCCTGTAGCCATGGTGGCCTTGTGGACGAGGGGTGGCGGGTTTTTAAGAGCATGTGGAATGAGCATGGCATTGAACCAACGCTTGAGCATTATGGTTGTATGGTTGATCTTCTTGGTCGTGCTGGCTTGCTCCTTGATGCTTTCAAGTTTGTGGAGGAAATGCCTGTTAGGCCAAATTCTATTATTTGGAGGACCTTGCTTGGGGCGTGTGTGAATCACAATCATCTTGTGTTGGCTGAGAAGGCTAAGAAGCGGATCAATGAGATGGACCCTCATCATGATGGTGATTATGTGCTTTTAGCAAATGCCTATGGTAGAGTTGGTAACTGGGTTGAGAAGGAGAGTGTGAGAAATTCAATGAGAGTGAATAGAATTGTCAAGGAGCCTGGCCTTAGTCTGGTGCACATTGGTCAAGTGGTTAATGAATTTGTATCCGGTGATAATTCTCATCCACAGTGGGAGGAGGTTACCAAATTTTTAATATCGGTTATAGACACTGTAAAACTTAGAGGGTACACCCCTAATACATCCAATGTGTTGCATGACATTGAAGATGAAGAGAAAGAACATTGTCTGGGTTATCACAGTGAAAAATTGGCAGTGGCTTATGTGCTTCTTTATCACAAGGATAGAAGGACCATTAGGGTCGTTAAGAATCTTAGAATTTGTCATGATTGTCATAATTTCATGAAGCATGTTTCAGGTATCTTTGATAGAGATGTTATTATTCGAGATCGAAATCGGTTCCATCATTTCAGCAAGGGATCATGTTCTTGCCGAGATTTTTGGTAAATCGTGCTGGTTCAAATGTGAAAAATAATTTCTTAACATTTACTTATCTGAATCCATGAGAATAACTTTTAACTTTACATTCTATAGCTTCCAGCAATTATATCATTCATTCAGGGAATGACTATCTGTTTATATGCTTCCATAAATTGCAATGCAAGGCCAATATAGGTACGCTTTTGCTTCTTAATCACTCAAAACTAGCGTTCTTTATTTCAAATAAAGCTAAGCTTTATTTCAAATTTTTGTTAGAAATTGCTAGCTAACATCTTTAAGAAAATTTGTGAATTTATACTATACAAATATTATTAAATTAATAAGTTTATGAATATATAGAGTAAATATTTTTACTATTAATAATAAATATTTTATTATATTAATTAGAGCTAAACAATGAGATGAAATCTTTATAATTAAAAATATATTATGTAATTTTAAATTAATTCAAATTAAAGAAAAATTAAATGTTCATTGAAAGGAAAGTCACATGCCATGATATAAAAAGATAATTTACTCCTAAAAACATATTTATTTCAAAATGATAAAGGTAGATAAATAAAAGTAAATAAATTTACTAAATACTCTTTAACTAAGGGTGCTCTTTAACATGAGTCATTAGGAGTTGTTTGGTGTACGAAATCTTTTTTAGTTTTTGAGAGTTTTTTTGTAATGCTAAAAATATGTTTGATATGTCTTATAAATTCTTGGGAATATTATAAAATATTTTCTGGAGATGTTTTGATATCTTATGTGGCTTAAATATTATTTCCTAGAAATATTAATACTTCTTTCAAAATATTTGTTTAATCTCTATGATAATTAATAAATTTTATTTACATTATTAACTAAATTTTTTTTATTTAAAATAATTACAAATTAAATTAAAATTTATGATAAAAATTATATTAGATAATTATCATATGAGTATGTATGTGAAAAAGTAAAATTATATAAAAAAAAGTAACTATATGTATAAAATAAGAGACAAACCAAATTTTACCAATATAAAATGTATTTTTTCTAATATTGTTTAATAATTTAATTATAAAATTAATTGTTAGATTAAAAGTTTTAATTATATAAATTATGTATGTAAATTTTTAAATCAATTCAAAATTATTTTCTTATTTAATATATATTAAAATTAACGTAATATTTATTTAAAATATATGAAAAATATAGACCGGATATCGAAGTTGCTTAGCATTGCCTTACCTACGGAGGTGTACACAAATTTGTGAACAAACGTCGAAAATCAATTGGAAATAAAAGGGCATGACAATTTGTCAACAAAATAAATTAAATACTGCTTCAAATTGTCAACAAAAAGGGTTAAAATTGTGGTAAAAAAAATAAAATATGGTCAAATATTTATGGGACGGTAATCATGAATGTCGGGATTAATTGATTAAAAGGTGATATGTTTTGGCTTTATCTAGAGGGCATTGTTTCGGCAATCTTTCGTTTTAAAACCCCCTCTCAAATGGCATAGCATGAATGGTAATGACGGTATTTATTAGAAAAAATTATTATTTAATTTTTTAATATATTTCATTGTCGACTTTATTAATTTTTATAAATTAATTTTAAAAAATCTTTTTGAATTTGCTTCGCTTTATAATCTTATTTTCTATTATACTTGTCGTTGCAGTGTAACTTATAAGAGTCGTGAGAACTTGACGTTATTCCCACCGTCCTTCGGTATATTATTGGCAGAGTCTCTCGAGAGTGTAACATGCACCACCAAACATTATAAAAGTGGATATGAGTATTTAGGATTGTGAGTGAGACAAAAATTATACTCAAGTTTTGAACTCTACAACGAGGGTGCAAGAGTCGAAGAGAGATGTAACTAGAGTAAGATAACAATCACATTTGTGAAAGAAGAAAAGAGACTTGATAAATTTGTGTTTGTTAAATCATTCACTCTTGAATCATGTTGAAAATTAATAACAATTTCATGAAGCATTTTTTGTTTTGGATGGTTGGATTGTTGAAATGAGGTATGTGGTGTGATCAATAAAGTTTGTAAAAGAACTTTATTTTTTTAGTATTTTCATTTTCTTGATTCTCAATTTTGTAAGCTTTGTTGCTAAAGTTGATTAACTGGTTGTAAATTTGTGACGCTCTTGTACCATTGTTTGATCATAGTGAAACTATTTCTTTAGTTGACAACTCATGACTTTTACCTCTCACATTGAGTGAGATTTTCCATATTAAATAACTTTTGTATCTACTTTCTAATTTGTTGTTTTTAGTTGTTGTAATATTTGTTATTACTCCTCGTAGATTCTTGCAAATTGATGATTTAATTATGCCATGTTATTTAATATTGCATTTGTGTTGGTATCTCCCATCAGAGTGGCATCAAAACTATTTAGTTTATAGATATTGTACTTTCTTGAATGTTAAAAGTTAATGCAAACAAAATGGTTAATTTAATGACACTAATTATCACTTATGGAGGACGAAAATGGAAAACTTGCCATTTATGAAGAAAAGAATTACATCTTCATATCTTTACTACTTAGAAGTCGGATTCTATGTCTGATGAAGAATGAAACTTTAGTATTAAAAAGTGTATGATTTTATTTGGCATTTTGTGGATGATAATGTTTATAACATAGTGAGTGAGACACGTGTCTGGACTTTGTGAAAGAAGATTGAATTTTTTATGCCTCTAAGTTTGGAAATAACAAGTTATTTTTGCTCAGTTCCATTGTGAGTTTGAAGTACAAAGAAAAGACTTCCATTTTAGATCACTTGAATAAATTTCAAGGGCTCCTTGATTAGATGTCAGGAATGGGCATCGAGTTTGATGATGATATTTTAGGACTATTGTTGTTGAATTTTCTATCTTAGTCTTGAGAGATATTTAAGGTCTTTATTATAAACTTAGCCCCTAATGGTATTGTCTCTTTGTAAATGGTAAATGATAGTGTTCTTAATGAGAAGATAAGAAGGAAGGCACAAGATTATTTATCTTAATCTGAGGGGTCTGTCACTAAAAATAATGGGAGAAGTAAAAAAAAAAAGAATCGAAAGGTAGTAAAGATAAGAGTACAAATAAGTCTAGAATCAAGAATGTAGAGTGATATTTTTGTCACAAAATAAGGCACATACAGAAGAATTATTTTTAGTGAAAAAAGGAGAATAAAAGCAAGAGAAGTAGGTCAAAGGAGAAGAATCATAATGATGATAATCGTATTATCACTACTATTAGTATATGTGATGATCTTGTTATTTTTCGTGACTTATCTTGTATTAGATGAAAACATATAGATAATTGATAGTGGTGCTACAATGCATGTTACACTAAGGAAGAAGTTCTTCGCATCTTACACTTTAATTGACTTTGAAGCTTTGAAGATGGATAATGATGGTGTATTAAAGGTAATTAGTGTTGGTGATGTTTGCTTACAAACTAACATGAGACAGTAATGTTGCTTAGAAGAGTCAAACATGCTTCACATGTTTGCTTTAATTTGATCTATATGCAAATGCTTAATGATGGTGGTTATTATAACGACATTAGTTCTAGTAAAAGGAAGCTTATTAGAGATAACTTAGTTTTATCCAGAAAAGAGAAAAATTTTACACTATCTTGGACAAAAGCTTTAAATGTTAAAGACAATGTGAATCCATAGATATAGAGACATCTTTGTAGCAACAAAGGATTAGTCGCATAGGTAAAAAAAGAATGAATTATTTAACCAAAAGATATGTACTTTCATGATTGAAGAATGTAGAAGTGGCGTTCTCATTGCATAACTGGTAAACAGATCAAAGTATCTTTTAAGAAACATCCTCCCTCAAAGAAGTTAGAGTTACTTGAATTGGTATATTTTGATGTTGTGGACTGTTGAAGGTAAAGTCATTTAGTGGTGCAATTTCTTTTTATTACCTTTACTTATGATTATTCTAGTAAGCTTTGGATATATGCTTTGTAGACAAAAAATCAAGTGCTTGAGAAGTTCAAATAATTTCAAGCTTTGGTTGAGAGATATTTAGACAAGAAGCATAAATGCATTCGTACTGATAATGATGTTAAGTATTGTGAATTTTTTTATGTTTATTATAAGCAATAAGGTATCAAACATGAAAAGACTATTCTTAAAACTCCTCAGTTGAATTGTACAACAAAGAGGATGAACAAGACTTTGATTAAGAAAGTTAGGTGTATGCTTTCTCAAGCAAGATTGCTTAAGCATTTTTAGAGTGAGACACTCTATATGGTGGTGCATGTTATTAATCTTAGTCTTGTACTTGCTTTGAATATGTTGGGTATTGGATTCCCATCCTATGTGGAAAAAAGGTCCAAAATGAGCAAATCTAGTTTGTCTTGCTTATAAAAGTGGAATTGAGTCTTTAAGTTTGTGTATGGGAGAAAATGAATGAGAGAGAGAGGTCATGTTCACATTATCCACCCTATAATGGGGCTCAAGAGTCAAAGAGAGAAATAGATCATTAGAATAAAAGAGTAATCGCCTTTATGAGAAAAGAAGAGAGAAAGTTATTTGGACATAACCTCAGAACAATCTTGGTAAATCTGCATTTATAAATTCGTTCAACATTAGATCAGGCTAAAAATTGTATAACAATCTCATGACATATGGTTCTTCGTTTTGAACAGTTAAATCATTGAAACGAGGTATGTGTAATCAATAGTGTCGTTGATAAGTCCACATTTTGATATACTTCTTGAGCATGCTCATGTGCATTTATTATTGATTTAAAGGAGTTTTTACACTAATTATTCTGTTAATTGTTATAGATGGGCATGTGTGAAGACTCACAGGAATTTTGGAGATTTTGGGCGCAAATTGAAGAGAATTAGGCAATTAAGAAGCAAACACGTCCAATCCTTTCTTATTAGCACGTTCATGCCTCGTTATCATGCACAGTCGTATTGATATAAAGCACACCCATGTTTACAATGTGAGCACACTCGTGCATCCATATGGCACGACCGTACTAACATGCGTAGTTCATTAATTTTACATGATTTTAGATTTGAAAAAGCATATAAAAGAGGGTAGAAAGGTAGTGGGGGATTCATTCCCTTAAGGAGACTTGATATCTGAGTTTTGCGTGATTCTCCCATCTCTTCCGCATGAGATCTCTAGCACATTCGTGGAGGATTTAGATATTCAGACGATCAAACTTGAAGAACGGGATCTTCCTTCTAGTTTATTTTCCATCTTTGTTTATGATTGTGTTTATGGCTTTATTTACAAATGCCTAAATTTCCTTCTTAAGTATGAGTAACTAAACTCATAGCTAAGGTTATGAGAACCCTTGTCCATGATTTTATGAGATTTTGATAATTAAATTAGATTTGTACCCTATAATTCTTTATAAGGCGTGTGTTATGATTTCTATTTTACGATCTAGTGATAAGTGCTTGAATCTTTAATTTCAACTTTGCAATTTTGTATCCTTCGTGTTCAAACAATTAAACAAAAAAATTCTTAGTAATTGGAAGATAATCATTGTGGGACGATAATTCAGGAACTTTAGAATCTTTTATTACTTCTCGACAGATACACCTGCCCACCGAATGCTTTATTTTTCATATACTTTCATCTTCTTGATTCTCAATTTTGTAAGTTTTATTGTTGGGATTGATTAACTAATTGTAAGCACTTTTTGTGCACTTATTTATCATTCTCTTGTACTTTTTTCTATAGTGAAGTTACTTCTTTGATATGGACATCTTATTTTTATCTCTCATATTAATGGAGCTTTCTACAATAAACAACTTCAATACCTACTTTCTATTATGTTATTTTTAGTTGTTGAAATATTTGTTATTGTTTCTCATAAATTTTTATAAGTTGAGAAATTTAATTTCATTATGTTGATTATTATGTCTCGCTTGAATGTTTGAGTCTTTCACAACTATCAACTCGACGTGGTCATCACTTGCAAGATAAGGCTAAAATCTAGACTTTACTAAACAAGCGAGAAAACCTCTTTTTATTTAGTAAACCAACAACCAAGGGATTAAGCTACGCAAAAGTCATGTTCACGCATCTACCCACTAGTATCAAAAAACAATGACACTAGAAAGAGTTTCAAATTCGAAAGACACCAGCTCCCTTCTTACTGATAGCACAACTATGTGTTGGCTGAGAATGTGATTGTTTTTGCAAAAAGTAAATTTATTCAAAAGAAGAACTAAATTAAAAATACAAAAGAATTACAAACTAAAGTCTAAATAAAGTGTCATAATTTGATGGGTTATTTATTGAAAGGTTCTAAAACCCCTAAATTGTGAAAGTATAGGAGAAATCTTCTTATCTAAACCATCTTTTGAATTATATTTGACTAAATAAAAAATATTTATTTATATTTTTTATTTGACTAGAACTACATTCTATATTTGATATGACCTAACCCATATAAATGTGACTTAAAAAATGGAATTAATTAAGTTAAATTGGTACATGATGTAGAATGATGGTTGAATTATGTAAGGATAGCAGGTATTGGTCTTGAGCGAATCAAGAACTTTCAGAATCACCGATCTTTGTGAAGATTGACAAAAAGAATAGTGATTTCTAAGAAAAAAAAACACATTTTATGTTAGAAATAACATAATTATATTTCAAAAGAATTTATTAATTATTAATTTTATTTTATTACTCTAATTTAATTATTATTATTAATCATATCTTCAGTTTATATAACGTTTACTTGAACAATTATAGTGATTAAGGTATTTTAATTTTGTGAGAAAATCCCAAAGAAGATGTACAGACTTTTATTATATTTATTTCTCTAGGTTATGGATTGATGTAATTTGCTAATTCTTGAGAGTCTTGTACATTCAGATAAGAAGAGTCTGCTGTATCCTAAAGAATTTTTGACTATACCGAAATAATCCTTAAATACAGTGTTATGCACGTCTCACACTAAATTATTGATTAGCTACTCTGAGTTATTTTGACAATATTTTATACTTAACAAAAAAATGAATTACAAACAAACAAAAGGAAGTAATTATTTCTTTACGTTACGATGCAGAAAAGCCACGCCACTTTTTTCTGCATGCCCACAGGCAATGTGCATTACAGACATCCAAGTTGCACGTGAAATTTTTGTATCATCCACAATGTCATGTTTTACTCCAGGTTTTTTGCAAATTTAACCAGTTACTATCACACAATAGTTAAGTTATTTTAGGTTCTCGTTAATAATCTTAAAATAAGTTATCCTTGCTTACGACAACCACTAAACTGAACACTGATTCGTTGGATTGCATGTTGAGTGGGTTGTTCGAAGGGTCGGTGCCCGTCCTGCTTGATGCTGTTCCTACTCCATCCACACGCTTTTTTTTTAAGGCATGTTAATGATTACGCCTTGCATGAATCATGAATGACTGTGGGGAAGTTGCTAAATAAACCTTGGAGAATTTTAACCAATGTTCAAAGAAAAAATAAAGTAACTATAAGCGTTTTTTTTATTATTATAAAAATAAATATTTATTTTTATATGTATTATTTACTAATTTTATTATATCCTTGTTTATTATGAGATTATATTAATAAGATATTTATTATTCATACAAGTCAATATATTCATTCATTTAATATATAAGTCATTAATTTATTATAAAAAACTAAATAGAATAATGTTTAATGATATTAATATATTTTTGTTACAATATTTGATAAAAAAAAATGTTTATTTATTAATTTTTTAATGTGTCTTGAAATATTCACAAACAAGACTCATTTTTTCAGGGTGGAAGGAGGGGTTTGAAGTAAAAGCAGTAACCGTAGTGTCTACTAAGACCAAAATTAAGCAAGATGGGAGGTAAGATGGCGTGAATAATGACCAAGCATGCCATAGATTCAGGATGTAGATAGGGGAAAAAGATATCAAAATGGGAAAACGTTAAATGTATTTGTGGCATATATATACATACGCTTAGGTCCTTGCAGGCTGAAAATAAATCTGGATTAAACTTACATTTCATTTTTCAAAACACCGAGACTTGGGGAAAAAAATGGAAATGCCACGCTCACTAGTGGTTTGGTTTCCATTTTGGAGCATGCTTTTGATCTCTCTCATGACAAATGATGTACTGGGGAATCCGTCATTCACTGCAATGTATGTCTTTGGAGATTCACTAGTGGATAATGGGAACAACAACTATCTCAACTCCTTAGCAAAAGCCAATTTTGAACCTTATGGCATTGATTTCTTTGAGGGTCCAACTGGGAGATTTTCTAACGGCAAAACTCTCGTTGATTCCCTGGGTAACTTGCTTCTTGGATTTTGACATATTAGTTTATAGAACATCATTTATTATATAATATTGATTATCGTAGTCAGGAAGTGTTTATTGTAATTCTCATGTATTATTGTTACTCATTTAAAATAAATCTACTATTAACATGGTCATAAAAAAATGACATTTGAGACAAAAAAATATTTAAATAAGAGTCAAAATAGACATCTAAGAGTGAAAATAAACACATTTAATACTTCATATTGTATATCATTTTTTTATTTTTTTATATACACATTCCAAAAATATACTCAAAGTTGTGCCCAAAAAATATGATAGTAATATTCTCCATTCCAAAGTAGTGAAATTTTCACTGACATTTCGGTTTTGCAGGGGAAATTTTGGGCCTTCCTTTTCTGCCATCTTTTGCGGATACTGTAACGGGAGGCAAAAACATTTCCTGGGGTGTAAACTATGCTTCTGCAGCTGCTGGGATAATTGATGAGACAGGGCGAAATCTGGTAATCTCTGTGTTAATTAGTAACTAGATTGTGTTTTCTGAAACTGCTGTATCCATGTGTTTACTCAACTCAAAGGCCAAAATGACACAGGGAGAACGCATTAGCTTTACCCAGCAGGTGCAAAATTTTAAAACAACCTTAAGCCAGCTGAAGATCCAAATGGAAGGCACGAAATTGAATCAGTACTTGGCAAATTCATTGACTATAGTGATCCATGGCAATAATGATTACATAAACAACTATCTTGTGCCTGAAATGTTTACAACAAGCTTCATCTATGACCCAAAGAAGTATGCTGATGTACTCATTGAGGATTACAAAAAGCAGAATATGGTAATTAAATTTTCAAACACATACATAGTTAAAGGAAATTTAATAGATAGTACTAGCAAAGTAGGTTTAGGAAGGAGTTCATGCTCACATGCTGCTAATATATAATTAAAACAAGTATGAAAGATACTGAATGTAGTGCTACTTTGACAGATTTTGCATGGTCTGGGACTCAGAAAATTCTTGCTGGCAGGAATTGGCCCACTTGGTTGCATACCAAACCAGTTAGCCAAAGGCTTTGCCCCTCCTGGGGAGTGTCGAACTTATGTCAACGACATAGTTGACATGTTTAATGTTTTGTTGAAATCTCTGGTGGAGCAACTGAATGGAGAGCATCATGGTTCAATTTTTGTGTATGGCAACACTTACGATGTTTTCAGTGAGTTGATAAACGAACCAGCAGAAACCTACGGTAAGAATGTCCTTACTATCTATATTAATAAATATTACATGCTAGAAACTAATAAACAGTGTGGAACAATAATTAAAGAATTAGAAATATTATATTATATATTTACTATAATTTTTTTAATATATTCAAAGCGAATGAATTGAGCAGAAAAAGAAAGATAAATAAAAAAAAGGGTAACTTTTACTGTGTTTTGTAAATTGACAGGAGCATAGAATATTTTTTCACACGCGAAACAATTGTTACTTTTAATTTTACATCAATAAATAATAAAATTAGTTATTTATTTAAAAAATTTAAATATTTTTAAATTTTTAAGATATTAGAGGATATAAGAATTAATAAAGAATATAATAATTGCATGTTATATATGCCACAACAATAATAATCTGCTAATGTGATTTAATCATTTGTACAGGGTTTACAGTAACTGATAGTGGCTGCTGTGGTATGGGAAGAAATCAAGGACAGATAACATGCTTACCAGGGTTTAATCCTTGCACAAATAGAAACCAATATGTATTTTGGGACGCCTTTCATCCCACAGAAGCTGTGAACAAAATTCTTGCTCAGAGGGCTTTTAATGGATCTCCTTCTGACTGCTACCCAGTTAATGTGAAACAGATGGCACAAATGTGGTTATCATCTGGTGAAAACAAAACTTCACCACCCTCTGTTATATAAACAAAATTAGAATGTGTGGAAACTCTTCGTTGTTTTAATATGAACCATTTCTCAATGAATTTCAATGTAAAATATGATAATGATGAATAATATAAGAGGACCTATTCTAAACAAATTCTTCTTGTGGAATGTATTTAAAAGAGTTTAGAATAGATTATAAAAATAATTTATAAATGATTTTTTCAGTTTATTCTAATAAGTTATATATTGAAATGCATTTTAAAAGATATATATATATATATATATATATATATATATATATATATATATATAATGGTATGAGCTTCAGCACGACAAACTTTACCTTAATGTTAACCAATGCAATTTTTTAATCACGTATCACTGCTAAAACAAATTAAAAATCCGGAGGAAATAAAATTCTCTCAAGTTTTCTGAATTCTTTTGCAAAAATATTTAGAGACAGAATGTGATACCCTTACTATTTATTAAGCAATAAATATAAATACAATCATAAAATAACTAAGCAGTAAGAACATCACATGCATGGATATATATATATTTATTCAGATATAGTGAAATTAAATACATTACCATTACTAGAAGTCTTCATTTCATACATACACGTCATCTGTTAATTTATACAATCATCCAGTTATCTAAATATATACATAACTGAATTACATACGAAATAAAGTGGGGTCACGATATCAGAGATGACAACCCAAAACGAAGACCTCACGAGCTTTTCCCTGGATCCATGATCACCAAAGTGCCCATTTCCTCCCAAAATTCAACAACGGTAAGGTTAGGCTTCCTATATACCCATTTTTCTTTTCAGTCAAAAGTACTTACACCTACGTATATGTATAGATTATTCCTTACTCGACTCTATCCTACTCTCCTTTTCCACTAGATTCCTACTCAGAGGAGGTAAAATTAGGAAGGAGTCATGCTTGAGAAGCAGTCCTCTTCCTTCCGATAGCAGTAAAGGTGTTTGAATAGTGAGAAGAATCAGGAGAGTCTGAAGAATTAGAGGAAGACGAAGAGGAAGTGGATGAGATAGAGATAGGTCTTGCTAAAAGTGTGTCAACTAAACTAGTCCGTTCAACAGGTGGTAAATATGGTATAGAAAGACGTAAAGGTCTAAGGAAACCTGGGGGTAATATCGGGGGTGATAATACAGGGACAGGAGGTGGGGTAGGGGGTCACACAAACTGTACATCTGGAGGAAATGGAAAAGTAAGTCTCATGGGTACTCGGATGGGGATAGGGTAAGCTCGTGGGCCTGACCCATTTCTATCTAACAAAAAGGTAATAGATCCAGTGTGGGTGAATCGTTGTTGCTCCCAGTCGTGCACCCATCTTCCCTCGGGATCATATCTGATCGAGACGCTGAATTGGTACGGTGGTCGAGCCATCAATGTTCTTACCTAATAAACATATTCACACACAACACACATAGCAATAAAAGGGTGAGACAATTCGATTCAATCTCCAGCAGCAAAAGACATATAAGGGTTTCAATCACACAATTAATTATCAACACCCATAATCTACCAAGCAAATGCATATGCCATGAATGAGAAATGATGCAAGTCTATTATTATAACTTAGTACATTTTGACACATGCATGTGGGCCCAGAACCATCAATCTGTTTCTTTTACTCAGGGAAGGATCAGGAGTTTCACTGTTACTTAACTACCAACTTTGTTAATCTCATAATATAGTAACAGCTTTACTAATACAAGAATCTCTCGGGACCAGTCAGGATAGTAAAGTTTTGCAGTGAGAGTCCACAGCACAAGGTGGCGAGCCTTGGCCACTGTCAGATTCAATCACACGTCACTATCCCCAAGACTACCCTGGAGCCGCCCCTAGATTTCTTATACTTCCCTGTCCACTCATCACACTATCACATGTTCATGATGCATGTCTTCATTCCTAATTAATTTAATTAGAGAAAAAATTTAATTTTTCTTTTTTGTTAAGTACAATCCTTAACTTTTTCTTTTCTCAATGAAATTCGACAGAGTCTCCTCTATAAATCAGATATTCCAAAATTTTCTTCTTCCTGTAAAACAACCAGAAAAAAATCCAGAATACTTCTAATTCATTAAATTCCACCTCCATCACCTCAAAATCCAAGAAAATCGTATCTTCTCCTCTTTCTTTAAATATGTTTTCATGCTTAAAAATTGAGGACTTAATCATTTTAAAAAAAATGATTCAAGCCTTCCAAATATCCAATACTACTTTCTCAGTAATATAATTTATTTATTTATTTTTATTAAATCTATTTTCCAAAGAAGTCAAAAGATACTTGTACTATATATAAAATACATAATTATATATATATATATATATATATATATATATATACTTTAAAAACATATTTTCTTCTCTCCAACAAGTCTGAATGGACATTTAGATTATGTCAATGTATATGCTCACATCACATAAAACTAAATTACTTCCAATCTTTACCATTATATGACATTTATACCAACAAGAATATCTACACAAACACATAATGAGAATTCAACCAATTATAAAGAAATAATTCAATACAGCACTTCAACCATAAATCATTCCAATACATTAATTTAAATATACAAAGGACCTTACATATAAGGGAGAGTCCTTGTTCAATTAATTTCCTGGTCTAAGGCAACCTTTCATACATGTCCAGTACTATAACAAAATCTTTTAAAAATTATGGGTTAGCTCTAAAACAATCCAAATTCATTTTATTTGATTAGAACAATAGAGAATTATTCCCTTATGGTTCTTAATGCCACCTATTGAAATAAAATCATCCCACCCCTTACCTTACGGATGTTCTTTGATGAAGGTATGGATGATTTTTTTCTTTTTTGATTCTTTAGAAAAACTCGAACAATCCAATCTTTGAAACGATCAACCTAATCAATTAATCATGCCTAAACATAATTAATACTAAGGAGATGTTAATTTTATACTCTTATATGTATATGTAAAAATTGAAATTTTCTAACTTTTGCTATAAAAGTCCGATTAACACAAAATTAGTTTCTATCATCTAACTAATATAAAAGGAATAAAATGGAAGTGAAAAACACTCACTTCACCTTCTCTAAAACCACATGGCAGCCAACCCTTGTGAGGGTTTAGTGCTTTTTAATCACATTTTTGAAAAACTAATTATGTAAATAATATAAGCCATGCATAGTCTACATATAGTACAAAAGAAAGCAAGTTTAAAACCAATAATTTTGAAGCAAAGTAAGACCCATTTTTACTGTTCATGACAGCCAAAAAAACATGGAAAAATTAAAATTTTAATCGGATGAAATGATAATTAACAAATAATTAAGCTTAATTAAGGATATATATTAAAAACATACCTTAAAACAAGCTTAAATGAGTGGAAGAAAATGAAAATGGTGAAAGGGAGAAGAAAGGGTTATGGACTTGGAGAAGAAGAAGGTTCACGTAAGAAAGTGGTCAATTTAGTCAAATAGGTAAAGAAATAGTAATATAATAATCAATTATTTTGCTATTTTAATGTAATTAAATAAAATAATTATGAATAAAACTCAAAAATAAAAATAATTGATGCCAAACAATTAAAATAATTATAACATAATTTTTGACATCAATATCTCCTTGGTTATCACTTAAAAAGAAAAAAAAAAAACTAATCACACAGTTCCTGTTAACACATAAAACAGTATCAACCAAAATCTAAAAATAAGCAATAATTACCAAAATAATTATTTTTACACTCCAAATATTATTTCTAATTAAAAATATAAATTTTATTATTTAAAATAATTCTTCGTAATTAAAAATGCTATTTTTATCCTCATAGAGCAATTTTAACCGGTATAAATGAGCAATTATTTTTTTTTTTTTATAATTTTTTTTCCAAAAAAATTGAAGAATTATAATCTAAATTATAATTATATTAACAAATTAACTGTTTAGAAAAATGAGGATGTTACACAGAATTTTAATTTTTACAAAAAAATTTATCATAAATATAGACATCACTAAATATTTAGAAAGAAAATATGCGTTATACCTCTAATTGCGACAAATAAATATCCCTGTTTAAAATCTCTCTCTGAATAATAAAAAAAAAAAAAAGAATGAAGATAAAATTTCCGATGCTAATTAATTGAGATGGAAATAAATTCTCTCTTTAATTAGAAATAGAATTTATTACTTGCTAAATAGAGAAAGTTTTTATTCATTTATTTATTCAAAAGGTTATTTTTTCGTCCAAGAATTTTCTTATGTTGCTAATTTGAGAGATTTTTTTTTTCTCTTTAAGCATGTTTCTTATTTGAAAAAAGATTTGATTATCTCACTAATTTATTAGGTTTATAGAGGGAATCAAATTCACTCACAAACATAAATAACCACTACATATCCATGAAAATCACAAAGTTTATCCCACAATAAAATTGACAACTATGCTACATTTAAATTTTAACATGTTCATCAATATAACAGTTACCAATTTATCATAAAAATTATATCAAAAGTTTGGCCTAGGGTCATTATCAAGCTTATAATTACTTGTTTGTGGTTATCGTTGTCTATATATAACTTAACTCCTTTCTAAATTAAAAAAACTAATAAAATATAAGTCTAATTAAGAATGAATTTAATTAGGACGGAATTGGGATCGGTTCTAATTGAGATATCACACAAATAAATTATTAATATTATTATTATTAAAAAAATTTAAAATATAAGTCAACAATAAAGTTAATTTAAACATAAAAATGATAAAATATATTATTGGATAACTACTCACAAGTATTATTTAATATCCGTTAAGAGAGTCAATAAAAATCACGAGTTTAGTAATGTTAATAAGGAAAAAATAATTAAAAAAAAGGGAGAAACTCATTTTTAAAGATAAATACTAAAGCAAAATATCTCTCTGTATATACTAATTAAATTAAATTTAAAAATAAAAATGAAAAAATTAAATTTAATAAAAAAATTAAAGTACTAAATTAAAACGATATTTAAACTTAAAAAAAAAGCGTATAATTAGAAAAATATATAAACCAATTTAGAAAAAGGAAGGAATGTGTTAAAGTGTGAAATAATAAAAATATTTTACATATATAAAAAACAAATAAATTGGAGTGACAATAACGCACCTCTTGTGATTTGATCAATTTTTAGAAGGTAATCATTTTATAAATAAGTGCTTTCATTTTTACAAAACTTAACTAGAGTCATTGACGTAATTTCCTGATTAAAAATTTTAATATAATAATTTGAGATAACATTAAATGTAATTTTTTATTAAAATAAAATTTTAATTGATAAATAATATTAATAAAACTATACATAATTTTTTTATAAAAAATGACTAATCACATAAATTATATTAAAAATATATTGCTAATATTTATTAAAAAATAGAAAAATTGTAACTTTTAAAATTTAATTTATTAAAAATTACTTTAAATAACATTGAATTTATTAAAAAAACTAATTCTTGATTTTTTTTTTACTTTTACTATTATTTTTAAAATAATTATACTCATATATAATAATTTTAACTCACTTATCCTTTATACAGAATCATAATTGCTGTTGAATATTTTTCTCACATCTTATTTAAATAATATATTAATATTAAATAAAAAAATATTATTTTATTTACTAATTAGTAATAAATGAATAAATGAGTGATATTTAATTTTGATATTGTATATTTATAAGTATATTTAACTTATTTTAATTAATTATTCAAGTAATTTTAATAAATAATTCTAAGAATAATAATATTAGTAAAATTGGCTTGAATTTGTTAACATATTGTGGTATAATTTTATTAAGAAATTCATTGTGCACATCACTTATTTTAATTTTATGCAGTTTAAAGCAAGTTTTATCTCTAATGACGCTATCTTCCTATAAGTATCCACGGTGGCCTTTCTTTCTTCCCTTGGCTTCTGCTCTCAGTTTTTGCTACTCCTCCTCTTTTCTTTTTCTTCATCTCTATGTCTTGTTCTCTTCTCATCTTTCCTTTTCTACTTCTTTTTTACCCTTCTTGTTGTGCTTCAGTGTTGTTCTGTGATCTTTGTTTGGGTTCAAATTCCTTGGTCATGTTCTTCAAATCTCTGGGTTTTGGATTCATGCATTTTTTGAAAGTCCTTATTGTTGTGCCCATAAGGATACACTGAATTGGTCTGAAACCATTTTTCATACAACGAACCGTTGCTTATTAATTTTTCCAGCTAATATAGCTCTAGTTGTGCAAAAGCCATAAGAAACTCTAATATTGAATTAAAATATTTTTAAAAAATTGACTACAACTAGCTAAAAGCTACGAGAAAGTTACTTTAAAAAGATATGTAATATTAAGATTAAATAAATTTGATTAAAAATGAATATTGAGTATTTGATAAAACAACAAGTTAGCAGACTGATAAAAGTTTTAAAATTAGTTAATTAAATTAAAAGTGTTTGGTAAAATTAATTGTTGACTGATAAATGTAAAATGACAAATAATGATATTATTAATTTTTAGTCTTAAATTTGTAATCTAATAATTATATATTTTTGAATAATTATAATTTTACTCTGATTTGAAAATATTAACTTAAACGAGCTAATATGAATATTTTATATTATTATTTAATAATTTATATTATAATAAATAATATTTAATAATTTTTATATTTTAATAGGATTTAATAAAAAATATTTAAAAGAGTTTAATGTGAAAGAGATAAGGTTGTAGGATTTTATTTTAAAAATTAAAGAAGTTAAAGAAATAATTTTTAAAAAATGGTAGGGACAAAAATTAGAAAAAAAAAATGGCTCTCAGCTAGTATTAGTGTTTTAAAAAATTACTAATGACAACTTATTACAATTATCTTACAAAATAGAGTTCTCTTTTAATTAAATAAGCCTTCAGGTAACAAAATAAGCTTTTAATTAGTTGAATTGGCTTCTTAAACACTATAAAAAAATTTTAAAGTTATTTTACATAAATATAAACAGTTTTAAAATTTTCTAAAAACGTAAAAAAAATTAGAATATTGCTTCTAATAAGTTAAATGTTACTTAAAGTAATTTTTCACAAGCTACATAATTTTTTTATCAAACAACTTTACTAGCTTATCGATCAATTAAATAAACTTTATATTTCTTAATTAAATATAATTTATGTTATTAAACACTTTAATTCAATCAATTAATTATAACTCATAATTTTTAATTATAAACAATAAATTTTGAACTTATTTATTAAGTTGCAAATTATAATATTTTAATTAGTCTTAGCCCAGGCTAAACAAGCCACATTGACTTGATATGATGATTGACCCTTTTCGGTGGATACCCTCTCCATATATACCCATGGTAACTATTATAATTAGTGAGCAAAGTTGAGGCAAATGGAAAAAACAGCATGACTTTTGAAGAGCTAGTTAATATACAGGGGAGGAGAGAACACAAGGAAGGTATCTCAAAAAAAAAAAAAAAGAATAAAAAGTATCTTTAAGATACTAATAAATATTTCATAAAAAATTACGAAAATATAACAAAAAATTTCGATACAATATTTTTATATTATTTTTAAATGAAAATTAGTTTATTTCAAATAACTCAAGACGTTAGAATTTGACAAGATGCCAAAATAAAATTTTAATTAAAAATAATATAAAAATACTCAAAATACGATGGCTAAAGTTTATCCAAATTTTGAAAGTAACGAGACAGTTACTTATTATTCCGATAGAGCCAACACTTCTCTCTTGTTCCTCAATTCTTCTCCTTCGTCCCTAAGTATGTCCGTACAATTATTTGTTTTAAAGAAAAACATTAACTATTATCCTATAAGTAACGATTAAAAATTTATTTAAAAGTATAATTAATCTTTTAATTTTTATAATTTTCGATACAAAATTAATTTTATATTTTTAATAAGTGTCTTTAATATACTAAATTAATGAGGATATTTTTAAAATCATTTTGGGGTACCCAATAAATTACATTTCATTAACTTTTCAAGTCCATTGTCACAAAACCTGCAATATAAGACCAGACCTTGGTCTTCATCTCACGCTTCTTTGTCCCGCATTTCACGCTTCTGCAGTTACACTCACTACTATCTCTCCGCCACTGTAGTGGCGCGTGCGTCTCAACCGCCGCGTTTCTCCCGCATTTTCTACGGCGGATCTTCCTACCGTACTGGTGATTCCTTCCTTCCTTTCTTATTTTCACTTTTCTTTCTCTTTCTCTCGCGAGCTCAGATATCGTTGTTAAGTTGATACGATGTCGGTTTTGCATTTGTTATGTGTTCTTTGCTACATGCATTGGTTCGTCGATGATTCTCCTGAGAAAGCTGGTTTTGCATGCTTCCTTTCTCTGCGAAGAAAATAAAAATAGTAAAATTATACAAATTAGAAAAGATAGAACAGAATGGGTTTATCTCACTTGCTTCATGAAAACCAGGGAGGTATCTGGTGTTTCAATTTAATTTTTTTTGGGCTTGTTTCTATGGAAGGTTTTTGGCTTGTTTATATACGTTAGCCGCATTTGTATTAAGAAAGCTAAAAATCATAGCAATATTTTGGTCTTCCAAAAAGATTAAGCTATTCTTAGTTCTAGTTTTTTTCTGTTCGGTCTCACCCTGCCTTAATAGTTTTTCTACTGTGAGTCCAAAAAGAGGCAAGTTTTTAATGGAGTCACAGGATTTAAGGCTTGGATAACATCAAACTGCTATAATATTTAATTAAAAAAATATTATTTATCGATTTTTATTGTGTGCTGTTGGATGCACATCAGATTTTTTTTTTTTGATTGGATTTATGTTTTTTTAACCCAATCTTGTTCAAAGTTCCGACCGAACTAAAGAGGAAAAAAATACTTGATGATTTTAAAGGAAGAGGAACTCTGTTGCTGATGTTTATCTTTATTTGTGATATTACGGTTACAATAATAATACTCTTCTTCTGTCATCTTGTTGCATTTCAATTTAAATGTGCGCATTTAATATTTAAAGCAAAGTAAATGTATAGCCGGAGTGCATTTACCAAAATATTGCTTTGCCAGCATACTATTGAGAGAAAAATGCTATTAGATGTTTAGTTCAATACCTGTAAAAGCTATGTCATGTTTTAATTTCTGTAATCACTTTTTCACTCCTTTTTTGTTAACATGTGAAATGTTACCTGATGGCAGGCTTCATTTGTCTGGAGCTTTTGCTGTTGTGTGTTTTGTACCACAACGGATTTTTCCCTGCATTTGATTCTTTTAAAATTATTTTATATTTATGTCATTTCCTCCTACATGTGATTCATGTATCCTTTCATGCACATTGCATTGGTCTGTTTGTACTTTGTAGTTACATTGGGATCCCTCCCTTCACTACCACTGCTGCTGCACGTGATTCATGTAAAAGCATTATCCTTTCACGCGCATTGACCATCTTGCATACCGCATTCCCCCCTTCACGCACATTGCCGCTGCATTTGATTCATTTAAAAGCATTATCCTTTCATGCGCAGTTTGTTGGTCTTTTTGTATTATTACATCAATATTACCTCTTCACACACATTGCTGCTGCACTTAATTGATGTAAAAGCATGATTCTTTCATGGGCATTGCTTTGGCCTTTTTGTAGTATTTCATTAGGATTCCCCATAGTGTGCCACTGCCACTGTCCTTGATTCATGTAAAAACATTATCCTTTCATGCACCTTGTTTTAGTCATTTTGTAGTATTTCATTAATATACACCCCCTTTGTGTGCATTGAGTTGTCTTTTTGTAGTATTACATTGAAATTCCTCCGTTTTGATGCATTGCCACTGCATTTAATTCCTGTAGTAGCATTATCTTTTTACACGCATTGTGTTGGTCTTTTTGTAGTGTTACGTTGATATTCCTCCTTCAGTAATATTTTGTCTCCTTTCCAATTCTTAGTTCATAGTGAAGTGTTAATTATTCTCTTTATTTGAAAATGTAAACTTTTAGTGAATGAAGGTTTTGCATTGATTTGATTCGCATTTGTCTGCAGCTGTAGGTAAGTTAAGATTTCTTTCTTAAGTTTATAAGTAGGTCTTTGCTTTTTTATTGTGATTGATAAATTAACTTAACTAATTTTCCTTTTACAACTTCTATCTGTCTGATGGTTTAAAATGCACTTTACCTCTTTGATCTGTTTATGCTTTTAACCCTCTAAAATAATGATCCAGAAGAGAGCACATACAATGAGTTCTAAAAGAGGGGGTGGGAGATCTTTGCCTATAGCCAACAATGATATGTCCAAAGGGAAAAGCATAACCGAATCTCATCCAAAAATTGAGCAGTTGACTCAGGGTATTGCTGACACTAAGCTAGATTCAGGACAAGATAATGGTGAGTGGGAGGTATATGCAAGGAAATCCAAGAACAGAGCTGGAAGCAGTGCTACAAAACCATGGGGGGGCCCAGCCCATAATTCTAATCCTAGGGCATGGGGGAATACTGATACAGTCCAAAAGTCAAGCATTCAGAGTCATGGTGGAGTAGGAAGAGCTTCTGGAAATCCCTGGCAGACACAAAATGCTAACTTTAGGAGACCAGCAGGCAGAGGAAATGGAAAGCCCCAGTTCGCAACAAGTGGATATGAAAGCAACAATGTGACTCCAAATCCTTTAATTCGGCCTCCACTGGAGCATGGCTGGAATTGGCAATCTAGAGCTGGTGCAATGCAGTCCAATGTAAAGGCTGAAATTATGCCAGAGGACCTGGAAAAGAATAATGATGTTGATGATGATGATGACGAGGAGGAGGAGGAGGACTCTGATGCTACAGAGGATACTGATGATGATCTAATGAGTGATGACTATGAGTCAGACACTAGTCAAAAGAGCCATGAGACACGCAAGAAGAACAAATGGTTTAGGAAATTCTTTGAGATTTTGGATGGCCTGACTGTTGACCAGATAAATGAACCAGAAAGACAGTGGCATTGTCCAGCTTGTAAAGGTGGTCCTGGTGCTATTGATTGGTACAAAGGCCTGCAGCCCCTGGTGACACATGCCAAAACAAAAGGATCAAAAAGGGTGAAAATCCACAGGGAGCTTGCTGTCCTTTTGGATGAGGAATTGCGCAGAAGGGGTACTTCAGTAATTCCAGCTGGAGAAGTATTTGGTAAGTGGAAAGGTTTAAAAGATGAAGAGAAAGATCATGAAATTGTTTGGCCTCCGATGGTTGTAATTCAGAATACAAAGCTTGAACAGGATGAAAATGATAAGGTATAGCTATATTTTTTTGTTTGTGTCAAATGATGAATAGTTAGAGACATTGTATTATTTTGGTTGCTTGTATCTACAGAGCAAAACATTCACATTTTTCTTGGTGTTACTATATGTGTTAACTCTGGATTTTGTTCGTTGTATTTAGTGGATAGGTATGGGTAACCAAGAACTTCTTGATTATTTTAGCACATATGCTGCTGTGAAAGCACGACACTCTTATGGCCCACAGGGTCATCGTGGGATGAGTGTTTTGATATTTGAAGCCTCAGCTGGTGGATATCTAGAGGCAGAGCGTCTGGACAAGCATTTTGCAGAGCAAGGAACTGATAAAGATGCTTGGTTTAATCGCCGTATTTTATATCTCCCTGGGGGGAATCGCCAGCTCTATGGATACATGGCTACTAAAGAAGACCTCGACTTTTTCAATAAGCATTGCCAAGGTCCCATTTCCTCTGTCTTGGTCACTTTTCTTCTCCATACTTGCATTATGCAGATTGTTTAATGTCTTACCAGTTGCAAGTTAATCAAGTCAGAATTCTGTTAACGTTGTATGCTGACATTCTTTTCTCTCTTTGTTATCTGAAATTATGAAGGTAAATCTAGGCTCAAATATGACATGAGATCATATCAGGAGATGGTTGTACACCAAATTCGTCAAATGAGTGAGGACAACCAGCAACTTCTCTATTTTAAGAACAAGGCTGTCAGAGGAGCAAAACACACAAAAGCTCTTGAAGAATCTATTGGTATAATGTCTGAGAGGCTGCGGAAGACAATGGAGGAAAACCGCATTGTGAGGCGGAGAACTAAAATGCAACATGAAGAGACCAAAGAAGAGGTAATACTAACATCAGACAGGCTTAATGTTTATTTTATTGAAAAACGGTTACTTTGTGTGTATAAACTTGTGTAATGTACTTATTTCTTGAGCCACTAAGTTTGAGGTTAGAATATGTTTCTGCTTGATGTTTTGTTGAAAATGTTAGTATTTTTTTGTACTACAAGAGCGGATGAGCTGAAGCTACTGACATGTCTACTTTATCTTCCTGGATGAGATGGTTGTGCATATAAAACTGTGATTATGTACCTGTTAAACTTAGTATATTCCCCATCTAAATGTTGTGTTCTTACTATTATATATTCCGTCTTTTTCCTTAAAAATAAATAAATAAATGAGCAATGATGGTGAAGAGTTATATTGGCTGTGGCTGTAGGTTATTTATCAAGATGGGTTATTTTATAACGCCTTTAAAGAAAAGCATAAAATCTTGTAATGATTTGGTTTCAGGTTTATTATTTCTGTTTTGTTGTGGAGGTCTGATGCATACTGTGAACCAAGTTTTCCATAACAATTTGTATTTATTAATATATTGATTGAATAATTTCCCTACTCTGTGACATGGTAATTTCATCCAAGTTCTTACCTTCTTGGTTAACTTTTTCGTGTAATGTTATGCTTACTAACCCAGTGTTAATCTGTCCTCTCATTGGAAAACAAATTGTTAATACTCAGGTGACTTCATCCTTATTTTTTCTAATGGTTAGCTATTCTTGAGTGTTCTCTAGGTAACTGGTATATTTTTTCTTTATACTTTTTCTCACTAAAGTATCTTGTCAATCAATGAAAGATGTATATGCAAGAACAATTTTTCAAGGACCAGATCAAAATCATTCATGATTCAAGGAATGCAAAGGAAGAAGATTTTGAGAGGTTGCAGCAGGAGGAACGTGAGAAGGTGAAGCAGTCAAACACTGGCCCTTTAAATACTGAGGAATGGAGGCTCAAGTATGTATGGTCATTCCTTGCGAATTTCAATTCCATTGAACTAATTATCTATTCACATCCGAAGCCAATGTAATCTAATAAATTTTTTGCAAGTTAGTATTGTGTAGTTGACTTTAAATTGAATCAGCAGAGAAAATTTTTAAAAAAGACTACACTTAACTTTATGGCTGTATTGCTCTTTTGGTCTCCTTATTTATAGGATTGGTTGATTTTAGTCCAATTTTTAATTGCTTGATTTTAGTCCTCCTTTTTAAAATTTTGCTCACTCAGTTAATTTATCATCTAATTGCTAATGGAGTTTATTGAAGTGAACCACTTGGCAACCAGAATTCCTATACTATCCCTCTTGCATATCTTCTCATCCTTCTCAACTCTCCAACCAAATTCCCTTTCATCCCATCCCATCCCTAAGCTATATGGCATACTCAAGCTCAGTTTCTATGTATGCATTTGCAGTAGAGATGCACTTGCAACAGTCCGATGACTTCACTTCCTCCCACCATTCCTCCCTTCTATGAATCTTCCTTGCTGCCATCTCCCCCCACTGCCGCCAAGCTTCCCCCTTCCCTTCCAAGGCTTTCCACTTGGGATTTTCTCAATTTCTTCAATAGCACTGATGATAGGTACCATCCTCAACCCCATTACATGGCCATTCACAGCAGTGACTCAGAGGAGCACACAGGAGAAGGGGATACCCAATTTGGAAGACAAGAATTACAAACACAAAGTAATCAAGCAAGTGCATGGGAGTCAAAAGCTTGTCAACCCCAAACCCCAACCCCAACCCCATCTCTTCCTACGCAATGGCCACCATGACGATGATGACAAGAATGATGAAAGAGTTCTAATTCCAGTGCTTAAATCGTTGTGACTGAGTATCCCATGGCTGAGAAGGTGCTTGCTCGAAGAGTTGCAGATGATGATTGAGATGCAAGGAGGGATAGTTAAGAAATTTTGGTAGTCACGGTTGTTCACTTTAACAAACTCTGTTAGCAATTAGATGATAAATTAAAGAAGTGAGCAAAATTTAGAAAACGAGGACTAAAATTGCATAATTAAAAATTGGGGGACAAATCGTACAAATTTATAAGTAAAGAGACCAAAAGAGCAATTAAGCCTAAATTTATAAAGTTAATGTTTTTTAAGAGCAAGAATCATGTACATGTACAGGAATACTAATGTCTAGTTATTTGGGTAGTAGTATTTCTATTTTTCAATGGCTTATGGTGAATTTGATTTCTTTGGATGTAGGGCGGATGAGTATCTAAAATTTGTTGAGGTCCAAGATAAAGAAATGGAGCACTTTGTTACTGAAAAGGAGTTACTATATCGTGTACATGCAGAGAGTATTGTTGCAATGAAGCGGAGGCATTGGGAGGAAGAGGTGCTGTTGGAGAAGAAGTTTGATGAGGAACTAGCCAAACTCATGGAAAAGTACTCCCCATCTCACCCAGATGATAAGTCCAATGGAATCTAATGGTGGGGTGTTGCACAGACCCGTACAAACAGATAAACACAGCCAAACAGGTAGAGAAAATAAATAGTGCCCACACATCAGCTTTCTAGAGATTTGGAGTTTGAAAATCAAGTATCTTATTTTCTATTCTATACTTCTATAGTATCTATTGACATTTAGTACATATCTGGAGATTGAAACCTAGTTGAAGTTTGAAATGGTGGTGCATGGTTGTATGAATGACTTGAGAATTTTCAAATTGGATGTCTAGATTTTACAAATTGAAGTTGCGATACTCGGCATGGATGCACATGAGTTATTTAGGATGTGATTTTACAATAAATGCTGGCAAATTCATTAGGAATCAACCGTGAATTAGTATTTGATAATTCGTCGCGCTATTGATATCCTTTTGAAGAAAGTTTGGTACCAAAGTAAAACCCAAACTGCGTGGTTAGTTAACTCCCAATTCTAGACCTGAAAAAGGTTACTGTCATTGAATGAGGGAACTTTTGTACTCTTGGAGGTTGTCTTTCTTTCTAGTTTCTACGTTGCTATCCTCTAAGGAGAAAGGCAACCGTTGGATTTATGTGTAAGAGGCATAGTGTAGTTTGGTAAATTCTATGGTGTTCTAAAAAATGAGATTATTTTTTGTTCTTGTGTAATAGTCATAACTATTGATTTTAATAGTAGAGTTAAGTGATATATTTAAAAAAAATATAAATATTATTTAATATCTTAATATAATTTAGAGAGTATTCAATGTCTAACAAGCAATGTAGTTTTTGATTTATTCTGATTACAAAATAAAGTTACGCAATTTTAAAGAAAGTTTTGAAAATAAAAGTAGGGAAATGCTTTTTATAAAAAAATTTTGCCTAATCGTATCTTTTTTTTTTCATTTTAAAAAAATATTAACTTGTTTTGAAAATTCAATTTTAAAATCATTGTTTAATTCGATTAAGATGTTATTTTAAAGAACGTAGATCACACCCAGCCGATGTTATTGATGCGATTCCTGGAGTTGCTAAGTGTGACGCAAGATTGGGAAGGTTCTATTAGAAAAGATGATCACGTACATATTTGAAAGTTGACAGAAAAAAATGTCCATATTAGAATAATAATTTATTTAAAGAATTAAAATTCATTGGGTTCAGGAAAAAAAAAAGCTGAATAAATCAAGAAATTTACAGCGTGAGAAAGGGAAAATAATAATAAATAAGTAAACTTTTAATTTGTTTAGATTAAAAGTACAAAAAAAATTTAAAAAAATAAAAGTTAAATTATATAGATTTAAATGATATTTTGGTCCTTTTACTAAACTTAAATTTGTAATTTAGTTTTTATATTTAAAAAATTTGTAAACAAATTTTTATATGTAAATTTATTTACAATTTAATTCAAATTATTACTTTTCACTCTAGACGTTTACAAAATTTGCAACATGACTATATAATTTGACGTTTACTTAAAAAAAAAGCTATTCTATGAACTTGCAAGCTTTTTACTGTATTTCAACCCACTTCTCCTTTTCCTTTTGTCATAACTATATCATTTTTTATGTCTTCTTTTATGTTTTAAGGTTTGGTTTGGCTCTAGGAAGATTATAGATTAATGTTTATCAAGATGATGACGAGGCTTTTCAGCTTTAGTCTCACGAGATTAGTTACAAATAAATTTCCTCAACTATCATCTTATTTCTATACATGACTCCATCTTCTAAGTTTTTACCATGTATGAGTTTCCAATTAATACTCAATAAGCCCTATTGCATTAATGCGCTCATGCATAATGATATCTTAAATCTATTATAATGGGAGCAACTCAAAGGAGAAAGAATAACAGAAAATAACGAACCAGCAGAGTACTAATAATGACAATTTTATTGAAATACAAGACAATGTTCAGAAAATGCAGCCATAAGCGACGAAAAAAGACAATAACAATGGCCCTCGCTCAGAGGAGTGCCAATTGGGACATAGAAATTAAACGAGAGAGAAAATTTCTAATTAAACCATCCACACACACTTTCTCTCTTTACAGTTAAGATATTTATACTAGTGGCCACCCTACACGAAATCCTTCAACCGTGTGCTCTTTTGCTTGGATCACGCGCTTTTCCTCACCATGCCTTTTGGCCAGCTACCATGTGTCTTGCCTTGCTATTCTCACTTGGCCCTATATGCTACTTCTCTTTCTTAGCATTTTTAGGCCCATTCCTTACAATTCTCCTCCCATCGAAATTGACCTTGTCCTCAAGGTTGAAATGAGGATATGCTTTCAAAAACACAACATTATCTTTCCAAGTAGCAGTATCTGGAGAGCCATCTTCTCACTGAACCAAAGATTGTTGAATCTGTTGTTTTCCTTGAAGAAATACACGTGACTTTAGGACAGCAACTAGTTGAACCACTGGAAGAATCTCGATATCACATATTGGTAAAGGTACATAAGGTTGATCATGGTTATCATGACAGAGTTTTAATTGAGACACATGAAAGACTGGGTGGATCTTAGGTGAAGCTGGTAAACTCAGTTTATAGGCCACATTCCTAATCCTTTCCACAATTGTAAACGGACCAAAGTACTTCAAACCCAGTTTCGGATTCTTTCTCAAGGCCAAGGAATGTTGTATGTAAGGTTGTAGTTTCACTAACACCAAATCTCCCACCTGAAATTCAACATCCAATCTCTTCTTGTCAGCATATTTTTTCTGCATTTGCTGAGCTCGGTGCAAATTAATCTTCAATTTTTGTATAATGGAATCTCTGGATAATAATTGTTCTTTGATAGTAATTGGATCATTAGCATCGGGAATGTATTTAAGTAACTGAGAAGGTGTAGTATGGTAAGCTGTGTTGTACCAATACTTGGCCTAAGTGAGGAGCTTAGACCATTCTTTAGGGGCATCAAAAGTGAAGCACCTAAGGTATAATTCTAGGCACTTGTTCAATATTTCTGACTGACCATCAGATTGAGGATGGTAAGTTAAGGACATTTTGAGAGTTGTACCACTGAATTTCCATAAAAACTTCCAAAAATGGCTTGTGAATACTTTGCTAAACCATGCAATTTGACTATGTTCTTGAAGAAAGCTTCAGCTTTTATTTTGCTTATGTAATCTATTTTCAAGGGAATGAAATGGGCTGCTTTGGATAGTCTATTAACTACCACATAAATCACAGTGAAACCTTGAGATGCAGTAGGCCAGTGATTAAGTCCATGGCCAAGTTTTCCCAAATTTGATTAGGGATGGGTAATGGCTACAATAAACCCAAGGAAAGTGCAGTAGCTACCTTAGCTTGTTGACACAATAGATATTGTTGGACAATAGCTTTCACATCCTTATGCATCCCTTGCCAATAAAATTGAGTTTCTATTCTTGTCAAAGTTCTAGTAAAATCGGCATGACCTTCAATCATAGAGCTATGAAACTCATGTAAAATGGCTTGTAACAGATCATGACTAGCAGAGACCGCAATCCTATTTTTCCACAGTAACAATCCTTGATGTAAGGAGTAATGAGGCTTGCTATTAGTATTGATGGAACAAGAGGCCCAAATGAGTTTTATTTCAGGATCTTGTTGTTGTGCTTCATACAAAGATGACAATAATTGAGGAATAGGCTGAGACCAAGCCATGTGAAAAGATCTTGAAAGAGAATCAACTGCTATATTGTCTTTCCCTGGCTTATACTCGATAGTAAAATCATAGCCAAGTAATTTGTGTAACCATTTTTGCTGCTTAGGAGTTTGCAAGCTCTTATCCATAATACATCTCAAGCTATTTTGGTCAGTTTTAATGACAAACTTGTGGCCTAATAGGTAGTGTCAAAAATTCACTATAGCCTCAGTCACAACATATAATTCTCTTACATAGGCAGATTGTTTCTGCATTGAGGATGACATTTTCTTTGAAAAGAAAGCAATGGGGTGCAGGTTTTGACTTAATATAGCACCTATTCCAAAACCTGAGGCATCAGTTTTGAGAGTAAATGGTAAGGAAAAGTCTGGTAGTATGTGTGTTTGAATCATGTGGTGACGATATGTATAAATGCATATGAATAAATATACAAATATAAAGTATATAAGTTAAGAATATTTAACTGTGACTGGTCCAGTTGATTAGAAATTTGGCTAAGTATAGGTATTGTAGGGTGTTCTCGCTGTAGCGAGAAGGCCCTAGACGAAGAGCATATGATAGGAATTGAGGTTTTTATTGAATAAACAAAACCAACACAAGGAGTACCCCTGATATTACAATCAAGGTAATGGAAACAGAAAAATGGAAAACAGACAGCAGCAATCTAATAACTAGTGAGAAACCCTCCTATAGCCTGAGCTACCCCTCCAAAGACCTTACCAGATATTTCCTACCCATGTCCTCTGCTCCTTCTGCCTATATTACCTCTCTTCACTTCCCGAATCTTTTCCCCCTCAACCTCGCCACGTGTGCTGATTTGTTAGTCTGTTAGAATCTAGCATAACGGCCTCCTGGATCACCATTCCCCATTTTACCCCTCTTTCTTTGATATGTCTTTAATGGGAGTCCAATTGGCTTAGACTCAACAATACCCCCTCCATTGAGAGGAACCTTGTCCTCAAGGTTGAAATGGGGAAACACAACCTGTAGCATGTCAAATTCCTCCCAAGTACTATCTTCTTTAGGCAAATTCATCCATTTAATCAGAAACGGCCTCCTGGATCACCATTCCCCATTTTATCCCTCTTTCTTTGATATGTCTTTAATAGGAGTCCAATTGGCTTAGACTCAACGGCATGAAATTGTGCTATTCTCGCTGTAATGAGAAGACGATAGTGAAGGGTACATATCTGAATGCAGTCTCGCTGTAACGAGATTTTGTAAAAACTAAAATGTAGTTTTCTCTGAAATTTTCGCTGTAGAGACAAAAGGAGACACTCAAAATAGTATTAATTTCTCAAATTACAGTGTTCTTTTTAAAACCAGGTAGGTCATAGACAATTAGGCATAGTGTTTTGAACTGCAAATATCAACCACGTGATAATTTGAGTATACTAACCAATTAACGATGAACACATTATCGCTTCATATTCAATAATCAAATAATCCTTGTGCCATGAAATAGTTTATCTATTAATGATTAGTTTAAACTACTCAATTTTTTAAGCCATGATCTATACACGTATTTTTCATCCTATTTAAAGAAAAATAAATGTCTTCATGAATGCCATGATGCACAAGATTAAGCTAAAATTCCAAGGGTTCTTTAATTTGTTGATCCAATGTTTGTAGTGTACTGTAAATAATGCTTCTTTGAGGGTGTGAACAGTCTCCAGCCATAAAAATGTTATTTGTCCTCTCAACTTCGATCCAGCTGCATCCTGCTGGCTTTTTCAAATCTTTGTTCCTCATCAACTTTCTGACTTCCATTACACTATCCCATCTGGCATCTGCTGCATACAAATTTGATAATACAATGTAGTTTCCGACATCGTTAGCTTCAATTTTGAAGAGTTTGTCTGCTACAATTCGCCCTAATTCTATTTCATGATGTGTTTTGCAGGCACCAAGCAATGTCCCCAAAAGATTAGCGTTAGCCTCAATGGGCAAACTGGTCACAAGAGAGTATGCTTCACTAACGCGGCCACCTCTAGCTAGGAGATCCACCACACAAGCATATTGCTCCATAGTGGGTTTCATACCATGGATTTTCTCTATTGAATAAAATATCTTCAGTCCTTCATCTATGCGGCCAGCATGACTGCAAGCAGATAATATGGAAGTAAAGATAACATGATCTGGCTTGATTCCCAACATGAGCATGTGAGAAAAAATCTGAAGTGCTTCTTCAATCATGCCATGCATAGCATAGCCACCAATCATAGCAGTAATCATAACCAGATCCTTATCAGCACTTGATTGATATATCTTATATGCACGGCTTATGATACCACATTTGGCATATGCATCTAAGAGGGCTCCTTTCAGGTGAAGATCCTCAAAACAAGACCTAATAATATACCCGTGAAACTGGCTTAGCAAGTGGGCTGATGCCATTTGTGTACATACTGGAAGGAGGCTCATGATAGTCACCGCATCAGGCTTCATCCGTCCAGTTTGTAACTCATGGAACAATTCAAGAGCTTGTTCAGGACAATCATTTTCTGCATATACTCGAACCATAAGATTCCATGTGGTAAGGTCTGTGTCGGACATTCCACTAAATATCATATTTGCATCATGATGTGATCCTAAACCCACAAAACCTGATATCAGTGAATTGCATGAGACCAGATTCCTATTTTTGGATAGATTCTGAAACATTTTGTAAGCATACTCCATGTTACCACATTTGGCATATGCATCAAGTATTGCATTCCCAACTGTTGGTGTATTATCACTTAATAAAGATCCAGTCCTGATTGAATAGTTATGTATTTCTTTAACCTTTTCTACTCTCAATAGAGAAGCACAAAAACGAATTATGGTTAATATTGTGACTGAATCAGGTCTAATTCCTACTTTAAGCATCAAATGTAACAAGCTTTGAAATCTTAAATGATGCCTCTTCTCTCCAAAGGCATCAAAAATAGAATTCCAAGAAATCAAATCTTTTCTGGATATCATAGAAAACGTATGATATGCATCTTCTGTATAGCCACATTTTGCATAGAAAGTTACTAGAGCATTTCCAATGGTAGTATCTTCAAAGAGGAAAGGATGTCTAAAAATATATGCATGGATTTGTTTCCCTGCCTGCAAGTTTTTCAATTGCCCACAAGCTGGAAGTATGCTGATAATAGTCACAGAATCTGGCAATAATGTCTCTAAAGATACTAAATTACCAAACAGATGTAATGCTTTTAACCATTCACCATTTGATGTACATCCTGAAATAATAGCATTCCAGGAGACCAAATCTCTAGCATCAATTTCCCAAAACAATGATTCTGCTTCCATCATCCGTCCAACTTTTAAGTAGAAGCTAATCAAAGCATTACAGACGGAAACATCTGTGGACAACTCAGGCCACTGCAGCAAATAAGAATGGATTTGCCTTCCACATCTATAGGCAACATTCTTATCAAAGGAAGCACAAACAGGAAGAATATTTGCAACTGTTGCATAATTTGGTCGCGTAGGTCCTTTCACCATTGAACTGAACAATGAGAATGCATCTTGCACTAGCCCATTCTCAGCAAGGCCAGCAATCATTGCATTCCAAGAAACAATATCTTTATGAATAATGTTATTAAAGACAACATAAGCACCGTGAGACACTAATCCACACTTTGCATACATTGACACGAGAGCATTTCCATCAATGGTGTCTTGCTCAAAACCAGACTTAATAACATAAGCATGTACACTCTTTCCAGCGTCAAGATCCCCCAAACGAGCACAAACAGGAAGGACAGTAGCAACAGTAACCGAATTGGGCATAGCCTCCCCACTCGAATGCATCATCCTAAACACCCTCATCACATCAACATCACATTTGAAGGACCCTGAAACTGAAAAACCAGACAAAACTATATTCCAAATAACAGGATCAAAGTGACTGAGCTGATCAAACAGCTTGTGGCAATCATCAAGCATGCCACATTTGGCATACATGTTAAGCAACGCTTTATTGGTAACCTGGCAAGAAACATGTCCTTGTTTAACAATATAACTATGAAGGGTTCTGCCCCAGTTGGGAGCTAAAAGGGCAGAACAAGACTTGAGAACTGCAGCAAGGACACTGTGATCTGGTTTGAAAGCTTCACAACACTTTAAGCAGTGATGGAAAAGGGACAAGGCTTCATTGTGCCTGGCATCTAAACATAAGCTCGTAATGATGGAACCCCATGTCTTGAAATCACGTTGAAGCATAGCATAGCATGCCCACGGGAAGCTAAAAATGGGGGTCTTTAACGTTAGACTGCTGTATGAAAACAAAACAATGTACTCAAACCTATGGAAAGCTCAAGACTTGGATGTCTAATTTCTCTTTCTCGTGAAGAAGAAAAATAATAGCGTTTGTGGCATTTTCACAAACAGTGGGTGTGCTAAATGAAAAGGTAGCAATTATAAATTTGAATTCGTTGGCTCAATGAAATAACGGGAAGATTCTAACGACACATGTGGAAGACTTCTGTATTCCCCGAACATATTGACTCTCGCCGTTTACAACGGTTTCCTCGCCGGGAAAGTGACCACCGGCGGTACCACTGGGAACAGACATAAGTTATCTTCCACCTTAAAAGTTGGAATGCACGTGCATGACTAGTGCGCTCGATGTCATCCATCCATTATAAAAAAAACAGCCAAGTTTAGACACTTAAAAGCATGTTTGTTTTTCTTTTCAAAAATAATTTTATGTTTTTAAAAATAAAATACAATATCAATTTATATTATATTTTATTTTAAAAATAGAAAAGTTTTTAAAAAGAAAAATAAAATACTCTTCATTTTTTTTAAATGATTTTTTTGATAATTTTAAAATAAGTTTTTATAAAATATAAAAGTCACATTTTAATAAAAAATATAATACAATTTTAATGATGATAAATGATTGAATATTTATAATCATATAACTAATATTTATTATATTTTTAAAATATATTATATGTCAAAACAAATTTCAGTGATAAAAGAGTAATATTTTTAAATTATAAGAATTTGTATAGACTTTTTTATTTAATATTACTATTATTTTTTTATTTTGTCTAAATCATGTATAGGAACAACTTTTATTGATTCGTCCACATGATTGTGATTTTTTAAACTAATTATTAAATAATTAAAATAAAATATTTTATAAAACTATTAAGAAATATAAATAAAATATAAATCATGATGTATAAAGTTTTTATATAATGAAATAAAAATAAAATATAAGGACAAGAATTATAATTAAAAGAATATTAATTATAGAAATTATAATAGAAGAAAATTTTGATTTTAGAACTTTCTATTCTCTAAAACATTGAAATATATAAAAAAAACAAAGAAACAAAGTCAAATAAATTTATATTTTTAAATTTAGATAAATGACATAAATTAATTTATAAATGATTTTTATAAAAATTAAAATATAAAATATTTTCATGCAAGAACTCAAACTAAAAATAGTGCTAAGTGTAGAATTTATTTTATAAATATTTTATTATATTAATAGATAAAATGCATAAATTGAAAGAAAGATGATGAAACAAATTATTGAATCCAAATACGTCATTTTTTAATATGGTATGTCAAAATTTTAAAATTATAATTAAAATTAAATTTATAATAGTATTAAAAATTAATATATCTAAAATAAAATATTTTCAAATTAATATATAGTATCAAATTTTATTAAATTAAATTAAAATAAAAAAATATTTGAAAGAGAAAATTATAAATAAAAAATATTAAATTTGTCTTAATAAAGATGATAATATATTCTAAAAATACTCTCATTGTTTTATAGAAAAGTTAACTTTTAAGATAATATTATATAATTTTATATAGAGTTTTATTAATTCTATTTCTTAGAATTGAGTTTAATTATTTAAAATAAGTAAATTAAATTAAATATAATTTTTATTAAATAAAAACATATTTATTGCATTGAAATAATAAAGGTTTAGTAAATATTTTTTATATAATTTAATTATTTTACTAACATAACAGTCACGGGAGAGATTTAGGAAAAACATTAATATAAATTAAAATTTAAATAAAATGAATTTCATTAAGAGTATAAATAATTTTAATGAAAATTAAAATTGTTTAATTGTTAGAGACTTGAAGAGTTTAAAAAATTAAGAATATTAAACTTGAATGAGATACTATTGTCATGAATTACCTATAAAGATTATATATATATATATATATATATATAATTATGTATTTCATTAAAATAAGATTATTTTTTAATAATATATTTGAGAGTTGAATTTTTAAACAAAGAAAATAAGATAAATTTTAGTCAATGAAAAAAATAAGATAAAAATTTTAATTTATAAAATTAAAAATTAAAGTAATAAATTAATATAATTTTAACATTGTAAACTTTTAGTTTCTTACAAATAATATATAACTTTTTAAAATTAAAAATAAAAAGCTAAATATAATGTTATAAAAATAGATTATGTTACACAAGTTTGTTGACTATGGTTGTTCCTTTAGTTTTGATAAGATAAATTGGTAAAAAAATACTACATTGGTTAATTCATACTCAAGGCTATTTTCAATAGTGACTAATAAGGAAGGAGCTAGGTAGTGGATAATGAACGATTTGAGATGTACCAATGAGTATGAGAAATTTTTTAGATAAGACAATTATTTTTACGAGAGGAAGATTTGCAATAGTAGTTATGGGAAGAAAATATGTGAATGACATGTTGTTATGGAAATATAATAGTAACAAAGAATACAATATTCAATTTGCTTATCTCTACATTCATAATTTCTCCATTGCATGTAGCAGTCTAGAGTTGTGTCTAATACACACAATTTGAAAAGTCAGTACAATGAGGAAAGTAGTAGTATTCGTGTAGTTTTTGTAACTTAATGCAATTCTGAGGAATTTGACCAAATGCTATTTGACGATTCTATCACAAGTTTGTAAGTTTTTGATACCAAAGATGAGGATGTATCACATATTTTTTTTTTTGCATTGCAGTGTTTCTATGAAACTGTGGTACATGGTATTCAAATAGTTTCGTGTCAATATATGTTTATCTAAAAATTTGCATAATGAGTATGTGTAGAATTTAATATAATATATATATATAAGGGAGTTGTAATAATGTGATTTGCAACAATATGAACAATTTTTAACTTTAGTGAAATAATATTCTATTCAATAATAGTATGTGCTAAATATTAGTGAAATGCTTGATTCTATTAAGTATCGTTTTTAGAAGTGACTTATAGCAAGACTTTTGAGAAACTCAATTATATATCTGAATTGAATTAATGATTTCTTGACATATATTATTAATTTTTTTAAAAATAATAGATTAGAGTATCTCTTGTACTCTGATTTTATTTTTAAATAAAATATTGATGCTTAATAAAAATAAAAAAGAAAATATATTATATTACAAATTTTCATAGAAAAGAATTATGTTACAAATTTAAAGTTTAAATATCTCATGTTTAAATATTTTAATGAAAAAAAACATGTTTTAAAAATATTGATTAAATATTAAAAATAAATTTATTTTATAAGTAAGGTTTATTATTTAATATACAGTCATAAGATGTTTGTAAGCCTTTAATAAAAATAAATTTTTGTTGCATATACCCTATATTTTAAGGACAACTTGGTAAATACATTTTGCTTGTTGCGCTACTAGTGCGTAGTTCCTTTTTGCCGAACCGACGTTCGAAATTCTCATTTGTTTTTAGTAAAATCATCGCTTGATATGCGTGATATTATATTTAAATTTAAATTTAAATATTAAATCTTATAATACACAGAGCATCTTATCAATTAAATTGTCGTCTAATATCTCAGTTGATTATCTTCAAATTTTACGCATGTATCACAATTCACGACAAAACAGATATTTAGGATTTTAAATTAATAGCATTTATCAAATATTTTCAATGCAAAATTATTAAAATAGTTAATCAAACTTAATATTATTTTATTTTTATTCATATGTAATGACGCTAGTTTGTGTAAGTGCAGTTTGCACAAGCAGAGGTTGCGTGGCCACCCAGTTCGAAAATAATTTCTTTTTCCTTCTTAGGCCCTTTATTAATTAAGACCATTTATAATTATAATATATATATATATATATATATACACACACATCGGCAAGTAGCAAAAGCGTAAGAGTGGTAGTATCCGCTTCAAATCTTCGATTCCATCACTGATATTTCTCTTCGCTTATTTTTCTTCATCTCTCCGCCGAAGATGGCGCCGCCTGCGGCAGCAGTTGAGGGCGGCCAGGCACCGCAAGGGAGGCAGCAACAGCAGCAAGGAGGGTTTGGTCTCACTGGAATCATACGAATGGTCGTTTTCTGGTATTTCGCTTCCAAATTCTTTTCTCCCAAAAAGCCTACCGAACCTTCCGCTCTCATCTCCAACCTCTTCCAGAAAGCCCTGCCTCTGGTCCCCTCTCTCTCTCTCTGCTAACTCTACTTCTATTGCACGATCTCACTTTGATCACTGTTATTATTCGTTTTGATTTCAACTCCTTCACTAACGCCTTTATTGTTGTTGTTGTTGTTGTTATTATTATTATGTCTAAATTCTCGTGTAGTGATTTTATTTAAGTGTCGAGCGTAGGTTTAGTTACTGACAGGATGTTGATGATACTTTTAGGTTACGATTTAGGATTGAAAGAAATTTCTTTTTTGTGCAGTGTGAATAATTATGATTATGATGTTAGTTCTTTTCATGATCAAAATCTCAAAATAAACAACCTGTCGTACGGAAAAATAGTTTTCTCCCTTTTGTGTGGATTAGCTGATAGGGTTTATTAGGATGTTGTTTGTGCAAACAGTTAAATGTTTTCCTAGTTGTTGTTCCTTCTTTTGTGCTGAATTGGGTTCTTTCTTGGATGCCATTTGTTCAGGATATGTGGCTTTATCTTTCTGAGCACGAGAAGTTCAATGACTTTGGTGGTGAAAATTCTCTTGTATGGCATGAAACCAATATTCCGTATGCAGTTTGGGGACCTGAAAGCACCAGGACACTTACTATGAAGTATCATCCATCTGAGGTATGGCTGCCTGAAAATGCGACTGCTAGCTGTGCATCATTTATTTATTTACATCGGTTCTTGAAGAAATTTTAAAAATGGTTCCCATAATAATGGACTTTGTGGCTACTTATTCTCTTTCCAGAATTTGAAGAATAATGGGAGTCTATATGCTCATGTTTTCTTTGCACACTCTGGCTTTTCGCCTGATCCAACTGATCCGGAGTACCAGCCTCAGGCAGCATTTGGAAGGACACATCGTATGATTTTTAACTTCTTATTAATATTTTAGTCACTTTAAATATGCTTAACTTTATGAAAATGGTTTACAAAATGTCTTTACTTTTATTGGTCTCAGCTGTTGTGATGTACTTGCCCAAGACTAAAGCAGATAAAAGGAAAAGTCTGTTGGGAAACTCAGCTGATTCTAGTGAGGCTCAAGAGACACCCAAGGTTTGTTATTTTATATTTGCTCACATATTTGATAATTTTATGTATTTTGTCTGAAGTTCAAGATCTTTGTTACAGGGAGTTTTGACACATTAGAACCATCATATTATATAATTCCACATAATGTCTAGATACCTTTCTAAATTTAACATTCATGATTTCCATCTTACTTTTCTGAACTATGATATTATACAATATAAAGTTTTTCTGATGAAGAAATTTCCATTTTGGTTTGTTTACTGTCTAATAATCTCTACTTCTAGAGACTGACAAAAACCATGACATGGATGCCAAATCTACAGCGACATACAATTAATGTTGAAACTTATGAAAAATTGGGGCAGGGGCAAGTATGGAATGCCATTTTTATATATGATTCATATTGTGATGGAGCCAATTCAACATGGGAATTCAATTATATAATAAATAATTTTAAAAATATTTATTATTTTATCAATTAATTTTGTTTTAACATATAATATATTTTAAAAATATGAATAATTATTAGTTGTATAATTATAAATGTTCAATTATTTTAAGTTTTATACATATCATCATTAAAAATGTATTGCATAATTTTTTTTATTAAAAATGTGAATTTTTTATATTTTATAAAAACTTATTAAAAAAAAATAAGTGTCTAAACTTTAGTATTTCTGTATACTTGAGTATCTACTATCTACACTTTTTTTAATGATGATGACACTGAGCACACTAGAAAGGAGCATATAGTTTGGTTTTGTGATTTATATTGATAGTTCAAGTCAGCATTAGATGTTTTGACAGTAACTTATGGTTGAAATGATTCCATAATCCTATACCCAATTAACCCCGCTGCCCCTAGATCCATTCCTCATGATTTGGCTCCAGTATATTTGCGTGGAACTACTTGAACCAATCTATATATTTTATTGTCTGTATCAATCATGTTTTCAGCTTTTTAATTGATTAGTGTTCAATGCTTTCCACCATGATATATTACTTACTGATCATGATGATCTCAATATTTATTTCTTTTGTTTATGTTAGGTGGTTGATGAAACTGAAGATAATTCTAAGGATGATGTTCCTGTCGAGTGGGTTTCATATTGGAAACCGAATATAACAATAAACTTGGTTGCTGACTTCACTCAGTATGTTTCTTGGAATTTATTTAATTTGTTTGTGCATTTTCTATCTATATCATGATTTCTATTTAAAGTTAATTGACTGGTGATTATTATTCCTAAGAAAGCTTCATGAAGTAGATGAAAGAGACTGTAAAATGATCTTCCCTTCTTTTGATTGGAATTAAATGTGACTTAGTTTTGCAAGGGGTAGTACCAGAGGGGATGGTTGAAACATTTAGCCACCATACTTGGAATTATGCATGGCACTTAAATCTGAACCGATGGGTACAAGTCTGATTTCAACCCAAAAGCACTGGTGTATTGATATATTATTGGCACAGCTAGAAATTGTGTATGTTGGAATTATGTAATTATAGTAATGCTATAAATAGAAAAATTACAATCTTTGTAATTACAGTAATTATATATTTTGTATTAATGATTCCTATCAGTGTAGTTAGTATCATACTATTCACGATACGATACTAATGATTTGATTCTGTAGCTCAGGGATACGAATCGAATGGCAGAATCGATTTAACGTTTGAATCGTTGCCGGAATCGCTTGAATTGTATGTATGGGCTGAATCGGAATCTGGATGGTGGCACATGATTCCTTTGCAAGCCGTGTCGTGCTCAAATCAGAGTGGTGTGGCCGTTGGCCGCCTTTGTGGCCAAAACAGGGAGACGTTCATGTGATTTGGGGGAAAGAAAAAAACTCTATTCTATTTTTTATAAAATGCACCGATTATTTTTTAAGGGTAGAAAGGTCATTTACCCTTTATAAAACATATGTGTTAATTTCATCTTCCCCACACTCTCCTCTCTCTGCGAAAAGTCTGACCTCTGTGTAGCGTTTTCTCCCATTCTCATCAGCGCACCCATTCCATTTTGCTGGAGAAATCAGCTAGTCCGGAGGCTCACCTGCTCCATTTTGCTGGAGAAATCATCTTTTCCGGCATCTTCTCTCAGGTGTATCCTTTGTTTTTTTTTTTCACTGGAGAAATTAGTTTTTATGGTATCTCTGTTTTTCTGTTTGCTGGAAAAATCAGATTTTCCGGCATTTGTTCACTGCTTCCCTATTCAAGATTTCTGGTATTCAAGATTTTTGGTGGTCCCCTCTGCCATTGCAACAGTTCATATTTTTTTTTTATTTGTTTTCTCCTCCTCTTTTTGTTAGCTACATATTATTTAACTTCAAAATGTTAATATATTAGATGTTTTGATGCTGAGCCACTGCATGTGCTGTTCTGATGCTGGCATGTTTTTTTCCTGGTGATCACCCTCAGATCTGGTTCTCCGTGCTCAATTTGGCCTGTCCCTGAAGTTTCGCGTTGATTAGAGGTCCCACGTGCCCTCACACATCTTCTTCCCTTTATTTTTTCTCTCCTTGCCCCACCATTGCGGCACATGATGGCATATTCAACATTGTTTCTGGCCGCTGCTTGATTCATCCTTGACATTTTTAAAATGTTTGGAATTAGTTTGTACTGTTAATGTCTTCTGTTAAATGATGCATTGGATAACCGAGTTTTAGCTCATCACTGTCACGTAATTTAATTATTTTAAATATTTTATTATTCAAGTTATTATTGCAAAAAAGTCGCTAATCTCAATCCAATGTCACCTTTTCCCCATCTATCCTCCTCCTATTACCTTGTTCTTCTTGCCACTGGAGCTCCAACCTTTCCATCATTTCATGTGATTGAGCTAGCTTAACATCCATCCTTATTAAAGCAGGATGCTGTTATTCAGCTCAGCTCATTTCTTAGGGATATTCCCTTGGTCAATTAAAGGACCAGGTACTTTAGTACAGAGGTTTTACATAGCTCCGATATCACAAACTGAATCATGAGCTAGGAAGAGTCCAAGTCAATAGTGGGAATGTTCGATTGCTCATTTGCTAAAGTCTTGCTATACGCAATTCAAGATGCTTGGCCTTTTTCTTGTTTGCCATGAAGTTAGGGTTTTTTCCCTAATTTGGGGATTTTTGATTTTGTTCAATTTCATTAGCAAAATCTCCCTTGACTTTGGGCTTCAATTTGTAATGAAGCTTTGTTCTTGTGTGAGAAAATTGTAACTTTCTTATTTTTCCCTTCCTTGTAACAATACTTGTTTGAAATTTGTAAATAAGGAAGTTTTTTCCTAGTTTGATGATTGAAGCTATGACGGAGGAAGAGGGATCGCACAATTAAAGCCAACATTTCAGATTGAATTTAAGTTTGGAAAAGAGAGCTTGTATACTGCATATTTACAAATAGTCCTCTTTCTTGAGATCTTGGATTGGTGCTGGGCTTTGGTTAGGATTGGGATCGAGATTGGGGTTCCATGATTATGACGTGTTGGTGAAGATGAGTGGGAGGAGGGTTGAAGAAGAAAGAAAGGTGATTAGGGGCTTTTTTGCAGTATTTTTTAAGGACCTTTTTGTAATATTAATTTTAAATAATAAAATATCTTAAATAATTAAATAACATGACAATGATGAGCTTCACTTAATAGAAAACAATTGACGATAGGGATTTCTTCTAAATATTTTGAAAATGTCAAAGACTAAATTCTAACAATTTTTTTTAAGGACTAATTTTACATGGTATTACTTTTATTGGGACTAATAACATGATTAATAACATGATTAAGTCTTTAATGAATGATTGTTTCGAGTTATTTTTTATTTTCAAAACTTCCTGTCTTGAAATTAAAACTCAATTTGGTTTTCAATTTATACTTTACAAATTGATAATGCTCGTGAATGCTTATCTAATCAATTTCAAAATTTTATGGCTTCTAAGGGTGTCCATTAGACCTTGTGCTAACGTAAAAATAGACATTTTATTGAAATTGTTTGAACCTATTGTGTCACTGTCAAGTTCATCATCACTTTTTGGGTGATGTCTTTCTTATTGCATGTTACTTTAATATTAGAATGCCATCATTCTTCAAAATCAAATTCCTCACACTGTCTTATATTTTCACCCCAGCCCCTGCATCTCACTCCGTCAAGTCTTTGGGTCAACTTGCTTTGTTCATGACTTTAGCTTTGGACTTGATAAACTCTCACCTCGCTCTCACAAATGTGGTTGTCTCTGTTACCCTAGGTCCCGGAAAAGTGTTACTCCCCAACTCCTTTTTGTTATTTAGTTTCGGTTGGTGGAATCTGTTCTTTACACTTAGTCCTCTTGCATCAGTTTCTAAGTCTACTTCTCCTCCTCTAGCTTATGTTTCTTTTCACTATTTTCCATCAGAACCATTTCATGCTTCTAGCAAACCAGACCTTCATGTCTTTTGCAGGTGTATTACTATCACAAGCAACTCTCTGACCATCAGGTATTGATGGGCCTTCCTCTGACTCACTTCCGATGCCACCATCCTCTCTCCTTCAAACTTGCCTCTTGAGATTGAACTTCTCATTGCTCTTTGTAAAGATGTATGCTCTACCCATAATCTTTCTTCTCATTATATTTCTTTGACTTACTATTGTTTGTCTCCTTCTTATTATACATGTTTGTCTTCTTGTCCTTTATTTCTATTCCTTAGTCTATAGGATATGCTTTCTCCTATCCTGGATAGAAACAATGATTGATGGAATGTATGTTCCTAAGAATAGTGGTACTTGAGAACTTGTTGCTCTTCTTCCTCGTAAGTCTTGTTGGTTACGGTAAGATTGATTGTCTTAAGTTTTGCTTGGTGGCCAAAGATTATACACAGATATTTGGGTTGGACTACAGTGAACTTTCTCTCCTGTAGTCAAAACAACATATGTCTGGCTACTCACATCTATGGTTGTTTTTAGTCACTGGCCACTTTTCTAGCTTGATATCAAGAATGCTTTCTTTTATGGTGATTTTGCGTAAAAAGCATATGTGGAGCAACGTCCTAGATTTGTGCCTTAGGGGAGTCTTTAGGACTGGTTTGTCGTCTCTTGAAATCCCTTTATAGTCTTAAACAATCCCCAAGGGCATGGTTTGCAGATTTAGTATGATGTTTCAACAGTTTGACATGACTCATAATAGGAAGTGATCACCTTGACATTGAATAGGTTAAGCAACACCTTTGTTAATACTTTCAAACAAAAGATTTTAGCTGACTTTGATACTTTTTTGGGGATTGAGGTTGGCACAATCCAAGAGTGTTGTGATTTCCCAAAGGAAGTATGCATGGATATCCTAGAGGAGACAAGATTGGTGGGGACAAAACCTGTTGATACTCCTATGAATTTTAATACCAAAGTTTTGCTAATTCGCATTTTGAAATATATTAAAGGAGTTCCAGGAATAGGTCTTATATGAAGATAAAGGAGGTCTACATCTAACTATTGTATCCTTATTGGTGGAAATCTAGTTTTTTGGAAAAGCGAGAAACAAAGTGTAGTTGCAATATCTAGTGTAGAAACAGAGTATTGAGCCATGATTTTATTCACTTGTGAACTTATTTGGCTTAAGCAACTACTCAAAGAATTGAAATTTGAGGAAGTTAGGCAGATGTCACTTATTTGTGATAATCAAACAGTTTTACATATTGTTTCAAATCCAGTTTTCCATGAGAGAACTATACATATTGAGATAAATTGTCATTTCATTAGATAGAAGATTTTTATCCAGAGACATTACTATTAGCGTTGTAAATTCTTATGATCAATTGTCAGATGTCTACACCAAGTATTTAAGAAGTCCTCAAATTAGTTATACACGTAACAAACTTGATGTATATGATTTATATGCTTCAGCTTGAGGGAAAGTGTTGGAATTTTGTAATTATAATAAATAGAGATGCAGGATCTTTGTAATTGCGGTAATTATATAACTATATATTTTTTATTAATAATCTTGTTATGAATATATGCTCTGCCATGTAGTCAAGCCACACAGATTCATCCAATGTTTCTCATTCTTTTTCTTAACAGTATATAATGTTCAGATGAATTTGTCAAACAATAGCTAGCATGCTAGTTGGTGGTGGACAAGTTTTAGAAGGATTTGTTTTATTTAATAAAAAGGATTAAATTTATATTTTATAAAAAATAGAAAAAACCTAGGGAAATTGTTGAAATGTGGGAAGTTTGGAAGAGCAATTGCCCCTTTTAGTGTAAATATAGTTCAGTCTTTGATGTTTGTCATACAATATAAATATATGAGGCCAACAATGCTGTCCTAAATTGTTACTCAAATAAAGTCAGTGAACTCTTTTCCTGGACATTTCCTCGAATTCAGTTAATGAAGGTTCCAAAATCTATAAAATCTTTCTTCTATATTTGTCTGTGGTCAGGTCAGTTAATTGATGTATATTATTTTTTAATGCTGCTTAATGGTATTTTATGCTTCTGTTTTCAGGTACCCAAAAGCAGGCATACCACCAAACATTGCTCCATGTATCCTTGTTTTTTACATTGTTTGCTATTTGTCATCTTCCCTTTATTACCCTTCCCATTGCAGCTCCTTGATATGGGTTTCTGAATGTCTATCATTTAAAAGAACATGGTCATATTATGCAAGATTAATATTGAATATGGAGAATGAGAGGACCTTGTATAATTGAATACTTTTGTGTCATTTCAATAATATCTTTTATTCTAATGTTTCTCTTATTTTTTGAATTTTAAATTCCTTGCTTGACCTTCCAATACATTGACAGTGAGCGACTGACATATTCATGCAAGTTTTTGATTATTTGTCTGAGTTTCCTTGACTTTGGGTGCGCAGACTTGAACATTGATCCTAGCACTGGGAACTACTATCCAACTGTATTTTTCAATGAGTTCTGGTTACTCAGGGATAAGTTGATACCTTTGAATGAGACTGTAACTGAGTTATCACTTAATCTGGAAGTCGGTCCCATTAGTATGACAAAGTGGCAGTTATTCCTACAGATCGACCAGTCCTTCCAGATTCACCGTAATTATGGCAGCATGCTTGAAGGCGAGGCTGATGAACTTAAGGTCTGTTTTAAAAAATTTGACATGACGCTACAAATATTTGATTTGTTGTAGACTTAACTTGTTTGATTGAACATGCATATCGAGTATTGAAATAACCTCAGATATTTAGGTACCGAGTTGAATATTAATTTGTTTGAACTTTGTGGCCTTCTTTCTATTTGTCTTTTTCCTCTGCATGATTCCTAGTCTGGTAAAGAAGGGAGACCTAAAAGAATCTTAGACAAAATTATTAAAATAGGTCTTTTAATTAATCACCTAGTGGGATAAGACTTGGTTGTTGTTTAGTTGTAATGAGTAGGTGTGTTTCGTTCAACTGCTGAAGTACTGCTACTTACATTGAAGATTACTTATGAATAAAATCTTGATGCAAATAGCTGTTTTTGGTGTTAAAGATTTGAAAGAACTGCTATGTTCAATACTACGTGACATCCTGACCTTCACCTCAATGCATGTCTCTACTATGGTCTTCTATTGAATTTTTCTCTAAGCCGTTTGACATTTGAACCATAAACCACTGCTTATTTATATAATGTATATTAATGCTGTTAAAGATTATACAATGGAAATATAAGAGAATCCTCTGTTGTGCAGCTGTCTCTCTATATGGATTGGTAATTCTATTGTTTCTCTAAATGTCTAACTATATGATCTTTACAATTATATCAGAGGGTATTCTTGGAAGGAAATCCTTACCTCCTGGGGGTTACCATGATTGTTTCTCTTCTTCATTCTGTTTTTGACTTCTTGGCTTTCAAGAATGGTAAGTAAATTTGTAAAACAATCTTTGCTTAAGTATCTCAAATAAGGAAATCCTTGTGGATTTAGTTAGAGGCACTGCTTATCATCCAAATATTTTCTTTCTACCCAGATATCCAATTTTGGAACAAAAATAAATCTATGGAAGGACTCTCTGCAAAGACTGTTGTTGTGAGCTTTATTTGTCAACTTATTATCTTTCTTTATCTGCTTGACAATGACACGTCTTGGATGATTCTTGCGAGCTCTGGTATTGGTTGCATAATTGAGTTCTGGAAAATTGGAAAAGCCATGCGCATAGAGGTATTTTCTGTGATCTTCTAGCGTTTATTTAAAGAATATACAAACATATTTGATGGTGTATATTTTGAATTTTTAATATAAAAAATATCATGTTCCTTGCTTTTACTGACATACAGAGCTTGTTGCATTCACTTTCTAGCCTTGTCTACTTCTACAAATTCTGACTTTCTTTAATTTTTTTTAATTTAAATATCTGCTATCTGCAATTAATTTTTTCCCAGGTTGATAGGACAGGGAGGATACCTATGTTGAAGCTACGTGATAGGGAGTCATATGTACGAAATAAGACAAAAGAATATGATGACATTGCAATGAAGTATTTATCCTATGTTCTATTTCTCCTTGTTGCCGGCTTCTCCATTTACTCACTAATGTATGAGCGTCACAAGAGTTGGTATTCTTGGATTCTGTCTTCACTCACAAGTTGTGTATACATGTTTGGTGAGCACTCTTCTCATTTGGCTATGCTGTCAGTATGTTGGGTTGATACTGTTGCTTATTACCGTGGGCTATGGTTATTAAAATTGACTAATAAAAATGCATAGACTGATAAATTGGTATGCTATTAATGTCCTAATTGTGGTTCATACATCCTTAGTAAGGTTGTCCCTCTCCCCCCCCCCACCCACACGCACACACACATATCCTTGAATACAAGTTGAGGATTTCTTACCTATTTTTAAATTTGTGATTTTGAATGATCAAATCTAAAATGTTCTTATCCTGCTGTAAGCACGATTGTTTCACCTGCAGTGAACTATGAAGCACAAACTACATTGGACATGAACACTACGTCATGGCTAATGTCTAAAATATAAGACACTAGGACACTCTATACATATATATATATATGTGCATGTAATTTTCTTTTTCAAAAAACTATTAAGAGACTTTATCTTACAGCGTAAGTACTTGGTCTCTTTGCAAAAAGATCTCAAAATGAAATATCATATTTACCTTTTCAAACAAAGATACTTTTGTATATTTTTTTCAATGATAATGAGCCAGCCTTCCAAAAGAAGTTAAACAAGCATCGTATTTTAAAGTATCACATTAAAATTTAAGCTAAGTTCTTTGAAAGTTAAAAAGATATGATTCTTTTAATAATACTTGTGTGTCCATCTATACTGAAATGTTTCTAAGATTAGTAAGCTTTGTTACTTTGTACTTTTTGTAATAAAAAACTGTTGCAGGTTTTATAATGATGTGTCCTCAATTGTTCATCAACTACAAGCTGAAATCTGTTGCTCATCTACCTTGGAGGCAAATGACTTACAAGTTTCTCAACACGATAATTGATGATCTTTTTGCTTTTGTCATTAAAATGCCAACATTACATCGGCTTTCTGTCTTCCGTGATGGTAAGATTGAGATCTTCATGGACATGCTATTTTCGCAACTGATTTAGATACTAAGGAAAGCCTCATTTAAGATATACTTGTGATTCATGAAATGTTGTCTTCTTTAAAGAAAGGAGGTGCTATGCCCTGATGATTGGAGGTGGAAAGATGGTCAACTGTGAGTAGAATAACTGCAGATAATCTAAAAGGAAGATAGTTTTCGGAGGAAGCTAGGTGCAATTAGGCTTTTTTGATAACTGTCTAAAAAAAGTTTAGTTTTTGAAAACCAAAAAACATAAGAACGTTTGCTGTGCTGACTCTTTTTTAATCAATTATTCTTAAAATTAAAAGGAAGAACTGTTTTTTTAAAACAAAAATAGAACAACTGTGATGTTTTTTAATTCTTGTGTTGTTTTTTAATTTCTAAAACTGGTTAAAAGTGTTACCAAACAGTTTTATCTTTTCAAGAAACAGTTTTTAAATAATATTTGACATAACAGTTTTGAAAAAGCAAAAAACTAGAACCCCGTAGTTTCCTTCTAGTTGAAGGAGTTTTGGAGCTGATAGTTCTAGGTGTTTCAAAACCTATAGAGTAGATGTGATGACATTTTATATTATACTATTTGCTAGCTTGCCTATACATGAACCTTCATGACCGCCACTTGGCTGAAAGGGTTGTCAATTCATCATTCTTGAAACCAGCTCTCTGTTCAATTATTGGACAAATTTGAAAGCACTAATTTATGAAACTTTATTCCAATTATGAGTTATTGTTAAGCTGGATTAACTCTACTTTGATTTTTCTCCTAAAATTACACATTATGCAAATATCGGTTCATCAAATGAGCTTTATTTTTGCCTTAATTTCTTTTGTTCTTTCCTGCCTTGCAGATCTTATCTTTCTCATATATTTATACCAGAGGTGGATTTATCCAGTCGACAAGAAACGTGTAAATGAATTTGGTTTTGGAGGTGAGGATGATCAGGCTGTGGATTCTGCAGAGACAGACGCTGCTAAGGAAGATGAGAAGAAAACTAATTGATTTGGTTTTCTCTAAACCACTTGAGAAAATTTTACAGTAGATACTTAATACTGTGGAATTCAATGGGGAGGGGGTTAATTTGTTTTTCTCCCCCTTTGGTTACACATTTGCAATTAGATTTTTGTTTAAAGAAAGCCTTAGTTTGGTTTTGCCTCCTTGAAGTTTTACTAGGACCGAAGGATAGAGGGTATCTAACTGCTGAGACCTTCATGGATTACAGCTTTAGTTACCCCTCCTAGTTTTCTTTATTCTTAAATATTTGTGGTTTATTTTTGTGCTAGATCACCCTATTATGTATTATTTTCTTCTACTCCTAATGTATTGCTTACTAATTTATCCTTCGTTTATTTATTTGTTTTGTAATTTGAGTTGAATTTTTTTTTTCCTAAACATTTCGGATTAAGCTAATTTTTACAATTACACTAGCTAATCTTCATGAGTTCCGACTATTATTGACTGTACATTGGAGGGAATTTGAAAAAGAGTACTTTGTGCACACGATTACAACACCCTTTGGATATCAATTAACTTATACATTTTGCAAGTTTGTGGACTGCCTGTGGTGTGTCTAATGACATCTCTTTCATTTTCTTAATTTTTTTGTTGGTTCCGAGGGATGGGGGTAAGGATTGGAGGAGGAAGATAAGGGGCGTCGTTTTGCATGTGACAAGGGAATCTGAACCCAACAATCCTAGTCAATCTTTCAGGGTGGATGGGCTTAGGACTCAGAATTAATTTGAGTTACGTAATGCTTAAATTATGGTGTTCAATAAAAAGGAATGGGATCAGTATTCCTTCCATGAGTTTCGTTTCTCCTAGCAAATATGTGGGTCCTTGTTGATTTAATGTAAACTGTACAAATTACACAGTAAAAGTTAAAGTTAAATTTTTTTTAAAAATCAAAACTGTAAATAATAATTTTTTAATTGAATTGGATTAAATCTTAGATTTGATTTTAAAATTTGATGTAATTTAATTAGAATCATGTATATATAATTAACATTTTGTTTATGTCCATACAATTTTATTTTTTTAAATCGTGATATTTAATTATTTTTTATTATTTTTACTCTCAAATTTACAAATTATTGTTATATAAATCTTATTTTATTTTTTTATAAATTTATTAGTATTAGATTGATTTAATGTTATTCTTATATCTCATTTTTTAATATAAATTTTGTATTTGTACAAAAGATTTAATTAAATTACTGTAAATGAGATCATTAAATAATTTATTTATCATTTTAACAAAATTAAAAGTAAAAATATAATCAAATTCAAACAATTTTTAGTAAGTTAGGTTAGATTTGAAATTTTATTCAAATTGGGTTCACAATGAGATACAATAGGATTAATCTCAATTAGCCCAAAAAAAATAATTAAATCCTAATTTATTGATATATATGTAATCAGATTCTAAATTATTATCTAACACTCCCTTAAGTTGAAGCATATAAGGCATATGATCCAAGTTTATTACAAATATAGTCAACATGATTTTCTATGAGATTTAGTGAATATGTCAAACAAAATTAATTGTAATTTCTCCTAAAAGCACAATTTTTCTTATTCAATGACAATTTATTTTTGTGAATTTAATTCATTTATGGAAGATTAACTTTAAGGCAATAGTAAGTATTATTTGATTATTACATATAAACTTCACTTCCTAAACATCTCGTAATTTTAACGGCAGAAGTAGTTGGAATGTAAGTTCATTTACAAGTGTTGCTCTTTTCTTTGAGTCCTAAGAGTGACTTTCAAGGAGTTTCAGTGGCTGAAAACGAGTTTTGCACGAGTTCCTATTTGAGCTTAAGTTCTGATTTTAGTTTCTTTTTAGTCCTCTTTTGCTTAACGGCTAAGGAACGAGTGCAAAACTCGTCTCGAGCCGTTGAAACTCCTTAAAAGTCACTGCTAGGACTCAAAGAAAGGGTTTTACAGCTCTCTTCCCTCCTTGCAATTCCTAGCGCTTTTGGGTACAAGTTCCGGTTTTAGTTTCACTTTGGTCCTTTTTTGCTTAGCATCTCTTTAGCATTAGACTAAGCAGCTAAGCCTATTTTTTCATATTCTCCTAATTGAATAACAAAGGAACCATATACAAGGTGAGGTCCTATACTAGCCTTTTGAAGCTATTCACTTGCGTAAATTTTTTATATGTTGGAAGGATTCCACAAAATTGTTCATCTAGTAGTTTATGACTGTGGTTATAAACAAAAATGGGTTGTATGCCACCAAGAAGAATTCATGTTGATATTCACTTTAAATTTTGCTTGACAGCTACACTTATTTGAAAGTCTACTTTAATGTTCATTATTCTTATTGGTTGAAGTTTTCTCACGAAATCATTACTTATAACGATAATTAGTTATTTTAGTTAGTAGACTTAATTCTTTTCTATTGTATGTTTCTGTTAGCTGTTAGTCCAAGTTAGTTATAGAGTTATTATTTTTTGCTAGATATTGTTGTGCATTAAAGTAGATCAATTTATATGTAACAATTTAAAAATTGGGCAAGGTATCAGAATGCAAGAAATAAGGAAAGAAAAGAAGTGAGTGAAGCACGATTTAAGGCTTTTGAGAAGTTCTATTAAGATCTCAAAAGAAAATATAGTGAAAGAAAGATATACAAGATTTCGAAAAGAAGATAAAGAAAATCTAGAAATTTGAACCAAGTTAGATGTATTAAAGATGAAGAATAAAAAATTTTGGTGACAAATTAAGACAGCAAAGACAAATGGGAGAACTATCTCAATAAATATTTTAACAATGGACATGAAGCAAATGGAAATATAGAAGAATTAAAAGTTAGCTTCATTATATTTTTGGTCTTTTTAAATATTTGACATTTCGTGATAAGTCTTTATAAAATTTTTTGTTAGGATTTAATTCTTGAAAAATTAAGAAATCAATATTTAGTCCCTTCCGTCAACTTCCTTCTATTAAGTACTGAGCTAGTTGACGAAGTGTCAGCTTAGCACTTCTACATGGTGTTATGTGTCATACCACATTATTTTATTTTTTATTATTTAATTATATAATTACAAATAATCTCTATACACATTTTATATAATTACATAAAAAAAAATTAACTATTTTTTCTTCTCCACAGCCCCTCCCCTCACTTCCCCACAACTTCCTTTTAGCAACCTTTCTCCCACCCCACTCCTTCCCCCTTTTCCACTCCCACCCCTTCCTTTACAACCCATTCTTCCTCTTCCCTTTCCCATTCATTTTCTCATATGCCCAATCGCCTTTGTATATTGTTTTATCTAATCATGTGTACTTTGCTTTGCCATAGGGTACAGAACATAACATAACAGACATAATCAAAACAACATAAAATACAAAATACAAAGAGATGAATCAGGATGAAGCGTTTTAATGAAAATTACCTGTCCTCTATGACTTGCAGATTGTCACTTTTTTATTAAGATAATTCTAAAATTTTTATTTTCTTTAAATAGTTAAACATATCATTAATTGATATGATACGAAAGTTTATCTATGCTTTCACTAGCTTTATGACCCTATTATGCTCTAGCATGAACTCTAAAACATATACAATGTCCATAATAAGTCTCAAAATGCAATAGAAGAAAAAGTTATAGTAAATACTTTGAAAAGGTTTATGTACTTAAGAATGTTTTTTGGAATCTTTTTGCAAAATAACAAAAAAAAAAAATTTATGAAACTTGTCATGCATTTAGGGAATATTTAGAGAATTTTTCACAAAATTGTCATGTCATGATCAAATTGAATATTTTAAGAACTTGCTAGAGGGAAACTTCACACATTATTAATAGAAAGGAAGTGAAAGTTTAGTGTACAATACATATTTGAAATTATTTTGGAGTGTCAGTGTTAATAGAGATGACATTATGAGTGAGACGATACTTCTGTCGCATATAATTTTTTAATAGAAAATAAGTTTCAAAAATACTTTATTTTGATAATTACTTATTAAATTCTCCCTAATTAAGTAAAAATGTCCTATTGGGATGACCTATATTTATTAACACTATGATCATTTTTCTAAAAACATTATTAATTTTGCTTTTTAAGATAAAAAAAAAAGACTCCTCAAATATTAAGGGAATAAAGAAGAGAAAGAAGAGGTGAGAAAAAAAATATTGCATATATAAAAAAAACTGAGTACAAATTATAGAAAAAGATAATTTTTTAAATAAAAAAAGACATATTTAAAATTAGATGATTAAATTAAAACTTTTAAAATTAAGGAACTAAAGTAAAAAAAATTAAAAGGATTAAAAATATAATTTTGTCAAAAAAATTTCATAGAAAAATGTGTCATACACAGGAACGTTATACAAATGTTAATAGCATAATTTATTTTAATTTTTTTTTTATTTAGGAACTTGTTAGCAACTTTTTTTTATATAAAGGCTAAATTAAAAGATAAATTTTATATTAAACTAAAATAGTATTTAAACATTTTTTATTATATTTATGATAATAATTTTTATAGTATACATGCTTTATTTTTTGTGTAGAGCACGATAAAAATAACCTCTTAACAAGTTACTTTTTTATTTTTTAAATATATTTCAATATAATTTTTAATAAAATTTTATTATTTATCACTTGCTTAATAAGACCTATAGTTGTGTAAAAGGATAATGCACAAAATAATGCATTAACCACATCTTATAAGAATATTCATGGCAATTGAGCAAATACAACTATCTCCTTTTACTCCATCTTATTTTAAACCAATTGAAAAATAAATTAAATTTAACTCGTTCTATTTTTTAAGCGAGTTAAAAATATTAATACTGTACATATTTCTCATGTCAATGGATTAATTTATTTAAAAAATAAAAAATAAATAAATTAAAAATAAAAGATATAAATATAATATAAAAAAATATATATCTAAACTTTAAATTTAGAAAATGAGTAATTTTACAAATATTAAAATTTAATATTTGTTAAATTATATATAATAATTATTTTATTTTAAAAAATGATCGCACTCTAATGCTGTTTACCCGATTAAAAAATGCGAGACGAGGAAGAGAGGTTAAATAGATTGATAGGTTGTAAAATGGGGTTTGGTGAAGGTGGTGCAGTTTTTGTTTGGGGCTGAGGGCTTTTTAAATCGTTTTGGGTTAATTTCGATGCTATGTTTTGTGGTTTGCTGAATCTGTTGTTCGCCTCTTGGCTGCTTCACCTGCGTTTCTTTCCTGCTGCATGCTTTTAGGGCTTTTCCTCTTCGCCCTTTTCACATTCTATTTCCCTTTCTCAAACAACAATACTTAACTCTTCCTCTCAATCTCATTCCTTGCTTTCGCTTTTCTCCCGCAAGAACCCTAATTCCCAAATCCGCCTATCTAAATTACCTACTCTCGCTGCTTCTCTGCATTCTTTGGTCTTTGCTTCTTCTGCTCCTCCATTCCGATTGCAATTTGTTGGTCCTTCGTCTCTCACCTAGTCATCCCTCTCCATTCAGGTATAGATATAGGTTTTCTGATTTCTTAACGTGTTTCTGTTATTCTTTCGTTTGCTTATTTCGTAATTGCTGACAAATTCTTAACACTGTTTGGTTGAATCTAACGTGATACATTTTGTTTTGGGTTTTTTTTTATATGCGTAATTCAGGTTTAGAACAAGTTTAAGTTTCCTGAGAAGTGATACATTTGGTACATGAAATCTATTGGGGTCGTTTGTCATATGCTTAATTCTTTATCTTGGGTGTTCTTAATTCAAGAATGTTTATGGAATATAATTCGTGTTTATCCGTGGTTTTTTTTATTTAGGGTCTCTGTGCATTACCCACGCGGTTTGTGTTAGAAAGATGGCTTTGTTTCAGATTTTGAAATATTCTTTTTGTTCCCCTTCAAGTATGGATTAACTATATTGACAAAATCTCTCGGAGAAAAATGTTAGTTAGGTTTCAATATGGCTTCCCCTTTTCAGTGCTTTCTCCTTGGGTAATGAATTTTGGGGTATTGTTGTTTGATGTGAGAAGATTTGTGGCATTATGTGAGGTTGTTGTTTTCCTTTGGATGTTTGTTTGCTTTGATCTTTTTATATGCTTAATTTGGGCTATTTTTGGTTGTTGTGGTCCATCATCTTGACGATGTTGTTTCTCAATGAAAATAGAAAGCTACTTTTGTGAGTTGATCAGGATTCAGTTTTTCAGAATAATTTGCTTTCATTGCTTCATACACTAATTTTAGGCTCAACAATGTTTTATTTTCTAGTTGAATATGCTTGCTTTAAGTTTTTCCAGAAGATTTAACATGCATTTGACCTGAAATATGAATTTGGACTGAACATACCCGTGATATGTAGACTAAACTTTTATTTGTTTCCGGTCAGATGTGTTGGGTGTATTGGCCTTTCGGGGACTGAGTTCAAGCTGTTGTTTTGGAAGCTTATATGGGTCTTCATGAGACAATTGGTTAGAGAGTAGTAATAAGGACAACCAACACACAATACGATAATTGTGAGTTATGAGCATTAGCTGGATATCAGTACTGCAGTAAATCCATGTATCTTCTACATAATACTCAAAATTAAACCCTTGGTTTCTGTGACATTTTAATTTATGTATAAAGATTTTTATGGGGAATCACTTCTATGTCTGAGCATTAACTTGCTTTTCGTGATATATTTTTGGGTAATCTATAGTTTTATTTGTGGGTCTTTGATTAAGATGCTTAGGGGTTTGATATAAGATGCTTTCCTTTTAATTAAACTTCTGTTGGATGTAGGAATTATAGATTCTTGTTTAGGTTGTATTTGATGGATTATGCATATAATATGAGGCAGTCACACTCAACGAATAGCAGGTGATCGCCCTTTTAAATTATGAGTGATTATAAGTGGATACTGTCTGTTAGTTGGATGTTCGTACAGTCGGGTACAGAGTTCCCGTTTTTGGATGGATATAAATTTGATCCTTTAACTCTTAGCACACCCCTGGCAGTGATCTAATTGTCTTACTAGATAGTGTATCTGAATAATGATGCTTTTTGTTCCTATTTTGATTGCATTTAGTAGTGATGTTTGTGCGTGTTCAGTTCTGATTCTTGCTTGGCAAGTTCCTATCATGTTTTTAGGTCCTTATTTTTATTGAAATCTTTATGCATTTTATTAGGTTCCTATTCACATTCAGAAACTCCTTTTTCATCTTTAGCTTTTTGCTTGCATCCCCTCAAGATGTTTCTCTTCTTTGACTTTAAAATATAGTTTACAGTTAAAAATATTGAAAATAAATAATTTACGCGAGCAGCATATAAAGTTGTCTAACCAAATGTTGGTTATTAATCATTAACATTATTTCAGATTTCCTAGTTGAATTGGATTGAAGGGAAGTAAAGCTGGAACTGAGCAACCTACAGAATTACTCAATCGAGATCCCATAAACTTGCTATATTTGTCTCTCCAATCTCTCGAACTGTAAGAAAACAACCATGGACAGACGCAGAAACACCACCAGGCCTGTGACCTTGTCTTCCACTGCCACCACCACCATAACAATTGGAAATTCTGACCCATCATCCTCTTCTTCTCAGCAAGAACAACAGCAACCAGAAGTACTGTTCCTTCCCCTCAATCGCAAGAAGAAGAAGGTCACATGGAAAGAGGACACTGTAGATAATGAGTTCATGCAGAAGAAGAGCTCCAAGAAGTGTTGTATCTTCCATAAGCAGAAGCCCTTTGATGAAGATGATAGTGATGAGGATGAACATGAATCTGATAAACACCCTCGTGACAGTGGGTTTTGTTGTAAGAATCATGATGAAGCTGGCCCAAGTAGTTAGTGATCCTGATTGAACAGAGCGGTCACTAATGAAATAGGAACATATATTTTGTAGCATATGTGTTTCTAGAATTCAGTCAACCCTAAGTCTGTAAGTGTGAGGAATTATTTACTCATTCAACCCTCGTGACATTGGAAACTGAGGAATGTTCAGTTTAAACTCGTGTAACAAATAATTTCCTTAGTTTATTTTGGAAAACGTTTAATTTATTTAATCTGAGCAATATTAATTAGCAAAACTGTGTTTATATAATAATAATTATTTCAGACCTGAGATTTCTTTTAAGCAACATATTAGAAAAAACAAGTTCCTGAAAACGTTCATAGAAAAATTTATATATAATAAAATTATAATATACTATATTTCTTTACTTTTATATTTCTCATCAGACTTTGTTTGAAAGTTTAGAGCTGAAAGGAGAAAAGAATTTGAAGGGAGAAGGAAGGGATGGGAGAAGGTGGATTAAACTATTTTTTTTTTTTTTTTGGATATTTAATATGAAAAGGAATGGATAGGAGAGTTGATAATATAAATGATATTATTATTTTTTATATTTTTTATTTATATATTTTTATTTTTTTAAAAAAAATATAAAAATTAAATGTTTTAAAATTAATATTTTTTTTATAAATTAAAAAAAAATTCCCATTCTAAAAGTTAATATATTTTAAAAAATTAATTTATTACTATTCTTTTCTGTAATTTTTTTCAAAATATACATAAATTATATATTTTTCTCTTTCTAAAAATTAATATTTTTAAAATTCATATTTCTATTTTTTAATAATTTTAAAAAAAGTTTCACCTTAAAAACTAATAATTTTTAAAAAAATAATTTTTCTTATCTTAAATTAGTCTTTTTTAAAAATTTATTTAAAAAATCTTTTAAATTGAGTAACTTACAAAATTAAGTTTAAGAGGGGTTGAAGGGTTAGAAAAACTCCCTAACCCTCTCCCTCTAAATTAATTAACTTTCAAACAAAAATTAAATTTCACTAACCCCTCCTTTTTTCTTTTCCTTTCCCTTTCACTTTTCTTATCTCCTAAATATAACTCTTAATTAAGCCTTAATATTTTCATCATAAGCAATATTTTTTAATAAAAAATTACATATAATAAAATTTATTAAAATTATAAAATTTAATATGTTAATAGTATTAAATGCTATAATTTTTAATACAAATTTATTTATTAATTTTTTATTGTGATATATATTAAAAAAATAGTTAAACAAATTTAAGAAACTCGAAAAATAAATCAGGAAAGAATTTTAATAAGAAAAGATAAAACATTGAAGTGGATTAATATTTCATCCCTCTCCCATGTAATGTAAACAACTTATAGCATGGTTGTATTTACGTTTAAAAATATCTATAAAGGTAAGTTGATGTTAACACTGTGAATTATAATGTTTACATTAAATTGGTGTGTGCAGATTTTTTAATACAAATTCAAACACACATTTGTATGGGACATCGAAAGGGTCCTGTGTAGGAACTAGGAATGATAAATCATAACGCAGATGTCTAAAATTAAACCACAGCTCATATTGTATCGATGATTTCGAACTCGAAGCATTTGAAAGTGTATTAGTTTCTTATATGAATCAGGAAAATTGAATTTAGACTAGGCAATTAGAGAGTTGTGGGCTATCTCCGTTAGTTTCTTATGCGGGCAGAGTCCCGTTGCAGAGGCACCTGCTCTCGTAGTTCCTTGTTCTGCACAACCTGACCTGTCTCACAAATAAGAACGAATATTGAAATAAAGAAATTAATAAATTCAGTTATATTCCTGCAAAGTATATATATTTTTTATTTAAATTTAAAAAAAAAAATATAAACAAAGTAAATGACAATTAACTTCCAAAACACTAATTAAAAGCAAAAAATATATCAAAAAATTCAATACATATTTTAATCGTAGTGACCAGACCAGCAAATGATGGTTGGTAAAGGGGATGATTGAAAGTCAAAGTAGAGGAAACGAATGACAGAAGGAAGACGAATGGATTTGGATTCTGTGAAGAAATACTTAGAGAAAGGGAGCAAAAACACAAGTGAAGTGGATTCAACGCCTTCAAAGTTCTTGGAATCCTTAATCATGAATGGCCTCAGCGTCGATCTCATCGAACCTGGCCACATCGTTTGCTCCATGAAGATACCACCACGCTTACTAGTACGTATATATAATATATAATCTCCACTTTATTTTTCCTTCATTTGTATCTCCCTAATATAACTTCAATTTAATTTAATTGATGGTTTATATGTTTACCCTTCGCCCACCCCTATATCCAAGAATTCGGGTAATTCCTTGCACGGTGGTGCCACCGCTGCGCTGGTGGATGTGGTGGGCGCAGCCGCCATTCCCTTCGCCGGATATCCACGGAATTCGGGAGTTTCCGTCGAAATCAGCGTCTCGTATTTGGATGCTGTCCATGCCCATGTCAGTATCTATCTTCTACGGCATTATTTTTGTTCTGTTCTATTAGGGTTCCTTTGGTTAAGTTCAACTATTGGAAAGTAGTAAATTTTGTTAAATGTATTTGTTATTCTTTAATATTTATTGTGTATTCAATATTTTATTTAACATAAATATTTACTTTTAAATAATTAACGTTAATTTTATGTTGAGAACAAACTTTTATTTTATTTATTACAAAAAATATAGAAATTTTAATAACGCATAAAAAAAAATAGTGATAAGAATTTAGATAGAGATCCTCCGATGCACCTGTAGTTAGTGTATTTTTTATTAAATGAAAGTGCAAACAAAACACTAACTGAGAATGTAGTTGACCTCAAAACATGAGAAGATCTCAGTCCTAAGAATTTTAGTGTACACTGGAATGGAAAATTAAGAATGCTGATTTTTAAACTTTGATGCTAAAATGTAGCATGTGTTTAGATTTTATAGAGTTAACAAATTTAATTTTTTAAATTTAGTTAAAAAATTCATATTGAATTTTACTAAGAATACTGAACATATATGCCACAATTCATTTAAATTTACTTTTACATAAAATTCACTTTACAATTCAAATTGTAAATGAACCAGACATACATCTGGTAAATAATTTATTTTTATTGTTGTAGAGTTTGATCAAGTTTGATGCTAAAGTTGCTTCAAAATGTTGTTAGGAGGAGATTGAGATCGATGCCAGGGTTCTACGTGTGGGAAAGGCTGTTGCTGTTGTGAGCGTGGAGTTGAGGAAGAAGAAAAGTGGCAAAATTTTTGCTCAAGGGCGTCACACTAAATATCTTGCCCTTGCCAGTAAAATGTAAAAGTCACTAAATCAGCAAATATGTCACTGAAGTAAGCGATTCAGGTTCATATTCAGTGTTAGCTTTCCCCTGCTGATGTTGTAAGAGCTTTTATTTCCACTCCCTCAATTGTTTTTCCTTCTTATTGCCGATGCTATCAGCATTTTTTTTCTCTGTAATTCTTCCCTTCAGGCCTTGGCCTGTCTTTTACCAGAAATAAAATAAAATTTAGTGTTACCTCATCTTCGGGCAATTGGCAATTGTCAAATATGTGCATATGTCACTTCTCATTAAGTTTCCTGATTGGTGCCCACTGTTGTCACATGTGTGTGTGTTACCAACTTGCCTTCAATTATATGAAGTTCATGATCTACTTTTGATAGAAGTTCAATTATATGGTTGTGCATTCTAAAATCTGCATGCCAAGTCACATTATTAAATGAAGAGGCCGTAAGCTTCCTTTCATAGATCTATCTTTAAGTAAAATAAATGGCTCAACATGATAATTAAGTCATAATTTTGTTTTCATTTAATTAATTATTTTTGTAAGCGAAGTTTTTCTCATCTATTATGCTCATAACAATTAATACTTTTACGAAGAGTTAAACTGAAAAACCCTTTAAAATTGCATTAAGGTCAAAATCTACTTTTTGTGCTTTTATTTTTATTTTATAATAATAATAATAATAATAATAATAATAATAATAATAATAATAATAATACAGTATTTCAACATGTGTTTAAGCATAAATGTTAAGAAATTAATAATAAATTTATTAAAGATTATAACATTTAATATTATCAATACATTCAATTGTACAATATTTTATAATTTTTAATAAAAATTTATTGTATGTAAATTTTTATTGTGTATTTTTGATACATATTAAAAAATAAAAATAATAAAATTACAGCTTAATTTTTTATATTTGTAGATTAAATCTTAAAATGTATATTTTTTATAATTTTTTTATGTGTTTAAATACAAGTTCAAAATAAATTTTAATTCAGAAATAAAAATATTTACTATTTCAAAATTATATATAATATTCTATATATATTTATTATGATATTTTAAATTATTTAATAAGATATCTTTATATTTAGATATGAGTTTGTTTTTCTTATTAAACTTAACGATATTAGTAGGGTAGAGTAGTAGTATAAGTTGGTTGGAAAAGGATTTATTCTTTATACAAATACTGGACAATACTAAAAGGTCCAGTTCTGTTTGTTTTTTCTTTTCTTTATTCCTTCTCTCTGCTTTTCCCCTCTCTTCTTCACCAACTTCATATCTCTTCCTTTTTCCTCTTCCTCTTTTTTCTATTAACTTTGTCTTTCCTTCCTACAGTCCTCCAACTCTCTCAAGTCCTCTCCTTCAACCTCCCTCCTCCTCTTGTTTTCTTACAATTTTTTTAAATAATTTCTATTTTTGTTTAAGCACATTGAATTTGTTTAAATGAAAATAGAACATCTAGTTTTTGCATGAAATAGATTCATATTCAAGTTGGTTAGGGGCTTTGTTGGCAGAGGCCTCATAGGTTGTGAAATTATAAGTAGAGGTGGTAATGAGTCAGTGTGTGCGTTATTGGTATGGTGGAGCTTTTACCATGGTTACATTGGGAGCGATGGTTATGGATGGTTTTTCGGTTTGGATAGGCAACACAACCTTTGCCCTCAATCTTACTAAGTTTGTGAAACATAAATTAAGGTGGATTAAAATGAAATCAAAAGAGAATAAGTTGATCTTCAATCTTACCTGATTTCCAATCAAAATCGCCTGTTAATTTTTTGGCTATACTTTAGGTGTTAATTGTTTTTCCACCTGTAGTAAAAATCATGTAAGTAACCTATCATGATTCAAGTTAAGTCATGATTGTTTATGGACCAAAAAGTGTTTGTACTAACTATAATAAATTAAAGAGAATTGATCGTTTGACAAAAATAAATAAAAATAAAAATCAAAGATTTTGTTAGAAGGTTATAAATTTAAATAGGTTCTTTTGTACTCTTAAAATTAATAATAATGCTAAAATGCATTCTTATGTCAAGTAAATTTTTATTTTAATTTTTAAAATGTGCAATGTCATTTAAAATAATCATTTAAAATTTAAAATTTTAAACTTTAATAATTGAGATTATCAATAATCAATGAATTTAGTTTTTATTGTTAAAAAATATTAATAAAATCTTGTTGAAATTATTTAGTTTATTCTTCAAAACTATATCACATCTCGAATATGATGAAGTAGGATAAATTGAGATGATATTTTATAAGTATATAATTATCTTAAATATATTAACATTTCTTTATTTTTTTAATTATTGAAAAAGAACAAAAGAAATATCTTGTTTTTTCTTCAATAATTTCTTGTCTTTAGTAAAATTCATAGATATAAGAAGAAATCATATCAAATAGACATTTTTTTACCATTTTCTTTTATTATTATTATGATATAAAATTATCTCTAATACAAAGAGTATTACATCTTTGATCGTAAAATATTTGTTGTTTGTTGAACTTTGTGAATTACATGAAAGTAAGAAACTCAAATTTGAGGGTCCAAGAGTTTTATAAGACTCTTAACGAAAGAAAATATGAATAAAAGAAATAGTGAAAATTCTTGATCTCTCTTAATTCGAAAATCCAAAATTTGAATATATTTTCTTTAATTGAATCTCCAAAATTGCATTCATTTATCCAAAAGATTTTACTTCAATTAAAATTTGGTTATTCACCATTTATGAGAATTTTCGCTGAGCATTCATGATTGAATGGTTAAAGCACTCAATTCTTAATTAGTGAATTTGTAGGTTTGATTTCTATTTGATACATGCCAATGAGACCCTCTCTCTAATAAGTCTATTGAATTTTTTTTCATTTCATTAGAACTTGATGATCTTTTAACAATACCTTCTAAAGGATGGCTAGTTTGAGATGCTCAAGAACAAAGTTTTATTTTGAAAAAGCATCATCATTATAAGAATGTACACAAGGTAAAAAAAAATTATGACAATTTATTGATATATGGTATACTACAAGTAAATATTTTAGACAAGAAATGGATCATAATTTTAGGATGACCTTATATAATATATTTTTAAGGAGCTAGAGGAAATGCATCTCAAGAACCGAATTAGTACGAAGTGATAATTTATCACATTAAGTGATATCTGAAAGTCTATTTTCAATACATGATATCATTTTAAGATTTTTATAAATAGTTTATTTTATTCTTTGACTTATGATATTTTTTCGCAGTAATATCTCTTTCTCTTTTTTCCTTTTTTTTCTTCATCTTATTCCTTGACCACCTCATCAATGATGTTCACCTCCCAACAACTTTACTAAACCTCTCACAAGCATGTAGCATGTAATGTTGCACACCCCCAAAACATAACACCAACTTCTCACTCCTATGTATTTTCTCCTTCTTTTGTTTCATTTTCTTCCCTTTCTCTTGTTGCACTAAAAATGACATTTAGGAGGTTTGGCAGAGAGGTGCAACATTACAAGTTGGAGAAGCTTGTGGGATATTTGACAAAGTTGTTGAGAGGTGAACATCATTGGTACAATGACTAAAAAAGAAGACAAAATAGAAGAAAAGGAAGGAGTATTATTACTCAAAAATCTCAGAGTCAAAGATGAAAAATAACTATTTTTCAAAGATCTTAAAATGGTATCATTTTATGTTAAATGAACTTTCAAGTCTCACTTAACGTAAGTGATCGTTATTCTATTACTCAATTTTAACGTTTCTTAATAATAAAGACTAAATTAATTGATAGTTGTTAATACCAAAAATTAACATTTTAAATTTTAAATTTAAAGGACCAATTTTAGTGATATCATATATTTCATAGATAAAAATAGAAATTTTACTCAATTGTCATGTAAAAGGCTTCATTGATGAAGTAATGAAAATTAGGGCTAGGCAATCTAATCCAAAATACTTGAAGCAACTAAAATCAAAATCAGGTAGATGAAAATGGGTTGGGGTAAAAAAGAATATAAATTAGTAGTTTGAATTGGGTTCATGCAAGCTGGTGCGAATTGGTTAAATTTAGCTCAACATTACCCAACTTGTCCAAGGATATATACAAAGGGAGGAATTATTTTTGGAAACCCTAATCCTCTCCCCTCCTTTACCTAATTTATGATCTCGCCACCCTTCTCTCTGCATCTTTGCTCTATTCTTTTTACTTTTTGTAAGGCTCGCTATTTGTTACCTTAATACCTTTTTTTTTTTATTATTATTATTATTATTATTATCTCTTAGTACATATGATCTACTACACTGCACCTCCTCACATCCAATTGCACTTCCTCTCTATTTTCTGTATTGCAACACAATTGTCTTTCTCATAGACCCATCGAGACAATAGTAGTGTGTGGAAGACGAGGAAAGAGAAGAAAAAGAATAAAAGGGTTGACAAAAAGGGAGAAAAAAGGAGTTGAGAAAAAGGAAGAGTATAACTACTTAACTATATTTAGAGTTTTTTTTGCTTAATTTGGGTAAAATTAAAACATTTTCCTAAAATTGAGTTTTTATGAAACATATTCCTATCTGGAGTAAGATAGTATACATGGCACAAATATCGTTTGAAAATAAACCAACACTTATTTTTTTTATTTTTTAATTATAAGAATTGATTGTTTAATTATTAATATTAAAGTTTTTTATTTTTAAATATTAGTATTGGCACAAATGTCATCTAAAAATAAGTTGAGACTTATTTTTTAATTTTTAAATATTAGTATCGGTAAGTTGAAATTTGATAATTGCTAATTAGAAGACTAAAAAAAAGTTTCTGCAACAAAGCACATTTAACATCAAATTTTTTTACGCCAAACATGTATGCCAACTTTCTGTTCAATTTATCGTATGACCTGAGCAACAAGAGGTCCATAGTCTGCCCAACGTCTTTTGATTCCATAAAAACTTTATAGTGAACAATTTCCAAACTGGCCTTGGTTTCTTGGCAGTTATCGTGTACCACTGAAACCTATCATAAGAGGAGCGTGCATGTTGGCCCGGTTGATGAAGAATTGATCCAGAACCACTAGAAAAATTAGTCACTATTTCCATTTGATGAACAATTTCGAATAAAAATTGAGGAGACTTTATCACTGGCTCTGAGAGATCGATTCCTTTTGATTTTTTTTATTAGCAAGTGTTGGACTTCAACATACCAATACTAATATTTAAAAATTAAAAATTTTAGTATCTAAAGTTAAACAACTGATTTTTATAATTAAAAAATAAAAAAATAAGTGTCAACTTATTTTTAAATGACACTTGTGCTGATATTAATATTTAAAAATAAAAAAAATTTAATGTTAGTAGTTAAACAATCGATTCTTATAATTAAAAATTTTAAAAATAAGTGTTAGTTTATTTTTAAACAACATTTGTTGACACGTGTATTATTTCATTTTAGAAAAAGAATATGTTTTATAAAAGTCTTATGATTAAACTCTCACTTTAGTCCTTGAGAGAGTTTGAGTTCAACATTTTAGTTCTTAAAACATTTAAAATACCACGTTAGTTCCCAACTCTTTTCTTCATCATTCATTGCTATGTGAACCACCGCAGTGACCTTGGCCAAGAAAATTTTTTCAATCCAAACAGAAATCAGAGACACTAGAGCCACTTGCCTGCCTAATGAACTCCCTCCCAGTCCATACTTAAGCTTCACCTCAACACGAGAAGGTGGAGCACGAATGCTCTCATCACTGATTGTTCGGGACAAAAATACTTCAAGGGGCTTCCTCTCATCCTCATCAAAATTCTTGCTAATAGGGGTAGTGTGTGACTGAAAAGGGGTTTTGTCATCATAATGCCTAGTTGTCGATGATGTATACAGCCAAGACCAATGATCTGACTGGTCCATCGGGTTCCTATGTTAAAGGTCGATCATAACCAGAACGATACGAAGTCCTCATAGTCCTGCGTAACACCAAAACCCAAAAAAGTAGAACATTACTAGGGCCTGATACACAGATCTATCAATGAAAAAACCTCATCAAACCAATAGAAAACAAAAATCATGCACAATTAAAAGCTATATATCTAATTTTTTTATATTGTTCATCCCTAAAACATTGAACACTTAAAGTTTTTCTTCCCCAAAATAAAAAAATGACTCATTGAATTAAGAAAATTTTTTTCCACCTAATTCTCTATTTGTTGGCCCTTCTTCAACTACAAGAAACTTCAATCTTTAAATATTTCACCTTCAAACATAACTACGAACAAAAATTTGAGCGATATTCTACGTGCACTTAGTATATGGTTCTTCTTCAACACAAAATGAGGAAATATGTCATTAAGTTTGAAAAAAAAAGGGTTTCAATTAGAACGACGCTGTTTTGCAACTAAGTGCTACGCCAGCTTCCAAAAACGACACCGTTTCTTCAAAGTGAGATTCTGACGTAACACTTAACGTGATAACTCAGCCTTTTGTCACAGTTTCTTAATGGAGTCTGACGCCAAAGATTAAAATGAATGACGAAAAAATAAATTGAAGACTAACATGATATTTTAAATGTTCTAAGAACTAAAATGCTAGACTCAAACTTTCTCAGGACTAAGGTGAGAGTTTAGTCAAAGTCCTATTTTAATAAAATATTTTTAATTTTATCCTAATTAAAAAAAAAAACCATATTTGCATGCTCCTTTTAATTTCTTGATTGATAGGGGTGGACAATAGTTTTGATGGCAATTTTGGTGTCAAAAGGTGAAGAGAACATATTTCAATATAACTCACCTAAAAATCTTTGAATATACCCACGTGAAGAATCCAAATTCAACTAATAAACAACCTTAATGAAAATGAGTCATCATCTCTTATTTAAGTTTATTAGTGATTGATAAGTTTAAGTTACATGAATAACCCATCTTCAATAACCTAAGTGTACAAAGTGTTTTCTTTTCATGATTCTTTTTTTAAAAGCAGTTAATATTTTTTTAAGTTTTATTTTAGAAAATAGAAAAAATTAATATAGTTTTAAAAAATAATTATATTTTAAGTTTATATACTTTAATCCATGTTTAATTTTAATATTTATTATTCATATTTAGGTTCTTTAATTTTTATTAATTTAAATTAAAGTTTATATTAAAATTTAACTAATTATAATAAAAATATAATAAATATATAACATCTTGTAAATTTACACAAATTAATAAATAAAATATATACAATACTTTAATAAAAACAATAAATAACATGTATAAAATATATTATAACTTTTTTTATTTTTATTAAAGGCTAATTTTCATTTTTTATATATTTAAATAATATTTCAAATTATTAAATTAAGATTTTTAAAATTAAAAATAAATAAATATATGTTACAATAAGTATATGTCAAATTAAATTATATAAATAAATATAAAAAATGATAAATTATTAATAAAGAGAATATAAAATATAATTTATAAGTAACTTATTTTAAAAAAATAAAATAAGAAATAAAATAGAAGAATCATAAATTTGTGGAGAAGAAAAGAAAAATTCCAAACACGAAAAGCAAACAAGAAAATTTGAGAGAGGGGGTCGGTTCAATTTATCTAAGAATGAAATGAAGAGGTGAGTGAGTGAGTGAGTGAGAGAAGTGAAAATGGATTTGGAATCAGTGAAGAAGTACCTGGAGAAAGGAGGAGAAACAGCATCGATGGTTGATCAATTGCCTCCGAGGTTTCTAGAACCCTTAATAATGAATTCCCTTCGGGTCGATAGAATCGAGCCTGGGCGCGTCGTTTGTTCCATGAAGATACCTCCACGTTTACTCGTACACTTCTTCTTCTATTTTTATTTATTTATTTATTTATGTTTTATGGATTTTATTTGTTTGCATAGAATTCCGGGAACTCGTTACATGGTGGTGCCACCGCTGCGCTGGTGGACGTGGTGGGTTCCGCTGCTATTCCCACCGTTGGATATTCAGCTGCCAATACGGGGGTTTCCGTTGAGATTAATGTTTCTTACTTAGATGCTGCCTACGCCGATGTACGTCACTATCTTATTTCCATTCTTTAATTGATAAATGAATGATCGCTATGGGGTCGGTTTGGACAATTGGTTTCATTTTCATCCCTATATTTGCTCTTGTTCCTTTTTGACTGCAAATCACTGATTTTGAACTGAAATCTGCTGGGTATCTTCCATTTTCGAGTAATAATTTTGATAGTATCTTGAAAAGAACTTTGACTCGTGCAAATAATTTATAACTTCCGTAAACTCTTTTAGATATTTCAATAAGCTTTTCGGGATAACTTATTATAGCTCTTTCCAACTTATTCTAAGAAGTTTTATGATCAAGTTTACTACATAAGCCCTTATATAAATGGATAAATGCTTAATTAATTTGTGTTCTCAAACGCTCATTTAAGAGACTTTTGATAGAGCTTGTGAAAATAATATATTATTTTTTTAGGTTTTTTTCTTATTTAATAAGTTTCTTTGCATAACTTATCAAAATAAGTTCTTTTTAACGTCATAAACTCTTATGTGATAAGAGTTTATTAAATAAGCACTTAGTAAGTTGACTACCTACATACACTCAGTAAATGAGAGAAAAAGGATATGGATTTTGACTTTTTGGAATTTTGATGCTAAAATGTAGAGTTTTAAATCAAATATTTTGCTCATGTTTTAGACTTGGCCACCTTAACTTTTCTTGTCCTTGTGATTTGAGAAAGATATATTATTACGTAATAAATAAAAAACACTTTTTTTTCCCCTTTTTTAATATTGGGGAGGGACATGGTGGTGTTTGGCATTAACATTTTGTTCATCATATCCAAACGTGTTGTTGGAGGATTTTATTGGTTGACATTCTCTTTAAACTATTACAATGCCTAATGATTTTGTCGATATCGCTCCTTTCAAGTTTTGACATGACGTAATTCATGACAATCTGAAAAAATTGAAGGCCTTAGTTGAAAAACTAACCACTGAAAAAGGAGGTAAAAACTAACTAACTAGCAACCACTAGCTAACCAACTAACTGACTAACTAATTACACCAGTTAACATCCCTCCTTAAGCTGGAATTTGTATACCCAACCTTCCAAGCTTGGAAATACAATTGTTAAAGAGAGAAGGAGAAAAAGCTTTGGTTAAAATGTCTGCTATTTGATCTTTGGAGGAAATGGGTAACAAGTGAAGGAAACTAATTTATACCTAATCATGAGTGATAGTCAATTTCAATGTGTTATGTCCTCTCACAGAAGACAAGATTGGTAGCTATATGAAGTGCAGATTGGTTATCACAAAACATGTTGACAGGTTTGGAATGAGTGAGTCCAAAATTCTTGAAAAGGTAAGTGATCCATATGCTTCACAAGTGGCAAGAGCCATAGCTCTATATTTTGCCTCAAAGGGGATATGGAGATGGTTGGTTGTTTCTTGGACTTATAGGATATTAGAGATGATCCAAGGAAGAAACAAAAACTAGTCACTAATTTTCTAGTGTGTGGACAGGCACCCCAATCTGAATTAGTGAAGCAAGTAAGGCTGAAATCCGAGTTAGTAGGGAAGAAAAGTCCTTTTGCTGGATTACCCTTTATATATTTCAGTATCCTAAGGGCTACATGGAAATGAACAGTTGGTGGGTTGGAAAAGTATTAACTTAGCTTGCTAACAGCAAAGCTAGTGTCAGATCTGGAATTTGTCAAGTAAATTAATTTGCCTGGCAACCTTCTATAGCATGTAACATCATGATAAGGAGGTCCAGGATAATGCTGAATTTTTAAAGTGTTATCCATAGGAGTGGAGCATGGCTTTGAAGCTAAAAGTCCTGTGTCTTAGAGCATATCCAAGGCATATTTTCACTGATACAAGCAGATCCCTTTGGCAGATCTGGCAACCTCTAAATATAAGGAAGAACTTGAGGCTTCTAAGGTCTTTAATTCCAAATTTTGTGTCTAGAAAGAGTTTGACATTCTGAATTTCATAGATCGTTCCCTGCTAGAACTAGATTATCCACATAAGCCAGGATGACAGCGAAACCTACAGTGGTATGCTTGGTGAACAATGCGTAATAAGACTTGGATTGTATATATCCAGAGTCCATAAGAATCTTAGTAAGTTTCAGATTCCATTGCATGCTAGCTTGCTTGATGCCATATAAGGACTTGGTAAGTTTGCACACTAACTTAGAATTTTAAACCTGTAATCCATCTAGTGGCTCCATATATACTTCTTCTGCAAGATCATCATGAATAAAAGCCATGTTTACATCAAGCTAATGCAGATGCCATTGGTGTTTAAGAGACAACAATACTCTGATGGTTGTCATTTTCACCATTGGACTGAAGTTGTCCAAGAAATCAATGCCGGTTGTTTGAGTGTACCCTTTTGCCACTTGTTTTTTTTTTTTTTTTTTTTTTCCAATGGAACCATTGGCCTTGTGCTTTACTTTGAAGATCCATTTGCATCTAATAGGTTTCTTCCCATCGGAAAGAGTAGTGAGTGTCCAAGTCTGATTTTTAATCAAGGCCTGCAATTCATCCTGGATAACATCTTTCTCGCAATCATGTAGGATGGCCTCTTGGTATTGCTGAGGTTCATCTGTGGAAGAGATGTTTAAGGAGTAGTATTTACGTGAAGGTGATAAAGATTTACAAGAGAGGTAATGAGAAAAAGGATACCTATCAGTATTTAAAGATGAAGATGCATTAGAGGTCGCCAATGTGCAATGATAGTCCCTTAGGCAATTGGGAGGTCTCTTCCTCTTCAAGAATGTCTTAATGGTGGATAGAGATCTTGTGTTTCCCTTTCTTGATTGTTATGATTATGATGAGTTTCAATTTCTATGGCAGTTGTTAAGGGGAGAAAGTGTTTGAGGGATTGTTTGATGTGGTGCTAGTGAAAGGAAATCATTAAGAATATTGTTTTGAAGTTTAGGGAAAACTTGCTCATAAAACTGGACATGTCTATATATGAAAACTCTTATGAGTTTTCAAATTATACAATATATATCCTTTGATCCTAGATTTAAAACTTAAGAAATCACATCTTCTTGCTCTATTATCTATTTTTTTTTTTTTTGTGATATGTCAATGAAGCATAAACATCCAAAGACTTTTAGGTGTGATATGTCAGGTGATTCATTGTTTAAGACTTGATATGGAGATTGATTAAAAAGTAATGGTAATGGTATTCTATTTATTAAATGTACAACATGAGTACATGCATAGTTCCAAAATTATTTTGGTAAACTTTATTGAAAAAGGAGTGATCTAGTGACAACCAATGTGTTGATGTTTTCTTTCAACTAAACCATTTTGCTGTAGTGTTTTTTTACATAGGATTTCTTGTTTTGGGTGAATGATACCCTTGAGAACATACAAATTTACAAGATTAAACTCAACTCCATTATCTGTCCTAATTATTCTAATCTTTTTATTGAATTGTGTTTCAACTAAAGATACAAATTCAGCCACAAGGTTTTCAGTTTTAGACTTATGTTTCTGTTAAGATAAGAGAAAACAAGAAGGCATGAGAGGAATTCCGTGTGTCTCAATTACACCAAGGAATGTATATTTATATTGATAATGAAAATCATAATCATAGCTACAAAATTAAGGACAAATATACCGTTACCAAATTACTATAATTATACAAATATTATTTTCTTAAATAATATCTTTAACACTCCGTCTCAAGTTGGAGCATATAAATCATATGCACTAAGTTTGTCATATATGTACTGAATACGGGAACTCCTTAAAGACTTTGTGAATATATCTGTTAGTTGATCATTTGAATTGACAAAACTTGTGATAGCTTCGGATAAGATCTTTTCACAAAGGAAGTGACAAATAATCTCAATATGTTTCGTTTGTTCATGAAAGACTGGATTTGAGACAATGTGCAAGGCTGTTTGGTTATCACAAATGAGTGTCATTTGTGTATCTTCTCCAAATCTCAATTCTTTAAGTAGTTGTTTCAGCCATGTAAGTTTATATGTGGACCTCTTATCATGAGAGCTTACATATTTTGCTTCTTACTCTTCCAGAAAATTAGATTACCTCCAATTAAAACACAATAGCCAGAGATGGACCTCTTATCATGAGAGCCTACGTAACTTGCATCAAAATATCTAACAATCTTATCATGACTCTTATCTTCGTACATGAGACCTTTTCTTGGAGCACCTTTGATATACTTTAAGATGCAAATCAATGCATTCCAATGTCCTTCACAGGAGGCGTTCAAGAATTGACTTACCACACTAACAGCAAAAGAAATGTCGGGTCGAGTAATTGTGAGGTAATTTAGTTTACCAACCAATTTTCTATACTATTATGGGTCAACAAAGGCTCTTCCTGATTTGGTAGAAGTTTAGAATTAGGATCCATAGGAGTGTATCTATAGATTTGGCCCCTATTAAACCTGTTTCCTCCAATATATTCAATGCATACTTCCTTCCTTTGAGAAATTACAATACCATATTTGGATTGTACCACCTCTATTCCCAAGAAATATCAAAATTTTTCAAGGTCTTTTATTTGAAAATGGTGACATAAGTGGTTCTTCAACTGTGTAATGCCATGATAGTCACTGTCAATGATAATAATATCTTCCACATACACAATCAAATAAATGCATCTTGTGGCTGAGTGGTGATGATAAAAAACTGAGTGATTAACTTCACTTTGAATCATCCCAAACTGTTAGACAACGATGCTGAATCTACCAAATCAAGCTCTTGGAGACTATTTAAGACCATACAAGGATTTCCAAAGACGACAAACTAATCTTGTAGGCTCCCTTGAGCAACAAAACCAGGAGGTTGCTCCATATAAACTTTCTCAGCAAGGTCGCCATGAAAGAATGCATTCACCATAATCCAAGCCAAAGATCTGAGTATAACTTTTTGCCATAAGACGAGCTTTAAGGTGATTCATTTGACCATCAGGACCCACTTTGACAGTGTATATCCACCTGCAACCAACAATAGAATTACCTGAAGGAAGAGAAACAAGGTCCCAAGTACCACTGCTGTGAAGCGCACACATTTCATCAAACATTGCTTGACGCCAAGTGGGATGTGAGAGAGCTTATGTTGTATTCTTACAAATAGAAACAAAGGAAAAAGAAGAAAGACACATATATTGGGAAGAAGATAGACGATGATATAATAAAGTAGCATAATGAGGAGAAGGGTTACGAGTGAAACGTATACTTTTTCAAAGTGCAACAGGGAGATCAGGTTCAAGTGATAATGCCAGAGGAGGCACATGTGTTGGAACTGGCAGAGGGTCACATGGTATGTCAACAGTGGACAAAGGTGGCCGACAATGGTACACTTGTAACGAATGTAGAAGAGGGTCATCAATAAGAGGTGTGATCTCTAGTGGGTGAAAAACAACCGGAACTAGTGATGAATGTATGACAGACTCTGGTTCTAACTCAAACACTGTAGGAGAACTAAAAAAGAGAACATACTCAAATAAAGTAACATTAGCAAATATAAAATAATGTTTAAGAGTTGAAAAGTAACACTTGTAACCTTTTTGAGAATGGCTATAACCAAGAAAAATACATCTGTGGGCATGAGGAGAGAGTTTGTCATTAATTAGACTATGATTATGTACAAAGCATGTGGATCCAAACACACGGAGAGGCATAGAATGCAAAGGCTGTTTAGGAAACAAGATAGTGTGGTACCTGGTTATGGAGAACAGAAGAAGGCAACTGATTGATAAGCTAACAAGCTGTTAAGATGGCATCTCCCCAAAAACGATGTAGGATTCAACTATGTAAGAGTAGAGTGCAAGTAGTTTTAACAAGGTGTCTGTTTTTCCTTTCAGCAACCTCATTTTGTTGAGGAGTGTGAGCACAAGAAGTTTGATGAAGTATGCCATTAGACGCCATGAAATTTTGAAAAGAATGTGACAAGTACTCCTTAGCATTGTCACTGCACAAAGTGCGAATTGGAAGACTAAATTGAACTCTAATTTCATTAAAAAAAAATTGAAAAATAGAAAATAATTCAAAATGATTTTTCATTAAAAATAATCATGTACAACAAGATTAATCATCAATAAAAGTAACAAAATACCTAAAATTTAAAATAGAAGATCCCAAACATCAGAATGAATCAAACTAAAAGAAAATGTGGCTTGCTTATTTTCACGACTTAGAAAGGAACTATAGACATGATTTTCTAGTTGACACGACTCATAAGAAAATATAAATAACTGAGAGAGGCTTGACACTAATAGTTGTAGTTTTTAAAGACTTAAATGTCCCAACCTAGCATGCAAAAGAAGAGAGGAATCCACCGTCGAACCAGCATGTGTGAGGGGTTGGAGTTGATAAAGTCCATGTGACTCACAACTGGTGCCAATCATTTGTCCCGTCGTTCAGTCCTTGAGAAAAACAGAATCTTTAGTAGAGGAGACAACACAATTAAGTATGCGAGTGAGCTCTTGATACCATGTTAATGAGAGAGAACAAGAAGGCATAAGAGGAATTACGTGTGTTTCAACTATACCACGGGATATATATATATATATATATTGATAACGAGAATCGTAATCATAGCTACAAAATTAAAGACCAATGTACGGTTACCTAATTACTATAATTATATAGATATTATTTCCCTAAATAATATATTTAACAGATACTATTTTCTTAGATAATATATTTACATATATTTAACAGTTTCATAGAGTATATCCAAGTGAATCTAGCTTTATGTTCAACTATAGCTGAGAAGTATCTATGTCCATGCATGGAAGGAGTGGCAATGGGACTTTGGATGATATCTATATGAACGAGTTCAAAAATTTCAGAATTCACAATTTCATCAACATTAAAGGATGTCTTCTTTTGTTTTGACATGGACATTTTTCACATTTTCAACAAAAGGGAAAATGTTTTTGCATCATACACATTCTTTCATGAGAGAAGTGCCCTAGCCTGAGATGCCAAAGATTATTTTACTAGCGTGAAAATTATTTACATGATGATATTCACCATGTTGTAAAGGGGAAACATTCATTGCATATAAGTCTGATTTCAACTCAGCTGCACCAATCATCTTCTATGTATTGTAATCCTGAATCGGACAAACTACATCAGAAAAGAGTAACTTGCAAGAAAGGGTTTTGGTTAATTTTGATACTGAAATTATATTCAACGTGAAGCTAGGGATGTATAAGACATTTGTCAAGTAAAAGGATTCTGAGGAAAAAAATAGTTCCACTGAAACTAGTTTAGACATTGCTGCCATTTGGCAGTTTTATGTGAATTGGCTTGATAAGTTTATGACAATGAAAAAAGCTTAATGAATTGCACACCTGGTTTGTGGCACCTATGTCTGTGACCCAGGAACTTTTATGAAAGGAATATACAGGTTGTAAACATACTTGAGGGTTTTTGATTATTTGATACACTTATGAATTGATTAATTCCATGATTTCCATGACTATTTGATAGCTGAAGTAATGCTAACAAGGCTTGATGCTGTTTTGGAGTAAAACTCGAACTAGAACACTCTCCAATCTCCTTTTGAGAAGTGATGCTTTTCTTTTTATCAAAGTTCTCATCTTCTTCTTGACCAATACAATTATTCACAACATATTCCTTCTTCATATTGGGTGGATACCCATGTTTTTTGTGACGTGTCCACTTTGTGACCACTCCTCCCACGGTGTGAGCACTGCTTGTAGGTTCTACCTCCCTTGCCTCTTCCTGCAGGATAGTATTGCTGGCCTCTGCCACCTCTACCCGCAAAACTTCTTCCAGCATTGTTGAAGGATGCAAGGGCTTGTGATTCCTCCAACACCAATCCAAACTATCTTTCTTGCCAGAAAACTCTATTGATCGATGGTAGAGGGTCCATGATCATTATTTGGGATCTAACTCCTGAGTATTGGTCATTGAAACCTTTCAAGAACCTTATAAGATAATCTCCTTCACCATATTTCTTGCTTGGGGAAATCAAATTGCATGAGCACTTGACCTCACAACTGCATTTGGGAATAGGTCAAAAATTCTCAAACTCTTGTCATAGACTCTTCAGCTGAGTAAAATATGCAGTAATTGATGAAATTCCTTGTTTCAATGAATAAATTTCTTTCTGTAACGAAATTCTGAAAAATCTCCTTGGTAGTAATACCTTTCTTTTAGGTCATTCTGAAATTCTGAAGCAAGCTCCAACCATAGAACACACTGCGCAATTGACGGCTCCAAAGATTGTGTGAGCCATGACAAAACCATAGTATTGCAATGATTTTGCTGAAAAAATTGGATCACCAATTTCTGGCTTAGGCAATTCTTCATTCACAAAGTGAAGTTTGTTCTTGGATTTCAAAGCCATCATCATAGCACGTGACCAAGGATGATAATTCGAGCCATTTAATTTGACTGATACAATCGAATTTCCTGGTTCTTGTTTGGATGCAAATAATAGGGGTTTCCAAGATCAATGGTTGACGCTGCCATCAAGGTCAATCAAGCAACAAATATCAAAAGAGAATTGAGATCAAAAGCGATTGAGAGAGAAAACAAGAGAATGAAAGAGAGAGAAAGTTTGAATGATACCAAACTCAGAGAGGAGCAGCAGAGCCCCCGTAGAAAAAGGGGCTCGGATACCATGTCAAAGGACAGAGTCAAGAAGGAAGATGAACTGTAGAATTTTTCATGCATTGAATTAACAATCAGCCAACAATTTACAGAAAAGATTTTCTCATTCATTCTCTTAGAACATGAACAAAGACTAGTGTCTTTTATAGATGAGAAAGACATTGAAAAACTAAATGCTATGAGCTGAAGAACTAACCACCGAAAAAGGAGGGAAAAACTAACTAGCAACCACCAGCTAATCAACTAACTAATTACAAATTAAATGATTAATTACACCTGTTATCAGTAGAATGTTGCAGATTCTTTTAATGATTTATGATATTGGATTTTGTGTTTAATGCAAGATATTTCCAATGTTATGTTAGGAGGAGATAGAGATTGAGGCCAGGGTTCTGCGTGTGGGGAAGGCTGTTGCTGTTATCAGTGTGGAGTTCAGAAAGAAAAAGACTGGCAAAGTTTTTGCCCAGGGGCGTCATACCAAATTTCTTTCTTTTACTAGTAAAATGTGAAAGGCACTGAAGGGGTTCTATGTTGGGTCACCTTTGTATCTGGCATATATATATATATATATAGATTTTCCTTCTTATTAAGTTTTCAGCATCTCCAGCAGTTTCTACATGTGGCATGTTACCTTGAATTTTCTGTACAAATTCTTATTCATGTACAGGGGCAGCTGCTCCTTATTGTTAAGTGAAGAGGCCATGTTTTCTAGTTCCCCATAATTGTCCTCTACTTTCTAATTCCTAATGTTAAAATATATGTATTTGACCTTGCAAAGTAATTATTACTTAAACCTTCATCTAATGATGAATTTATTTAAGATGAAAAATAATTTATTTAAGACATTGGTTAAATATGAAATAAAATTGTTACTAATACAATTTTTCTGTGTTTTCTAATATATTTATACTGCTTAATTTTTTTATTTATTGACTTAGTATTGTTTGAGAACCGTTATTAGGACTCGGTTTTTTTAAATTAACTATCAGGACTCTTGTTTGAATATTAACTTTAGATAGAGCCTAACCTGTTGCCCGAACTGACCCCATCGATCTAGTGAGCCAAGGCTCGCTATCTGTCACTCTGCACATGTAGATGTTTGGTCCCACTAGATACTATTAATCTAGCTCAATTCCCATTTAAGTGACTAGAAGAATGTGGGACATTAACACACGTTGTTTGCACTTAGTTCAAATTAATTTAACTTATTTTTCTCTCTTTTTAATATCTTATACCAGTTCACTACCTCTCCTTGTGCTTTAGCAAGAATTGTTTCTAATGACCCAGTAAGTTTTCCCAAATCCACTCACTGGTCAGTTGAGAAACATGCAAATCCACTGTTCAGAGAAACATGCAAAATTTGTCTGGAAGATATTTTAGATAAATATTGGAGACAATGCTATCCACTCCATAACATTTGATGTGATAGACATTTCTTTGCGAATTTTCACTCTTGTTTTGGAAGTTCTATAGCATAATAATTATTAATTCTTTCTCATTGTAACCATTATTCTCAATAAGTTACGTGGAAAAGAAAATTAAAACACTATTTGGTTTTTAGAAATGTTTTCTATTTTCATTTTCTAATTTCACTTCTAATTACAAAATTGTCCCCTTATTTTTATGTTTCTTGATTTCTCAGATTTGTACAAGAAAGAGTGAAACAAAAGCAAGTTATTTTCAAATGTTTTCTGCACAAATACTAAAAAAACAAGAAACAAAATGAAAAGGTAACAGTTTTGTAATTAAAAGGGAAAATAAAAAATAAAAACAGAAAATATTTCTTGATGCCAAACAATCCTGAAGTCATCTGATTCTTATCCTTATCTATAAAAACTATGCATACGTTAGAAGCAGCAATTTGTGCTGTTGTTCGTCTCATGTAATGCATAGGCAGCACACATTTCAGGGAGGGAAACAATTTTTACTGATGTGTCTATTCATAAATTCAAATTTTGGCTAGGCTACCCATAATGTTGAGAGTCTCCAAAGTTTTCCTTGTTCAAAATTTTATCACCAAATAATTTCTTAAAGTACTATAACTTAATTGGACCCATTGCCCATGATTCCCAGAGCATCTCTGAAATTCAGTGTGCTTGTCATGGTTCGTCTTCCGATCCCTCCATTGCCCTTTCTCATCATGGCAGCAAATTCCCCATAATCTATCTGTCCATCCTACAACACAAATCTTCCATTAATCCAACAAACAAATTGGCAACTGATGTGACTATAGTTAATCAATGAAAGACATAATCACGTTTAATGATGGCATATAATCGAAAGATGAGTTGCCAAAACTTATAGAAAAGCACAAGACAACAATACTTACGTTGTCTTGATCAATTTCCTTGACCATTTCATCAATATGGACATCATCCAAACCAAACTCTTTACAAGCTTGTTGTATCTCATCAATGGTTATGTAACCACTTCCATCTTTGTCAAAATAGGAGAACGCTGACAATAGATTTTCCTCTCTCTCCAGCTTATTTAAGTGAACAGTAGCAGCAATGAATTCACCGTAGTCAATTGTCCCATTATTATCAATGTCCGCCTGTCACATGCAAGATTATAAGTCTGTTCAACTGTTTAAAAATTGAAGGCAAAGCAGCACAAATAACAAAAATGGATTAATACTAAAACATTAAAGATTTATCTTACTGCATCCATAAGATCCTTGATTTCAGACTCCATAAGTTCAGAGCCTACTCGTTTTAAGCCTTCTTTTAGCTCATCAAATGTTATAGTTCCACTGTTATCTGCATCAATCATTTTGAACAACTCCTTCAGACCACCAATTTCTTCCTCGGAGAGCCTCTCTGCAATAACCTAGGTGTAAAGCAAACAGAACTATAAATGCCATGGCATAAGGATTTGACACACCAGAAGATTATGAATGGATCACTTTAAACTTCCAAGTCAAGACAAAAGATGTTCTGATTAGAGTTCCAAACACAAGCAATGATAAAGGTAAGCTGAAAAGCTTGGAAAATTCTAGTACACACAAACTGAGAAACATAATCATGTCATGCCTGAAGTTCAGGCCAAGGCTGTGAAGAAAATGACCTCAATTCATTTTTTCTAATTTATGTCACTTCAATTGAAGCCAATTGTTAAATTAGCATTGATAAAAGAAATAACCAAAAATAAAGTGGGTGTGACAAGATTTTTAGATTATAAGGACATTAAACAAGGTTTAAGCCAACCCTCGTTTTGAACTTTAAGGCTAATGCATAAACAGTGTAAGAAATGTTGTGGCTTTTCCATTTCAACCTTATACCCCTCCAAATTCTAATGCATGTGGAATGTCCTTGGTCTTGCTTTGTTGATAAGGGTGGTCTCGTGAAGACCTTGGGCCAGAGTTAGATTGTGTTTTTTTACAGCTATACCACATATCTATCAAAAGTCACTCATCATATTTACTATAAAAAAGGATTCTACAAAATTTGTAATGTTCCCATGGAGATAAACATTTAAAAACTCTGCGTCCACTGAACAACCTGAGTTGCTTAAGCACAACTAGAGTCCATTATACATGAAAAACATAAACACAATGATATCATGTTCCTTTAACTTCAGGGTGGATGTAGAATAGTCATCTGTTCTAGGAATTAGGGATGACAATGGTAAGGCCTAAGTAGGGTATCATAGTACTCATTTCCATACTTGCATTTAAAAAAATGATCCGTGCATGTCCTCATATTTGTTGGGTAACAACTTTGAATCACATCCCCATATCCGTTAGGTACCTAACTAAATCCCCATATCCTTTCCAATTACCCATAGTTTTAGTTAACTAAAATACATGTATAAAAATAACCTAAAATATGATTTCCACATTCTTTTACAAACTAATAAAAGCGGTAGTTAAAAACAGAAAAAATATTGTGTGAAATTACAATAAGTATAAAAAACATAAATATATGACAAATTTCTTATATTGATGTATTAGAATCAAATACAAACATAAATAGTATCATTTATTTAAAGCCAAAAGTAAACCATTAAAACAAACTTCAACTGAGTTACTTTTATTGAGATGCAAGTATTGTGCTAGCATTTTCTAAGGTTTGCAAAAAAAAATGAAACATTCTTAAATTAGTTACATATTGTACAGTCAAATTAATACAAATAATCAAGTTTTTTTTACCTTATCTTTAGGGTCAGAGTCTCTAAAATTTTACAATCATTTAGATTTCATACTCAAATATTTCTATTCTAGGTTTAGAATAAAATACACATACACACACACAAATATATATATATAATGTTAAAAAAGAAATCTAAATTTAATATTATATATATTTATTTTGATTTATATTTATATTATATATATAGGGTGTGGATAAATGGGTATGAGTATAATACCCGTACAATTTTGCGGGTATTTACCCAAAGCTGTTGTGCCAGTAATACCTTACTCATTGCGGATAATTTTTGCAAGTATCCATTGGGACCCATCAGATAGAATACTCATTGCAATCGATATTGGGAATCAAATGCCTAATGGAGCATATTGCAATCCAGTAGGCATAAAAAATGCTCATGCACCAAATGAGATATCCCCGACAGCCATGCAAGACAACAAGGCATTTTGCTTATAAAAGTTGAAAATAAAATTAAGAAGCTTTGGCATCGTTATCATTAAGGTTATGTTTAGATGAAGAATTTTAAAATTCTAGAAAATATGAAATTAATAATGAGAGAATGCTTAAACTGAGAATCAAGTATGAGAGTGGTTATGAATAGTAAATATAAAATTTTAAGTATAACAAAAAGATTTTAAAATTTTCTCTAAGATAAGTCATTTAAAATCCTTTCTATTTGACATTAAAATTACCTAGTTAAAATTCTACAGTATTTTAAAAATACTTTTACTTACTATTCAAATACATGCAATATAGTAATTTTAGATTACTCCATCCAAACACAATCAAAAAGAAATAAAAATCCTGTAATGCGTTGTATTAACCTCTAGAATCAAGAAACCTTTTTGAGTCTTACAAAAGAGACTGTAAATGAAATTCATAAAAGCCTCATTTGATCAGGAAGGAACAGTTTACTACCAATTTAGCTTAAATTCTACTAAAAATGCATATCATTATCTTTTCATTATAAATTAAGACAGGACAGGGTATTCACGAGAGAAGAAATTGTTCTTTCATGCAGCACATAAAAATCATTAAGCCTAAGCAAAAAGGTTTATGGAGGCCTTACACGCAAAGCCATCTTTTTAAGTTTATTCATTGCAGAGAATTGCTTCAAGCGTGATAAAACAGCAGAATCAAGAGGTTTATCAGGTGCAATGTTGTCATCAACAATCCATGGGTGACCTGACACAGAAACCGCATAAGTGCCACAGCTTTCAACCCCATTCAGTAATTGTGCAAATATTCAAACAAATCATGATAGTTGCTTGCTCAATAAAAATTTTAAATAGACTTACAGAGTACTTTATGAGCTGTTAGCCTTGTTTTTGGATTCCGATCAAGCATTTTTCGAATTAGATCCTTGGCACTGTCTGAAATGCTAGGCCATGGCTCAGACTGGAAATCAAGTCTTCCTAACAAAATCTGTCTGAAGATCCCCTGCTCAGTTTCTGGAGGTGACAAAATTTGCAGAAGAGTATTAGCAACAAGGAAGGATGCACATGAAGAAAACAATACACGCCCACATCTACAATTGAGTTTTAACATATAAATGACATGTAGCTACCAGCCCAAAATGGTGGCACTCCACTTAATAAGATGTACAAAATAACACCAGCACTCCACACATCCGATTCAGGTCCATAATGTTTACGCAAGACCTCTGGTGCAACATAGTAGGGGCTTCCAACAACATCACAAAAGGTTTCACCTGAAAAGCAAAATTCATAATGTTCAGCATGCAAGGAAATGGAAGGGTTTCCAGTTGATCTGCTAAGGACTAAAATGAAGGATTATGCAAAATTCAAACTGTACTTACAAGACTAGACTGCATAGATTCAGATAATTTTGAACATTCATAATTTACAGTCACCAAGACAGAGTGGGTTAAGTGCAAAAATACCTAAATATAGTATTGCCCAAGCCCCAAAGAAACTATTGAAATATAGATTTATGGTTCCAGTAACACATTAAACCCAACGGTACACACACATATATAGCCATTTTCTAGGCTTCAAACTACTAGTAGTTAAAACTTAGAATGCCAAAAGTTTGTTTCTTTAGACAACCTGCATAGTACGGAAGTAGATTACTCACTCCTCAATTTTTTTTTGGTTAAGTTAGGCCCAGTCCATTTCAAATATGGTATCTAGATTTCAATCCTACCCACACCCATTCTTCTGATAAAAAGCTGAATTTCAGCACAAGGTAAGTGGGCCTGCGTGATGCTGTTATTCATGCTTCACGACCAAAGGGCTCTGGCGTGAGGGGTCCTGTTCAAGATGTAAACAAAAGCCATTCCCGTGCCTTCACCTAATACAATAACTCAGGATCATTTAAAACTAGATCAACAAAGAGCCAAAAATTAGTTCAAATTGTGCTAAAATGTTTATTCATGTTAAAATCTGACAATTTTGTTAATGCCTTTTTTCATCTCATTTTTTGCTTTAAAATAACTAATTAATTTTCATTCTCAAATGCTTGCAGGAAGAAGATCCATCCTGCGTGCCAGGATCTATTACTCCAATTAATTGAGAGTATAAAGAAGTGCCGAAAGAATAATCCAATTAAAACCCTAGGTTCTGCATTATTCCGAAATTCTATACCAAACACAGTTGGGTATATACCCCTAGATCCCATAGCTCTCTTAAACACATCTTGTGCACCAGGACCACGTTATAATCAATTAGCAGAAACCAGTAGATGGGGGCAATGATTTCATTCAGATTGATACAACAAGCCCCTCGGATAGGTAGAGTGGACCCATCAAGGGAGAACCAAATCCCTTTCCTTTCTCTCTCTGAACAGAAATTCAGAAACAACATAACCAAATTCAACAATAATTTCATCTCGCTGCAATTGCATGCAATCAATGATCCTCCGACAACCTAAGCCTAACAATAAATCAGACTAACATAGTCAACATCTCTAACCTGGCTTATAAAAAACAGACAACCCGAAATCAGTGGTTTTGAGCTTAGCATCTTCCTCAACAGTATCGAACAAGAAATTCTCAGGTTTAAGATCTCTGTGCATAACTCCAAGAGAATGACAAGCCTCAACAACCTCAACAATAGTCTTAATCAACTTCGCAGCTTCTCTCTCACTGTATTGCCCCTTCCGCACGATCCTATCGAACAACTCGCCACCTTCGCAAAGCTCCATCACCAAGTGAACGGAGGAATGGTCCTCGTACGTGCCGTGGATCCTCACCACGTTAGGTTGCTCAGACAAGTGGTGCATTATCTGAATCTCCCTCCAAACGTCGTCGTAATCCTCCTTGCACAGTAGCTTCCGCTTCGGAATTGACTTGCACGCGTATTTGCGACCCGTGGCGTTGTGCGTGCACAGAAACGTTGTCCCGAATTGACCTTGACCCAGCTTTCGCCCCAGCGTGTACGCTTCCCTCAGGTTTTCCGTTGGGTACGGGAGGACCCACGCCGGTTTCGTTGGTGCCGAGCTGGTTCCAGTGTTGGGTTTCGACATTGCTAACGTTGTCGGAACAGGAAAGAGAAAACGAAGAAGACAGAGTCAGTGCTTGTAATGACTGATGACTAGGAACGAGGAAGACCCGGGCGCAAGCAATTTATGCAAGCAAATTGCAAAATCAAATCGAGTCCATCTTTTTTCCACTTTTTCTGTGGGCTCTTTTCAAAGGTTATTATTAATATTCGAATGTTTCGCAAATCATAAATAGTAGTGTTACTTGCTTTCAAGGAGTAAACTATGCTCGCCTGTTATTTACTACGCATTTAACTCTCCTTGATTCATTGAATGATGCGGTAATCTGTAATTTGACTGTTAGTGTAAAGTGGAAGTTTTAAGTACATAGTCGTTGAATTAAGACTTGGGAGTTGTTTTCAGAAAATAATGAATTTCGAATTTTGTACTTCAATTTCATATGCTTTCTCAATTGGAGGCTTTTATTTTTGGCTAATTATTGAGCTTCAATGAGTAAATTGTTATTGAAATTCAGTTTTACTATTATAACTCCGATTAAGTAGCTTAGCTTTTGTTCATACAGTTACGCGTTTACTTCGTTTCGTGTCTTTGAACCTTTGACGCAGATTATTTTAACGCTGTTTGAACTTTGAAGTAGTCTTTGTTTGCATTTAAGACGTGAGTGTAAATACATTAGTTGTTTTATTGGTAAAAATGATAATTAGACTTTTAAACGTAACGTGCCAAAACAACTTAAAAGAAATATATATGAATTTTAAGAACTGTACGAAGGAGTAATTTTTCATAAACAGTGTGTGATTTTAAGATAATTTTAACACTAAATTTATTATTATTTTAAACTTTTAATTAATTATACATATCAATATTATCATATAAGAATTGTTATGTATGATGGATTATAAATATAATTATGAGATTAAGGAAATAAATGGTTTTGTTAACTAAAAAAACTAACCATAAGAATCTATACTATTTTGGGATATTTTAAATTTTTTTAATTATAATATATTTTTAGAACGCATGTAGATATACAAAACAATATACACAATATTATATGTAATATTAATTAGTGATTTAAATTGTAGAATATATTTATTTTTACTCAAAGTGACACATGCTAATAAATATTAATTCTTTTGACATCTAAAATAAAAATATTAAGATTATAAAATAAAAAAGACTTCAAACCAATGACAACCTAACTTTATTTCTTTTATAACGTGATAGGTTACGTCGTTTATGTGCAAGATCACACCGAAATAAGAGTGAGGAAGGAAATGTCATGTAGTGGTCACATGTATGCCTGAAAGAAAACGAAAATTTGAGTTAGACGGTCGGTGAATTTTAAATTATTTATTTCCTTATAAAATGGCTTAGTAAAAAATATCCCTAAAAAATCATTATTTTTATTTTTTTCCATTTTCAATTTTAAAATAATTTTCTTATAAGATATTTTTAGTAAATTAACAAATTTTTCTATAAACTGTACAGATAATTTTATCTGGAAAGAGTTGCATAAATTTTCTCTTAAATAAATATTTTTTCTTTGAATCAATAACTTTCAGGTTCAAGAGAAAATAGACAATTTATTTAACATGATTTTTTTTTACTATTATGTTATAATTAATGTCTATAATTTATTTATGAATTTAAAGTATATTTTTTTATCTAATAAAATATAATTTTTTTATTAATAATAAAAACATATCTAATTATACTTCTTTTCTTGTAACATGTAATTTCATTATAACGTAATAATAGTAACATTTTTATCTCTTGCATTTTAAGAACTATTCTTGTTTTAAAGCATAAAGATATCATTCAATCAATTACCGAGGAGTTTAATTTTCCTTCTTAACCCGATGATTTTGAAAAAAATTATTATATGAACCAAATAATATAACTTGAGTTAAATATTTTCTTAGAAGACTGTTAAAATTGATGCTTTCTATAAAAATTTATCTTGATTGTAAAGCTTTTAAAGTGTGTTTTAATTTCATATTTAAAAAAATTTACAATTTCATTATTAATGCAAAAATCACTTTTAATATTGGTTAAAGAATTACTTTTACATCAATTATAAAATAACCAATCTAGAATTTTATTTTGTCATTAGAAACTATTACACAATCTTAATTGATCATGAGAGCTTGAAGGAGTTGATGCAAAATAATACAATGATTGATCTATTGTCACGAGTCCATGATCCACCCATAGCTGCTTATTGAATATTGATTATGCCCCACTTCCAATTTTTAGATGAATTGTAGAAAGAATTAATTAAGTGATCATTATCTTACTTTAAGGCACAATGTTTAACAACACCTAGCTAATTATCCTTACTTCAAACTTTCTAATGAGTTGGTATTATTTAAGGAAAAAATTGGATCAATACAAGAAATTCCTTCATAACACTCTTATTGGAAGAATTTTACAAATTTTCAATAAGGAGCCACGTAGGTGTTGTTAAGACTCTTAATAAGCAAAATAAGAATTTTATTTAGAAAAACATGAAACAAGATGTTTATCAATTTTCTTTGTAATGTTTAATTGTTAACACATTAAATATGCGATTAAAAGGTCAACTAATTACGGCAACCTATCCTAATCCCATCTTGGCTATCGGAATATTTATTATTGAACTTTATTTCAGGGTCACCACCATAGAAGGGTTTCAATGTGATGCTAGTTATTGTTGATTGATTCTCAAAAGGAGCACATTTTGGAATGTTGTCTATTCATTACACCACCCTCAAAGTTGCCAAACTTTTTCCTGACATGGTGTGTAAGCTCATAGATTCCCTAAAGAGTTTGATTTATGATAAAGATCTTGTGTTTATAAGTAAATTATGGAAGGAATTTTTTTAAATTGAATGTAACTAAGTTAAGGATATAATGACAATCATGATCTATATTGTTAAATTAAACAATTTTAAGTTAAATTACACACAACAAAAACAAAATTATTAAGGTAAAACTAGAAATTGAGACAAGAAAAATAATAAAAGTAAAAATAGAATAAAGATGGAGAATAATGTCATAATTGTAAGATTAATAAGCCAAATAAACAATTGCCACAAGAGTCTTAGCCTCCTAAAAAAAATCAAGAAAATTAGCTCACTCAATAACTTAAAGTCACACATTCTCATAAGAGTGTTCAATCTTAAATTGCATTAAAAACTAATTAAAAGTGTATATAGAAGAGCTTATATATAATATGTCTAACGTTTATAAATCTCATTGGATCTCTTGTACTAAAAAGTCAAAATCCAAATAAAATAAATAAATAAATTTTTATTCTAAATAAAAGCTCAAAGTAATTTATGACTAACATTAAAATAACTTAACTAAACATAATAATTAAATTCTTATGGAACTCATTGAAGTCCAAGTTCTCTAAGTATATGCAATTGACCATTTTGGGTTGTTCTAATTTCAAATTAGGTCTACTTTCAAATAATACAACAACTATCCTCTCCTTATCGTTAGTATTTGAAGTTCTTCCAATACCTTCAAGCATTTGTCTTCAATGAGCCTTCTTTGATTCTCATATTCTCCTTTATTTCAAGATAATTTGTCCTCAAATTTGACTTTTCATCACCTACATTAAAGAAAGATAAATTAGATAAATTAAAGTAGCACTAACATTATACTTTCCTGGTAAGTCTACTTTGTATGCATTATCTTTAATCCTCTCTAAGACTTGAAATGGTCCATTTCCTCTTGGTTGAAACTTTGACTTCCTTTGCATCTGAAACCTTTTCTTGTGCATATATACCCAAACTCAATTCCTAGGTTCAAATATCACTTTCTTCCTTCCCTTGTTGGGATATTTTGCTTGTTGCTCCACTTTCATTTCAATTTGAGCCTTTATTTTTTCATACAACTTTCTAACAAATTCAGCTTTGGCATTATCATCTTTATGCACTAAAGACGAAATATTAAGCAGTGACAACAAATCAAGCAAGGTGAGGGGATTAAATCTATAAATAACTTCAAATGATTAATACATGATATTTAAATGAAATGTTCTATTATATGCAAATTCAATATGAGACAAACATTCATCTCTCTCCTTTATTTTTATTTGGTTATATCCACTCTTAAAATTAGAAAAATAACAAACATCAAATAATTCATCAAGTAAATCATTCAAATGGAGTATGAGGTGTTTATACTTTAGGGTTTAGGGTGTAAACCTTATACTTTACAATGATATGGTTGATGATACGACAATCAGTACACACCTTCCAACTTTTATCTTTTTTGGGTACCAAGATGACTAGTAACATAAGGGCTTAGACTTTCTTTCACCCATCCTTTCTCTAACAATTCTTTTACTTATTTTGAATCTCTTGAGTTTCTTGAGGATTGCTTCTATATGCAGGCCGATTGGGCTTCTTAGAATAACACAATTAAAACTTAAATAGTATAAATATAGAGCCTTCTTTTTGTGATAGTTTTTTTTAAATAGAAGTATCAATTCTTTTATGGATTTCTAACTTGAATTAGGATACAATATGAAATCTTTTTATGTGTTTATAGTAGAAGAAATATTTTGACTTAGTTACTTGAATAAAGGAAAGGTATAAGTATATGTTTTTTTTTTTTATAAAATGTGATAATTGAAATACAAATATAACATATTAATATAAATTAATTATTAATATTTTTTTTATAAATATTTTATATTTATATAAAGTATACTATTTTTTTAAACTTATGCTACTGTATTTTGAATTTTCAAAATTTTTTTGTATTCTCAAATCTATGTAGTACTAAGTATGCTTTACATGCAAATAAAAAAAAATTTCTAAAATAGAAGGATTTAAAATGCGAGATCTAAAAACATATCTTTCTTTGGCACCATCACTACGCCAAAAATAAGATAAGAGAGCGGTTTTGTTTTAAATTAGAGAGTGTTTATAACTGCTCTAAAATCTTGTGCTATCTAATATATTACATTTAGGAGAGCGGTTAAATAATCGCTCTCAAATATTAAGATTAGAGAGCGGTTCTGTGTGGAACCGCTCTCCAAAATATGAATTTAAACTGCGAATCTGAAATTTAAAATTTATTTATTTGTGAGTTTTCTGTAGCAAACTAAAATTAATTTATTGTTACGTTTAAATTTTAATTTACAAGTTTGACAATCAAAATTTCTTCATTTTTATCATAAATCAAAATTGAATCTTGAGTTCATACGCTATGTTAATCAAACAGCCATATCTGCACAAACCAAATAGTAAACAGAAAAAAAAAGAACAAATTAATAAGATAATTCACCGTTAACAAAGAGAAAATGAAAGAAAGAATGAATGAATGATTTACCGTAAATAAAGAGAAAAAGAAAGAAAGAAAGAATGGGAAGAACTGTGGAAAAAGGTATCTACAATTGTGAACGAAGAACTGTGAAAATATAGAAGATGAAGAGAATCTACAAACGTAAAAGAGAACAAATACACCAACTTTGTTAACGCATAAAAGATGAAAAGAATTTATAGGGGTAAAAGAGACCAACTTTGTTAGGAAGACAAAGAGATTCATGAGTTCAGCGTGAGCGTGTTTCATTTATAAAAGTTAAAGACTTTAGAGAACGATTCTTTATTAACTGCTCTCTAATATATGATTTCTTTATTAACCGCTCTCTATATATGACTTTAGAGAGCGGTTAATAGAGAAACGTTCTTAAAAGTATAGATCTGAAAGCGGTTCAACACTAACAGCTCTCTAAAGTATATTTTAGAAAGCGATTAACAAAAAATCGTTTTTAGAAGTATAGATCTGAGAGCAATTGAACGTTAATCGCTCTCTAAATGTATTGTTACAAAACGATTTTTACTAACCGTTATCTAAGTTAGCACTTCAAAAACTTATTTCTAGCGTAGTGCATTAAAAAGTACTGTATGGTACGAGGCTTTAGCAGGTCTCTTGATAAAGATCAATCATTTTTTTTTTCAGATACATTGATATTTTTCTTTTTTCATTTTAGTTATTGGCACAACATGGGAAGAAGTGAAGAAAATCAATCATAAGTCCTAATAAAACTCTTTTTTTGTGGACAAATGATTCTAGTGTGTTTGGATTGAATTATTTTTTCTGCAGAAAAAAAACATTGGAAAAAAATATTATTCATTATTGTTTGATGAAATTTAAAAAAACAGCTTGCAATTTTTAATTCTTTTTAGAAAGGGGATAACTTATTTAAGATATGCATAATTTTGGATCTTACAATTAAAAGCTATCAACTTATTTTAGTTAAATTTTTTAATTTTATTCTTAATAGTTGATTACTAAAATGCGAAGCTCACTATTACACAACTTTTTTTTTTTATTTCATCCTAGAAAAAGTGATTATTTTATATAATCCAAACAGAAAAAATTATTTTAAAATTAACTTTTCTTTTATACATATATAATTAATTATCACAATAATCTATCATAGATATAATGATTATTGAAATATATTTTTTCCAGCTAATCCAGATGCACTTAATTTGAGAGACTATGATGCGGAACTAATACAAGATTTACACAATAACAGGCTTCTTTCTTTCGCAGACTAACGATGCAGCAAGGTTAATTACATTCAATATCAAACTAATACATCGAAGTTTTTCTATATACTTCAACCTATAAACAGTTTATTTTGTTTGTTTTTTTTTAAATCTAGCTGCAACATATGAGTTGTTTTGATTTCTTTATTGCATCTGATAAAAATATACTTCAATTTTTTGCAGGTTAAACGGATTTATGAATCTTCTCCACCGATAGCAGAAAGAATCCTTTTATTCATGCTGTTTATATGCCTAGTATTCCTGCATTAAGAAAGTAAAAACTTTTACTCTGTAGATTGCAGAGACCATAATGATATTGGATCCACCTCCACCCCCAAAAAAATGTAAAAGAATTCAAGTCTTTTGTATTTTAGGTTCAAAAAAATCAGATGACTCTGGCTCTCATCACTTTTTTCCTTCCAATTCCAGGGAATATGGGTTACTTTTGGTGCGGTGCGGTTTGATAGGGAAGGCACTGAAGGAGTTTGAAGATTTAGAATTATGGGATAATTTTATATACTGCTACAGGTATAATAACACCTGAAATGACTAAACCAAATCAAATTGTCCCTCTTATTATTCACTCTACATTTGATGTTTGATTGGTAAAACAGTTTGTTGGAGAAGAAAGCAACAGATGTTGAACTCATCAGGAAATGTCTTTCACAAAGACCAAATGACCCCAGGTTATGGTATGTTACTTGGTTTGTCTTATTTTGTTTTCTTAATTAAGCTGTGCGTGCTTTTAAACAACAGCTACTCTGACCTATTTCTCCGGCTAGTTGCATTGTAGCATATTTACAATCCATTCTTGAGTTGATGTAGGCTGTCACTTGTGAATGATTTCTTGCTGAGTATGTTTAGGGATAACAACTAATGAACATGACGATAGGCTATCCAAATCTTTTATCATTTAGTATTTATTATTTGTCTATAAAAATATCTAACACTTATTACTGTTCCACTGTGTTTTTATGTAATTCTTCTAGGATGATATATTTTTTTACCATTTTCATTGGTGACACAGTTAAAGTTGATCATGTTACAAGTGATGTATGCTGTGAATGTTCTTTATAAGACTAAAAATAAAGTTAAAATTTGAAGCAAATTTTCAATCCATAAGTTTTAGATTTCAGGATTCATGTTCATAACACCAACTTTTAAGTCCAAAATCATCTCTTTAATCTCATAATTGTATAAAATATATTTATTTGTTGTCCATGAAATAAGGTTTATATGTTGTTAAATATATGTAAATATGTTATATACGGAAATAGTATTTGTGTAATTATAATAATTAAGTAACCGTATATTTGTTTTTGATTATGTAGTTATGATTATGATTATCTAATATAAATATACAATCTGTGGTGTAATTGAAACACAAAATTCATTACATGTCTTCTCACTTTCTTTCATCTTAACATGGTATCAAGAGTCTAACGAGAAGGTAATTATAATTCATGTTTTTCTTGGGTGGCCACTTCTTATAAGTGCCATTTTTTTTTAAGAAATTGTGTCTCTAATTTTTGGCATTTTTTTTCTAGTAGCCTACTTCACCAGCCACCACTGTTCACTATTAGTGACTTTTTCGTTGTGTTGTTTTGATCAACTTTTCATCACCACCAGACTTGCCCCACCATGCGCAACAAAACTTGGTCATCGCATCACGACCAAAGGCCCTATGTGCCCACATGCGCCACCTCCTTCTCTGGCGTCTTTCTCTCTCCACTGCCACCTCTACCACATATGATGGCGTGTTTGGCGACTTTTTGACCTCTTTCTTTGCTGCCTAGGTTCACCTTGCCGAGACAGTTTTGGATTTATGGTCCCTTTTTCGAGTTTCAAACTCTACTACTTGACCCATGGCAACTTTGACTTCTCTCGAATCTGAAGCTTCTATTTTCACCAATTTTGTCATTGCTCTACTGTCTACTAACAAGTTAGATGGAAGTAACAATGATTCTTAGGTCTCTGATATCAAACTTTGGTCAAGGGTCAAGATTATCTCAACTATCTCACTATCAACGAAGCAATTGTGACTGTGACTGAAAATACGAAATGAAGGAAGTTCAGTGTCATCAAGTTCGCTATTCATCCTCTTTGAAGCAGATTTTTCGCTCTCATGATATGTGTGAATCAATTTGGTCACAAGTTAACTCGATTTACACCATTGACATACAAAGTCTATATAGAATATGTCAAAATCTCATGGATGTTGTTGTGACTCGGAAACTTTATGGCACTGTGTCAACCTATTTGGGCTGTATGAGTGGTCTTCTTCATGACTTCAATGGACTTCTGCCTCCCGCTACGACTGCTGCCATGGAATTAAAGAATTGTCAAACATTATTAATGTTACTAACTTTGTATGCTTTACCTACAGAGTACTCTCAGATTCGAGATCAAATTTTAGGATCCACTTTTTCTTCCACTATGACTATTGCTTAGTCTTCTTTGCTATGCATTCCTACCAAGGCCATCACTGCATTAGATGTACCCCCTATATCATCTACTCTTATTAACTCTTCCAACTTGATCTCTTAGGGAGGTGATAATCGTCGCTCTCGTAAGACTAATGGTAATCATCACTTATGTTTTAAGTACTGCCACAAAATTGGCCTCACTATTGATCGTTGTTTTGCTCTACATGGTCGATCCCCTAAAATAGCTAATGTGGTGTAGTTTTCTCCTCTCAAATATGCTTTGCCTTATGCTCCCACTGAATTTGCTTCTACTTCCAATATCCCACCAACACTCTTCAACAATTTCCTTTATTGGTATAGGGATCATTAGGCCTCTAGTTCCACTCTTCTATTGTGCACACGAGTAATTCTTTTGTTGTATTTCTCATTCCCTATCTATTGGTCCATGGATTCTTGATTTAGGTACCACTGATTATATTATCAGTAACAAATCTCTCTCTTCTTCCCCCTTCTAGATTTTGTTACTTACCTTTTGTTACTATAGCCAATGAGTCTCAAATACACTTTTAGGGTGTTGGTATTGTATCTCCCCTTCTATCATTCTCTATTAACAATGTCTTATATGTTTTTGGGTTTTTATTTAATCTTTTATCTATAGGTCACTCACTCACACACTAAATTGTGTTATCTCTTTTACTAAAGACTATTTTTCACTAGGATCGGATGACAGGGCAGATGATTGGCACAAACTATGAGTCACGTGGACTTTATCAACTTCAATCCATCATACATGTTGGTTCAATGGTGGATTCACCTCTTCTTTTGCATGCTAGGTTAGGTCATTCAAGTCTTCAAAAACTACAATTATTGGGTGAGTCTTTATCAGTTATCTCTCTTTCTTGTGAGTTATGTAAACTAGAAAAGCATGTTTGTAGTTCATTTTTGAGTCGTGAAATAAATGAGTCACATCTCCGTTTAGATTGGTTCATTTTGATGTTTAAGATCCTACTGGTATTGTCTCTGCTTTAGGTTTTCAGTATTTTGTCATGTTTATTGATGATTATTCCTGTTGTACATGGTTATTTTAAATTATTTTCTATTTTTAAAGTTTTTTTCTTAAAATAAAAGTTCAATTTGGTCTTCTCATTTGCACTTTACATAGTGATAATGCTAAGGAGTACTTGTCACATTCTTTTCAAAATTTCATACTTCATTAAACTTTTTGTGCTTATACTTCTCAACAAAATGGGATTGTTGAAAGAAAAAACAGATCTTTTATTAAAACTACTTGCACTCTACTCTTACATAGTTGTGTTCCAAATCATTTTTGGGAGATGTCGTATTGTCAACATATTACCTTATCAATATCATCTTCTTTTGTTCTTAATAACCAAATACCACATTTTATCATGTTTTCTAAACAGTCTTTACATTCTTTACCTCCCAATGTGTTTAGGTCCACATGTTTTGCCCATAATCTTAGTTCAAGTAATGACAAGCTTTTTGCTCGTGCCCACAAATATATTTTTCTTGGTTATAGTCATTCTAAAAAATGTTATTAGTGTTACTCTACGACTCTTAAATGTTACTTTATCTTTGTTGATGTTGCTTTTTTTGAATTTGTTCCTTTTTTAGTTCTTCTATTGTGTCTAAGTCAAGACTAGGGTTTGTCATGACTTCTTTACTAGTTTTGAATATTTTTCACCCACTAGAGGTCTCACCTCCTTTAGATGACCCTCCTCTATGTCTGTTACAGGTGTACCATCGTCAACCACTAGCTACTCCTTCGACCACCGTTGACATACCATGTGACCAGGCCAACTCTAACGCATGTCCCTCCCCTGACCCTATCACCTGACATTGATCTTCCTATTGCCTTCTAAAAGGTATATGTTTCACTTATAACTTCTCTCTTTATTATGCTACTTTATTATATTATCGTCTTCTTCCCAATATATATGTCTTTCTTCTTTATCCTTTATTTTTATTCTTAAGAATACAACAGAAGCTCTCTCATATCCTGCTCGGTGTCAAGCAATGCTTTATGAAATGTATGTGCTTGACAGTAATGACACTTGGGACCTCGTTCCTCTTCCTTTAGGTAAATCTGTTATGGGTTGTAAGTGGATATAAATTGTCAAAGTTGGTCTTGATGGTTAAGTCTTAAAGCTCGTTTTGTGGCAAAAGGTTATACTTAGATCTTTGGCTTGGATTATGGTGACACATTCTCTCCAATAGCTAAAATACTTTTATTTGCTTGATCTTGTCTATGGCTACTATCTGCCATTAGAATCTTCATTAACTTGACATTAAGAATGCATTTCTTCATGGCAACCTCGCTGAGGAATTTTATATAAAGCAATCTCCTAGATTTGTTGCTCAAGGGGAATCTTCAAGATTATTTTGTTATCTTTGAAAATCTCTGTATAATCTTAAACAATCTCTAAGAGCTTGGTTTAGTAGATTCACCATTGTTGTTCAACAGCTTGGGATGATTCAAAATGAAGTTGATCACTCAATCTTTTATCACTACTCAACCATAGGATGCATATACCTAGTTGTGTATGTGGATTATATTGTTATCACTAGCAGTGACCATTATGACATTACACAGTTGAAGAACCATTTATGTCACCTTTTTTAGACAAAAGGCCTTGATAAACTTTGATATTTCTTAAGAATAGAGGTGGCACAATCCAAGCATAGTATTGTAATTTACTAAAGGAAATATGTATTGGATATATTAGAAGAAACAAGTTTGGTGGAGGTCAAATCTATAGATACTCCTATGGATCCTAATTATAAACTTCTACCAACTCAGAGGGAGCCTCTTGCTAACCAAAAAAGTATAGGAGATTGGTTAGAAAACTAAATTATCTCACTATTACTCAATCGAACATCTCTTTTGTTGTTAGTGTCACACATCAATTTTTCAGCGCTCCTTGTGAAGGACAATAAGATGCATTGATTCGCATCCTGAAGTATATCAAAGTAGCTCTAAGAAAACGTCTCATGTATGAGGACAAAGGTCATGATAAGATTATTGGA